TACCTTGCTGCATATGTGTATTTGCAGCGTCCCCAATTTCAGTCGTATTCCTGAACGTACAGTATAAATTTGAAAACCTTAATGGGATGGTACCAGGTGATTGGGGGGGGGGAAGAAATCGCAGAATATAGTTGGGTTCTTTGAATGTAACGTTTTCAAATAAATACACTATGTTGGGAATACGGCTGAAATTGGGGGCGCCGCGGATACGGTCTTGAACCACGCCCACTGCACCTGCACTGCCCGTAGAGTTATATGTATTGATCATTGTTTACTGGAACAATGGAATCGGAAGTTAACGCACAACTTCAGCGATCGTCCAATAGAGAGATCCCAATACGACGCTTTTTAGCGTCGATCTGCGCACTCCAGCGTTTGAAAACGAGGCTGTATGTGTCAGCTTCAATTCTTAATACGATCAGACGATTGAAAGTAAGGAGTCAAGACACAAAATACATAAAGGTATGTTAGATTCAGACTTTTTAGGCTGAAAATGTTTGTGGAGGAGTCTTTCAGGAACATTCGACACGTAAAATCCAAAGAAAAATAGCGACAATTGACCTGCGATGGTCGTGTATGTTGTACAGTGGGCGTAGTTTAAACTGAAATGGTGTCGCACTTACGAACCGGATACTCCATGTACTGTGTGGACTCCGCGGGCGCGCGCGACGAAGTTCAACACAGAGAACCTCGATTTCGATGCAGATATGCGCAGATGACGCTAATGTGAAATCCCTCTATGGGAGCCTGTAAGTCGCGGCGCGTCTTCCTTCGTGACTTTTACTTATTTATTTATTTTTATTTATTTATTTTTATTTATTTATTTATTATTTCTCAGGGAATAAGACATAAATACACTCAAACACAAATTAGGAATAACACCACAAACAGATCTAAAAAAGAAAAACACCCCTGAGGAATTGCCAAAAAGCGAACTTAATCGCTGTCTAGAGACTGTCCTAAAATGTTAACAGTTACTAGGTTGGGCCATGGAGGAAGGAAAACAGTTTTCCTTCCTCCGTGGTTGGGCAGAAGTGGGACTCACAAACAAACTGAATAAGGCACAGTGGGGAAACACAAAGGGAGGGTGGAGAATAAACAGAACTCTGAAGAAAGCTGTGTAGGCCTAAACAAAGAACGGAGGGAGAGGAGACAAACCACAAGGAATTAAAAGGGGGAGACCACAGAGGGAAAGAATCCGCCGGTGTAGCTGAGCTGAACAGAAGATTGGGAATATGAGGCGCGCAAGTATACTTCGGCACGTATGGTCTTTGCGTACACGCGAACGCGTGCAGGAACCCGCTTGTAATCACCCGTCTTTCCTTTCGATTGGAGGTCCACTTCAGCTCGGAGGTAGCCTTTCGTCAAGGCCTTCGTGGCTGCATGTGCGCATGACTGCAAAAGGACTGGATAGGAGAACGGTCGAGTGTCGCAACCACGAGGCCTTTCCCAACTTGATTTTTTTTTGGAGGCATCAACTCCAAAGCTTACGCAATGTTTCCATCTGCATGGTTTTTCATGAGGGCAGTAAGCGGTGAGATGACAACGTTTCTCTTGGGGTAGGGAGTCGTTATCATAAAGAATGAGAGTCATTGGACTGACTTATACACTCACTACTGTTTATTCTGAAGAATTATTTACATCATCTCCATATTTACAATGAGCAACTGCTACTAGTAAGGCTGGATATTACTCAAGTACTGCTCGTCAAAATCTGAGCTATTTATTCGGGAGGATAGAAAGGTTGTTCACATTGGAGCTATACACTCACGAACGGTCAGGCAGTTGTTTCTCCAAAACTGCCCGCTCAGACAGTTGTTTCTCCAAAACTGCCCGCTCCAGAAAAAAGATCAACACTAACCGCTGGAGCTGGTCGCTTTATAGACTTATGGGGCCGCGTCTTAGCCAATGAGAGCGCTGGATTGGGGTGGTTATGCATAAGTCATACTGTAGAAAGTCTATGGAAGAAAAGTCTATGAGGATTTTGTACACACTTGGTCTTCGCTGACTTGGGTTTCTTGAGAGCGATAAGGTCCGAGAAGTTTGGGAACGAGAGAGTGAATGGCTGTTCGTGGGTGAGCTACGGGGGACTTGGTCAACGAGGGAAAGGAAAGGGTGAGCCTTTCTCGGTGCATTGGGTTGTGCACAACACTTAGTCTCTGGATTGCTAGGAAATCTACACGTAATTTAAATACTGTAAGGAAAGGAATCCATGCATATGCCTTTCCACTGTGACCTCACTTCTATCATGTCTATGGTTAGGTTCTGGCAAAGTACAGGTAGAAGTGTCCAAGCTGTTTTCACGCTGGCAGCTCTGTTTTGTCAACAGCATTAATCTTGGTTTCATCTTTTTTGGGTCTCTTTGATACACACCAATCATGCTTTGAAACTGCAAACCCATTAACTAATACTACAACCAAGGTTTTACCCTCTTTTGGAAGGTCTCCTGGAGAAGGCCGCCAGGATCCAGGGTGTGGGAAGTTAAGACTTCCCTCCTCCACCACCTTGGCCCCCATCGGTCTCAATGAGTGGCTTATGACCTTCTTTTAGCAGCACAGAGACATGCCACCATCATCAGCATCTATGCACCCACTCTCACCACCACTGAGGACCTCAAGGACAAGTTCTGCGATCTACTTGACCAGACACTCTGAGCCATGCCCCAGCCTGACAAGATCATCCTGTTTGGTGACTTCCACACCCATATGGACTCCAACCACACTTTCTGGGGTGGAATCATGATCGGCAAGCATGGTGAAAGTTTGGCCAATTCCAACGGGCTCAGACTCCTCACCCTCTGTGCTGATCATAACCTCATCATCACCAATACAGCATTCCAGCTACCTGACAAGCTGAAGACGGCATGAATGCATCCACAATCCAAGCACTGGCACCTTATTGACTATGTCATCATGTGCCATGGTGACCTTCGGATGTCAGGATTACCAGAGCTCTCTGAGGTGCTGAGTGCTGAACAGATCAACATCTTATACAATCCACTGTCTGTCTCAGGATCATCCCTCCTGCCCAGAAGTGTGCTGGAAGAGGGTGGAGGAACAAGGCCTGTGATATGGCCTTGCAGATGACCCTGTCCACGGGTTCTATGATGGCGTCAAGTCCAGCTATGGCCCAATCAGAGGCCCTATACTGTCCCGGTTAGGTCTGCTGATGGTTTCACCCTTATCAAGGACCGCCAGAAAATTCTCATCCGCTGGGCTGAGTTTCTCAGTGAGCTGCTGAACTTTGTCAATGCCACTGACCCCACCGTTATCGATTGCCTATGCATGCTTCAACTCTTGTTGAGCTGGATAACCCAAAGTTGTGCAATGCACACACAATTGATAGCTGGTGTTGCAATATATTGTAATTTTGTGGGTTATTTGCATCAGACTTCAAATAGTGCATAGCATAGGGTTTCATGTTACTTTGATTTAGGTTTCCAATTTGTAACCTAAGATATTTTGTGTAATCTAACCAGCCATTTGTTTTGAGAGTTCCCATGCAATTAATTCTCATTTTAAAACCCCTGTTCAGCAAGAGGGGATACCAGGATCTTGAGCATCTGTCTTATCAGCAACTGTATTGACACTAGGAGATTTTGTTGCTGTTAAGTACCAAATTACAACAGTAAATAATTACTACCTCTTGACTGAAAACTAAGTGGAATATGCCTATAGATCTGTAAAGTAAATCCCAAATGTAATGCTTAATAAAATTTTGGGGGGGTTTTTTGAAAGCACATTTTTCAGTTTTAATCACAAAAATTGGTGCACAATTTAAACGTCCGCATTATTGCAAAACCTGATTCTGTGAAGCTGTTTCTAAACCCTAAAAGTAGATCTGTAGTTAGTGACCAACACTGTTTGCATTGGTAAATCTGGCTGATAAAAATAAGAATGGTGGTCTGGCCTCCCTCAGTGTTCATAGATTTAACTGATAATGTCACCTTCCCTGCTGCTAAGATAAAGAATGGAATAAGCCTGGTTTCAGAGAGGGCTAGATTTTTAAAAGAGAAATTCGCCTCATGCACACACCATAACAGCAAACACCATCATTAATATTTACCTTTTGCACACAGGAATGAGAGTGCCAAGGCAGTGTCGAAAGCATCGCTGTGATGCTACTTATGATGCTGTGTGTGGTACGGATGGGAATACATATATCAACCGCTGCATGATGTTATATATGGGGTGCTTACGAGGAGACATGACACTGAGATTAGTACACAAAGGGGAGTGCAGAGATGAGGGTAGGTACATAGGCAATTACTATAAAGGGACTACAAATTCTCTACATTATACCTCTTTTGTAATTCTACCTTTGCTTATCAATTTCACAACAGTTATTTAATTCCTCATGCACCAAATTTCATGAAACTTTGTGCAGTGAGACAGTTGAACTGCTTCCACATATTATTGCTGTTATGGTATGGTTAGGTTGCATTTCACAAAGTCAAAAGGTGGGTGTATAAAACTGCACTTCGCAAAATTGTTGCCCCATTATTTCACGTTAGGTAGAATTGTTGAATGTCATAAGTGTATTTGTGTATAATTCAAGTCATTCATCAAGTTCCCTCAAAACAAGGCACAAAGTCATGTGGTGAGCAGAGCAAATTAAGTGACTCTTTTACAGAGATTGTGAAATGATCATACACAAAAAATGTTGCAATAAAGCTATCATTCCTTTTACAGTTGTTAGTGAAGCACTGCTCACCTGGACTATCAGTTTTGTGCAAAATAGACTGCAACAATATTTTACTCGGCAACAAAGTTGTTGAGTACATGGAAGTTGTGTATTTTTTCATGACATTGATTGCACAACAAAGTACCGGTAAAATTAAATTTGAATTTGCAAATGTAATTATTGAGCATTCATAAGGGATATTTACTTGTTATTTGTTTTGACAGTTATTGTTACTCAAACATCAGTGAGGCCAACAAAACCCACGACAATTACCACAGTCCTAACAACCCTGGCACCAACCATTGGAGTTGATGTAGATCCACAAACTCATCCAATCAAGCCAATATCCACAGAGCCTACAACAGAGATAGTTGTTGAACCCACTGACACAATGACAGCTACAATTCTAGCACAGTCTCAAATGCCTACAACAGCTGCTGAGACAACTGTAGAATCAGTAACAGAAAAACTAGCGACTCCATTAGAGTCTGTAATAACTACAAAGTTACCTAGCACTCAACAGGCTCCAAAATCATCAATTGAATCGACAACAGAAGGTATCACAAGGATGAGATTCACAACTGTTGAAGAAGTAGCTACTACTGAGACAATCATTGAATCAACCACAGGGAAACCAACCACAACATTGGAGGCGAGGACAACAGAAACATTACCTTCGATTCCACAGATTGTAATGCAATCAACTGCACCAACAACTGATGTTCTCATAACAGCAAATCCACTAGCAGAGTCCACCGTAAGAGTGACACCAACAACTGTTGAAGAAAAAAAACCAAGTACTGGAACAGTAGAATCAGCAAGTGACACACTACCAACATTATCTGTAGACCCCATGACAATTGAAAAATTACCCACAACTCCCCAGCCTGCAGGATCAGCAACTGAATCAGTAACAGACATTATTACTAAGAGGAAGCCCACAGTGATTGAAGAGACAACCAGTGTTGAGAAAACTGTAGAATTGACCTCTGAGACAACAACCACTATGTTCAAGTCCACATCAACTGAAAAGTTGCCGACAGTTAGATTGACTTCAAAATTATTGCCCGAGTCGACAGCAGAAGTTCTCACAAAGATAAAGCCCACAACTCTTGACAGAGAACACGTTGGTGGGACAACTGTAGAAACAAGCACTGATACACCACCAACTGTGTTAGAAACTAGAACGACACAAACTTCAACTTCAACTAAAGGAACATTAATGCTATCATCTGTGCCAACAACTGATTCCATTACAGTGATGAAACCTACAACTGAATTCACAACACAAGTGAAAACCACAAATGTTCATGAAAACACAAATAGAGTCACAGCTGTAAAGTCAACAACTAAAACACCATTACCAACCTCAGAGTCTACATTAACTAAAGAGGTACCAACAACTCTTCCGACTCTGAAATTATCAACTGAATCAGTAACTAATATTACTACAACAAAGAAACTCACGACTATTAAAGAAATAGCCACTGATGTGACAGTTGCCAAATCAAAAAGTGAGAAACCAACAACAGTAGAGGTTTGGACAACTGTAACCTCACCTTCACTGACCTCAACACCACTGAGCGAGTCAACAAGTGATATCACAACAATGAAGTCTCCTCCAGAAATTATTGTGACAGAGACACAATCAGTTGAAGAGAAAACCATGGGAGAACTACCTATTGGGAAATCAACACCAACATCATCTGACTTCATGTCAACTGAAAAGTTACCCACAACTCCTCAACCTACAAAATCGTCATCTGGAGGACCTACACTGACAGAAGAAACAACAAGTGTCAAGACAGTTGTGGAATTGACCACAGAGTTGGAGCCCATATCAACTGAAACATTACCAACAGTCCGACAAACTTCAAAATTAATGCCTGAGTCAACAGACGTTTTCACAAAGATGAAGCCCGCAACTGTTGAAGAAACAACTACTAAGGCAACTTTAGGATCAACCACTGAGACATCAAACAGTGGTTTACAATCCATAACAACTGCAAGATTACCCCCACTTTCACAAGCTGAGTTAATGGAGTTCACGACCACGATGAAACCCAGCACTGAAAACCCAGAAATAAATACTGCTGTGACAACTTTGAAATCAACCTCTGAGACAGCAATTACAACTTCACTGGCCAACATTAGCGAAAAATATACACCACCACTGCCAATTGAGGTAACAACTATAGCAATTACATCAGTGAAATCAGAATCAGCTGAAGGGAAAACTGTGAGTGTGACAACTGTAGAACCAACAACTTCAATTCCAGAGACTTCTTCAAAACTACCTCCAAAATCAACTTTCCCCCAGACTCAATCAGCTTTAACTTCCAAAGTGGCCACAGTGCCAGATGCCATTGTCACACCTTTTGGAGAACTGACAACTTCAACTCCTAAGACTTCTACAAAATTACCACCAAAATCAGCCTTCTTCCCGACTCAGTCAGCATCAACTTCAAAAATGGCCACAATGCAAGATGACAGTGTCACACCTATTGTTACCACAGAATCATCTGGGTTACCTGGTACTAAAGTTATTACAGTGCTACCTTCAGATGTAAAGGAGCACATAAATCAGACGTCTCAACATACTGAAATGACTAGCATCACAAAAGAAAATGAAGAATCAATAGTTACAACCAGTGCACCAGTTTTCAACAAGACCCATTTGTCCAGGGCACCATTTGGCCAGTCACTTGGACCACATACAAATACTAATTTCATCACTACTAGTGTACCACCTTCTGCAGTTTCCGGTACCCCTGGTACAAGTACACAGAGTATCAAGCAAGATTTGTCATCAACAGCAAAAGTAACTAGTGAGGAGTTAAGAATTGAGACTATATCTGGGTCAACCCCAAAATCTCTCAAAACTGATATTGTTGAAATCTTGACGGAGAGCTCCACACGTTCTGTATCCATTCCAACGAATGCAAGCCTTATCACAACAGTAAACGAAAAACCGAGGGATCAAACTACAAAAGTTACACTTCCAAGTCCCGAAATGCAGTCATTTGTGACTGAAGAAAATATAGCTACAGAAGAAGTTTCAGGTGTCCAATCTTCACCATTATTTGACAGAGCCACTGATGTAATGTCAGCAACAACCCATGAGTGGAGCTTCACAACTGTATCAGTTGAACCTACAAAAGGTATTGAGATAACAACTGAAGCCTTATTGGACACCATGAGTGATTCTCCAGTCAGAGTTTACACGGGAACCCCTGGTGTTACCACAGCAAGTAGTCAACTCACTGTTGGGCTTCCATTTTCTAAAACCTCTGCAACAAGGCCTAGTCCCACAGAAACAGCTTTGACTGATTTCAGCGGTACTGACATAGCCACTGAAACATTTGCTGTTTTCGAACCAACAGAAAAATCCGACAAAGAAGCAACTCAAATCTTTAATGTTACCCAGAGATCAACAACCGCTAGAGTTTTTGAAGCAACCTCTATGTTTGTTGACAACATTACAAATACAGTAACCACTGAATCATCTGGGTTGTTGACATCTCCAGCTATCACAGATCCAAAATACCATGTTTCAGACCAGAATGGGGAAACACCCATAGTGGAAGTTGTCGACAGTAGTTCAACTGATGAACCAGAAATGACACCCATGATAACTCAGCTATCATCAGTTGCAACCAAAAAGCCTGTTCATCTATCAGATCTCCTTACTGTTTCAGATAGAGCTACAAAAATATCAGCTGACTTATTTCCAAGTACATCTTCACCAAGTAGTGTTGCATCTACCTCAAGCATCGAACCAGAAGAGGCTTCATCTCTGACAGCCCTACCTACCTCTGTGGGTCCTCCATTTGTGACAGTTTCTCAAGTTTCTATCTCACTAACACCCACTCCTTCCATACCTGTGACTCGGTCTACACCAAAACTCACAGATGGTTTGATGGAAGGCACTACCAAAACATTTGGAACAAAGCAAGCAGCAGCTACCACAACTGGACACTTCTCCCAAACCGATGTTATTGAGATTCTCACAGAAAGCACCATACATTCTGTTCAAACTGATGCAACCTTTATGCCAATAGTAAATAAAGAACTGATAGATCAAAGTACTGCAGGTACACTTTCCACTCCAAAAATGGAAGCATTTGTTACTGAAGAAGATACAGTGACAGAAGCCTCAGGCTTTCCTCCTTCACCATTGTCATTTGATTATTTTAAGACAACACCACTTGAAGGCGTCACTGATGTCGCGTCAGTGGCAACTGATGATTTGAGCTATACAAGTGCTCCTGTTGGACCTGCATCAGGTATGGAGAAAACAACCAAAGCCTCACTGGAGATATCCACTGGTTCTCCTACCCAAACTTCTCCCATACCTCTTGGTGTAGTTAAAACAAGCAATAGTAAACCCCCTTCTGAGCTCCCATTTTCTAAAACCCCTGCAACAAAGCCCTTTATTACAAAAACGACTTTTAGTGGTTTCCAAAAACCTACTAAAACATCTGACATTGTTGAAACGACAGACAAATCCTCCATGGATGAGACTAGAACACAGACTGTACCAACTCAAATATCAGATATTACTCTGACAGCAACAAACGCTGAGGTTTTTGAAGCAACCTCTATGTTTTCAGAAATTATAAAAGATACAGTGACAACAGATTCATCTGGTTTACTGACAACTCCAACTGTCACAGACCCCTTGTTACATGTGACAGAGTTGCATAGGGAAACATCTACAGCTGAAGTTGCTGAAAGTAGCTCAACTAATGAACATCCAGAAATGATATTCATGAATACTAAACCATTATCAGCTACAACTGAGAAGCTTTTTCACCCATCAGATCTGCCTATGGGTCCAGATGACAGTACACAAATGTCTATTGACATAATTTCCATCACACCTCTACCAAATGGTGTTGATGTATCTACGGTGATAAAGAGTAAAGTGGAGTCATCATCGATTGGTCTAGTCAGAACAGAAGCAGCATCCACCTCAAGCACTGAACCAGAAGATGTTTCATCTTCAACAGCCTTAACTCCCTCTATAGGTCCTCCATTCATAGCAGTATCTCAAGCTCCAATTTCATCAACACCTGTTTCATCAAGCTTCATGTTTACTTCAAAATCTATGACTCGGACTTCACACAAACCCATAGATGGGTTTATAGAAAGTTCTGCCAAAACATCTGGAAAAGAACTGACAGGAATTGCAACCACCAAACTGCATTCCCAAACTGACAATGTTGAGATACTGACAGATAGTCCTGAACCTCCAGTGTCCGTTAAAACTGAATCGAGCCAAACCTCAACATTAAGACAGGAACTGAGAGATCAAACTACTCTTACAGGTCCACAATTGGAAACATTTATGGCTACAGAAGATATTGTTACAAGAAATATTTCACAAACTCTTATTTCACCACAGGCTGTTGCTCCATCAAAGACAACAACACTTAAAACAGCCACCAATGAAGTGTCAGAGGCAACTGAGGAACTGACTTATACAACTATTCCTTTTGGACCTTCATCAGGTATTGAGAAAACAAAAGCCTCAGTGAACACCTTGGGTGGTTCTCCCATGTCCATTTCTGCTGGAGCTCCTGGTGCAGTTACAGCAAGTAGTAAATCTACTACTGATTTTCCATTTTCCAAAACCTCTGTACCAAAGCCTTCTCCCACAGAAACATCTTTGACTGATTTCAGCAGTACGGGCAAAGCTACTCAAACATATGACATTGTTGAAACAACAAACAAATATTCCACAGATGAGCCTGAGGTGCAAAAAGAAAAAACTCAAATTTCTGTTGTTACCCAGAGACCAACAACTTCAGTAGAGAATGAAGCAACCACTGTGTTTGCAGAAAATACCAAAGATAGGATGACCACTAAATCATCTGGGTTTTTGACATCTCCAGGTGCCACAGATCCCAAATCCCATGTAACAGAACTACGTGGGGAAACATCAACAGCTGAGTTTGCTGAGAGGAGCTCCATTAATGAACATCCAGAAATGACACACATGACTACCCAGGTATTTTCAGATACAACTAAAAAAGTTTTTCATCCGTCAGATTTCTTCACTGTTTCTGGTAAAGCAACACTAATATCTGCTGATATAATTCCTGGTACACCTTTCCCAAGTGATATTGATGTATCTCCAGTGGTAAAGAGTACAGTGGAGTCGTCATCTACTGGTCACGTCAGGACACAAGAAGCATCTATTTTAAGTGTCAAACCAAAAGAGGTTTCGTTTTCGACACTTACACCTCCCTCTGGAGGTCCTCCAACAAAGAGTGTTTCTCAACTTTCCATCTCATCAACACAAGTTATGGTGGACTTGGAAACTGCCTCCAAGCATATGACTCAGTCTACACAGAAACCTATGGATAGTTTGATGGAAGGCACAACTAAAACATTGGGAACAGAGCAAGCATCGGCTGCCACAATAGGACAGTTTTCCAAAACCGATGTTGTTGAGATTCTGACTGAAATCACCACACCTTTGGTTTCTGTGCAAACTGATGCCAACCCTACCACAATTGTAACTCAAGAACAGTTGGATCAAACTACAGTAGGTACACTTTCAGCTCCCAAAATGGAATCATTTGTGACTGAGGATACAACTGAAGAGGTTAAAGTCCTTTCTCCTTCAATATTGTCAACTATTTCATCTAAGACAGCACCACTTGAAAGAGCCGCTGATGTAGTGTCGATAACCACTGAAAAGTTGAGCTTCAAAAATGTGACCACTAAGGAATTGAGCCATACAGCTGAACCAGGTTCACCAGCATCAGATATCGAGACAATAGCTAAAACTGCGTTGGATATCCTTGAGGGTTCTCCTACCCTAACCTCTCCTGTACCTCCTGGTGTAGTTAAAGCAAGTAGTAAACCGACTGTTAAGATCCCATTTCCTAAAACCTCTGTAACAAAGCCCTTTACTACAGAAACAACTTTGAATGATTTCCAGAGTACAGCCAAAGCTTTTGAAACATCTGATATTGTTGAAACAACAGATAAATCCTTCACGGATGAGAATAGAATACAAAGTGTAACAAGTCAAATTTCTGACATTACCAAGAGACCAAAAACGTCTGGAGTGTTTGAAACAACCTCAATGTTTGTTGAAAATACCAAAGATACAATGACTACAGAAGCATCTGGTTTGTTGGCATCTATAGCTGTAATAGATCCATCATCAAATATAATAGAGCTGCACAAGGAAAAAACTACAGCTAAGGTTGCTGAAAGTAGTTCCATTGATGAACATCCAGAGACAACATTCATGACTACTCAGCTATCATCAGGCGTGACCAAAACGCTTATCCATCCATCAACACTCCTCACCATTCCTGGTAAAATTACAAAGATATCTACCAACATAATTCCCACTACAGCTGTACTTGGTGTTGATCCATCTACAGTGGTAAAGAGTACAGTGGAGTCATCATCTACTGGTCCTGTTGAGACACATGAAGCATCTACCGTGAGCTTCAAACCAGAGGACGTTTCATCTTCCACGGCCCTATCTACGTTTTCAGGTCCTCCAATGATGACAGTTTCTCAAATTCCAGTTTCATCAACATCTATTTTGGCAAAATTAGGAACGACTTTGAAACCTGTGACTCAGACCACACACACCCCCATGGATGATTTAAAGGAAAGCACTGCCAAAACATTACAAACACAGCCAACAACAGGTGAAACAACTGATCAGCTTTCCCAAGTTGAAACTGTTGAGATATTGATGGAAAATCCTGAACCTCCTGTTTCCATTCAAACTGATGCAAGCCAGACCTCCATATTAAGCCAAGAACCAACAGATCAGACTATTGCAGTTACTTTTCCAATTGTGGAAATGGAAACATCTGTGACTAAAGAAAATACTATTACAAAAGATATTTCAGGTCTCCCTCCTTCACCAGAGGCTATTGTTTCATTTAAGACAACAGCACCTGAAAAAGCCACTGATGTGGTGTTGATGGCCACTGAAAAATTGAACTATACAACTGTTCCTGTTGGACCTACATCAGGTATAGAGAAAATATCTAAAGCCTCACTGGAGATCTCTGCTGGTTCTCCTGCCTTATTTTCTGGTGGACCTCCTGGTTTAGCTACAATAAGTAGTAAATCTACCAGGGGGGCCCCATTGTTTAAAACCTCTGTTACCAAGCCCTCTCCAACAGGAACAACTTTGATTGATTTCAGAAGTACAGCCAAAGTTACTGCAACATCTGTTGTTGAAGCTCAAGACAAATCCTCCACGGATGAAGATAGAATGCAGAGCATAACAACTCAAATGTCTGATATCACTCAGAGAAGAAGACCATCTGGAGATTTTGAAGCAATGTCTGTATTTGAAAAAAACAAAGATGGAGCAAGCACTGAAACGTCCGGATTTTTGATACCTCCAGCTGTCACAGAACCCGCATCAGTTGTAACAGAACCAGTTAGGGTGACACCTATAATGCCAATCATTCAAAATATCTCTGATAGTGAAAGTGCAGGAACAACACTTACGACTTCTCCATCATCTGGCACAACTGAAAGACCTGGTCAAAGTACAGAAATGCCTATCAACATAATTTCCAGTACCACTGTTGGTCCACCAGCAATAACACTATTTAGTAAACTCGAGTCTGTTAATCAAGGTCAGGAACCTAAAGCTGTTTCAACAGGTTTTCCAATAAAAAAGATCAACCCCTCTGGGGTTACATCTGCAGTCTCCTCCAGCATCACCATATCAACTGGAATTGATACAAGGGAGTCATCATCTACTGGTCCTACTGAGACTCTAACTGTATCTCATTCAAGTAGCAAATCAGAACAGGTTTCATATTCAACAGCTTTACCTATCTCTGCAGGTCCTCTACTGATTACAGCTTCTCATATCCCACAATCATCTATTGTGTCAGAGTCAGTAGTCACTTTCACACCGGTGACTCAGACTGCGCAGAAAGCAAGCAGTGGCTTTGCAGAGGGCACCACCAGAAGAGTGGGAAAAGGGTTGGTGACAGCAGATCCAGTGTTACTTTCAGATCCTCAGACTCCTAGATTTCTTTCATCAAGAACCGAGACCCCGGAAATGCCTCAGGTCACACCTGCTGTTGTAACAAGAAAGCCAGATGATATGGTAACAACAATGTCTGTGAATAGCATTGGAGACTCATCTATTATTCCTCCTCCACCACCCACTAGTCCACCTGCCATGCCTATTTCAGCTACGGAAAAGAAAGGATTGACATCCCCGCCATCCTTTGAAATTACCACAAAAGCACAATTTGTCAGTACATCAATGTCTATAATTGGCTCTGAAAGTAAAACAGCTTCAAGCAGTCCAGAAAAAGTGACTGAACTATTGAGGTCTCAAAGTGCACGAGTTGGTATAGATGTTGATAATACTTCTACTCAAACAGACTTAACAACACAGGGTGCGACTGAGGTTAGATCTGCTCCAGATGAATCTCAAAGCACTCTGACTAAACAGCCAATAGCTTCCACAACAGTGTCCAACAGTGTTAAACTTTTGCACATGGATACATCAGCCAACGTAAATTCTTCATCTTCCCATAGTGGGTATCATGAACCCACAACTCCTCCCACAACCCTTAACTCACTGCTAATGACATCATCTGAACCTGATACCCTAACCACAACCAAGCCGCAAAGTCTCCTTACCACAATGACAGAACTTTTGTCTCGCTCAGCAGAATTACGGCAGATTTCAACACCACCAAGAACGCCACAGGGAAAAACTTCTCAGAAATCCTTAACTGAAAAAGTAACAATGAATAAGGATGTACCTATGAGTACTGACTTTAACCCCCGGGTGGAATTCACTTCACCTGGTTCCATTGAGAAGTCAATTGATTTCACACCACCTTTGACCAAGAAGTCTTTAACAACAATGACTACAAGAGAAACACATAAATCTGCAACCACTGGGGGCCCTTGGATGACCGACTTAGTTACGTCCGCTATGAAGGCTGTTACAGCTGTTGTGAGTAATGTGGGAAGCACTCTTGTACCTACAAATTATAGAAGGACGCCAACAGAAATTTCCAACACAGGCCATATGGGTAAGAAACAGCAGAAAATTAATATTAAATTATGCAAAGATTGAAACATTAAAGTCTTCAATGGGCCAATGAAGGACTGCAATTATTAATTTTGCATTTGTATAAATCTAGTCATTTTGACTTTGAAGCCTGATATGTAGAACTTGAATTTGTATCTGTTTCCAAGAAAAAACTGTTTTCCTTTTGTTAAGAATTATTTTTGCTTCAACTTTGTTTCCATGAATTTCCCAGAGACACAAGATGACAAATCACAAGGTTCACCTCCATCTCTTCAATTATCAACCTCCCAAATAGAGGAAAGCATCTTACTCCATACTACGTCAAACAAAGGGATAACAGATCCTGTCACCACATCAGAATGGTCAACATCCACTGCACTGTTCACATTTGGTGACCGAGAAGGATCAGGAGTCAAAGGGACAGTGTCAGACAGTGAAGGTATCACTGAAAGAGCACAAAGGGATATGGTGTTCACGCCATCTGTCCCTGCAACAACTAAACAAGATTATAGAGTATTTCAATTGGGGAATCCAGTCCAAATGCCAACTGACAGGATGACTGAGAAGGTGACACCGGGAGTGACTCAAAGCAAGACTGCAACATCAGTGAAAAGTGGTACATCATTGTCGAGTCAACTTGCAACAAAGATTCAACCATCCTTTCATCCAGGTAAGAGTTTTGGGAAATTTTCTACCATAAAGACTCTGTGCAGGAAGAGCAGAACAGAGGTGGGCTACTACACTGACAGAAATACAAAGTGTTGACATTTCACCAGTTTACATGTACCAGTGTTGTGGGGTGTTTTTAATCAATATCGGCATCTACACATGACTGTGAGATGGATGTTACATTAAAGTGAGCCTTGTGGCAGGTTCTGTATTTGTTTTTGTGTGTTTTTCTGGAGGGTCCTTATATTAGATTGCTATCTGGTAAGTCTATAGGGTGAATCATATGTTTCATTTTGTCCAAAAACAGCTTGTTTACAGATACATTTGTGGTACTTTCATACTATAACATCTAGGTTATAGCCAAACTAGTTATACTTATCTTTAGAAAACAGGCATGCAGCAAAACAAACTTGTGTTATGCTTATGACATTTGAAATGCTGTGCAGGAAATGTGGGAATCACTGAGCAAGTCAGTTTTATGTGCAGTCAACAGCAATGATAAAACAGACCTAAAAATTTCACAGACCATTGTTTATGATTGCATTGATATGAAGGGTAGATTTTGTTTGAATAGATTCAGGACAATTTGCTACTGCCTGCAACCAACACAGATTACCTATACACATGTAGACAAGCATTGAACCTGAGGGCGATGGGAAGGCAAGGATGCACCACCATTACCCAGCCTTGACTAAGGAAGTAAATAAGGAGAATGTAAAATGTAAACACACACATATTGCAATGATGTATATTACCAAATAAAAACAAGAGGTTATCTGTCTGTTTGACAACAGAACAGATGGCTTTTTCGCATTCTTTTGTACATTTGAACAACTCAGGCATCTTCACATCCAATCAATTTTCGTATATAACACCTTTCTTTCAAGTTATTTGCAAAGTTTCAATCAGATAGAGCTTTTAAGTTTGGAGATATAGGGCTTTAAAGAGCGAAACTTTAATGTCACGTGACTTATCTCTTGATGACATCATCATCACATGGGGTCAAGTTTTCTCTAAAGCACTCCCTTTTCAAGATACCTGCAAGATTTTAACCCGATCAGATATGAAGTTCAGGGGAAATGGGGCCTTAAAAAGTGCACCTTTAATGTCACGTGACTTTTCTCCTGATGATGTCATCATCATACTATGTCAATATTCCTCTAAAGCACTCCCTTTTCAAGATATCTGCAAGATTTGAACTCAATAGGATATATACTTCAGGAGATATAGAGCCTTAAAAGTTACACCCTTAATGTCACATGACTTGTCTCCTGATGATGTCATCATCACATAAGGTCTATATACCTTTAAAGCACTCCCTTTTCAAGATATATGCAAGATTTGAACCCGATCAGACTCATAATTCAGGAGATATAGGGCTTTGAAGAGTGCACCCTCAATGTCACGTGACTTGTCTGCTGATGACATCATTATCACAAAAGGTCAATATACCTCTAAAGCACTCCCTTTTCAAGATATCCGCAAGATTTGAACGTGATCAGACATGTACTTCAGGAGATATGGGGTCTTAAAGAGTGCACCTTTAAGGTCACGTGACTTGTCTCCTGATGAGCATGATCCGACATGAGGTCAAAATTCCTCCAAAGCACTCCCTTTCAGGATACCTACAAGATTTGAACAAAATTGGATATACTACACTTAAGGAGATATAGTACTTTAAATGAGGCACTGTTTAATGTCACGTGACTCGTCTGCTGATGGTACTGTCATCACGTGAGGTCAATTTCCATTTCTAAAACCTTCCTTTCCTAAGTGCCTGCAAGGTTTCAACCCAATGAGACATGTACAATGCAATATACAATACAAAACATTATGCTTATCACGGCAAAAGCACAGATAAGATGTCTGAAACATTTGTCCCTTTTGGCGTTCTATGCAATGTGATCTGCTCTCGGCAGCACGTGGTTGGCATTTTGCCAAGTCCCAAGTATATGCCCTACATACTGTGCGCCGTCTATGTTGCAGGCAGATATTGGGCGTCCACACACACATTAGCATATGCACAGCATGCTAATGGGATTTTCGAGTTGGCAATTTATATTTTAGGGGGTTTTGTCGGTGGGGCTTCACGTGTGTGAAGAAGTACACCAGTTATGCACTTCATGCAGCTGACTCCAGTGTTTTGGCTGTCATCTCGTGCACTATTCGCGCTTATATCTCTTACAGTTGATTTTTTACCGAATTTTGAAGAATAAAAGAAGTTTTTATTCTAATTTCCGGTCTGAGGACGTCATCAGCCCCAAACTTCACACACGTGTTGACTGGGTAAAGATGGTCATTTACATCAATTTTCAGGTGATTCGGACAAACTTTGCCACAGACATCCATTCAAAATTCATTTTTCGGAATTTTTAACCTGTCGCTAGAGGGCACTCAACAATTAGGTGACGTCATTAGTAGATAATTTGAAAAATACTATACCCCAGCAGACTAATAACGTTGAAAACAACTTGATACCTATTTCCACTTTTAAACAGTAAGACCACTTCCGGTATCGACCGGAAGGAAGGGTCACGTGATTTGACCCACACGAGACGAATTGAAGAGCACATATTATCCTGGCACTTACTGCAAACACAATGTTGCGGGAGGCCAGGGTCGATTTTATATGGATTTTTATAAATTAAAAGGAATATCTAATTATTCAAAATTTAATAATAAGTCACATGATGACATCATCATGACGTAAATAATTCAAAATTATCTTTTTTTATAGTTATTACTTGCTGCAAGTTTGATGATGATCAATGATTACTAAGGTACAAAAATAGTGCCTCAAAAATGTGTACAAAGTCAATGGGATAAAAAAGACATTTAAAAATCGATAGTAAATCACTCAATGACATCATCATGACGTAATGTTTCTAGGACCATCTATGAATAAGGGTTGTTCATTGGTACAAATTTGATAATGATCCAAAGTTGCAAAAGCTTTAAAGTGACCGGTAGAAAAAACGTGTACGAAACAAATGGGCTTTTGAGCAGAAGATGAAAAAGGAAGAAAAACCAAGAGGTTATCTATCTGTCTGCCAACAGAACGTAGGGCTTTTTTTGCATTCTTTTGTACATTTGAACAACTAAGGCATCATCACATCAAGTCATTTTTTGTACATAACACCTCTTTTTAAGGTTATCTGCAAAGTTTCAACATGATAGAACATGTACTTCAGGAGATACAGGGCCCTAAAGAGAGCATCTTTAATGTCACTTGACTTGTCTTCTCATGATGTCATCATCACATGAGGTCAATATTTTTCTAAAGCAATCCCTTTTCAAGATATCAGCAAGATTTGAACCCAATGGGATATCTACTTCAGGAGATATAGGGCCTTAAAAGTTACACACTTAATGTCACTTGACTTGTCTGCTGAACAAAGACAGGCTATTGATGCTCAAAGAAGGTTCATAGGGCGAGAGTTCGCATGTAACCCTAGTCATGGGTGTGGCGAATGCGAGTTGCAAGAAAACTCAATGCTCAAAGAGTGAACTCGCATGAATGACTGTACAGTACTGGAGCAAATGAGGATATTGTGCTTTTGCACCCTGAGCAACCAATAGAGGGAAGTAAACCACGCCACTATCCTCCCTAAGTTCAAAAGGACTGAAACTACCGCATTACTGTCCTACTGAGCTGAAGGATCCTTAGCTCGTAATGCAAGTGAGTGTAATAAAAGTGGGGTGGTAGCAAAACTGTCCCCGAATTGGAATCGAATGCACAAAAATAAGGGAAAAAAGGAACAGCAACACGCCCACCAAACAAAATATAAACAAGAAGGGTAAAGAGACCAAACCAAATAAAAGCTTCTGCCTTGATTTCTTATTATTAATACACATATTTATTGGTAGCGTTGACTTTACTTGTGTCTAGATGTACGGGATGCAATATTTGGGGTCAACAATTTATTAAAAGGTGGATGGAAAACAAAGGGTTTGGGTGACGGTCAATTGCTCTCACTTCTCCTCATCAAAGTTCAATATAGGTTTGAAGAAGGCCTACAAGTAGCTTAACATAATACAACACATAAAAGGCAAAGTTATAGAGAGGCGATTTTTTTCTGTAAGTGTAACTGAACTACAGTTTGGCAGGACCATTAGAAATGCAAGTCAGACGGAGTGGGTACAGTACGGGTGTGTAGTATCGCACAACTAGGCTACACTCATTGGGCTGGACCGTGGTGGGAGCTGTTCCGGGCCACCACAGTAACTAGCAATAGCTGGACAGGGCCAGCGCTGGTATGTACCGACCACACTACCACTCCGACTGCAATTTCAGTGATTAGCACAATGATAGAATCGCTGCACTATGTGTCATTGGCTCAGCATAGAGATGGGGAGGACTGGGGCTAGTTAGCAAGACAAAGGTGGTGAGGCACACGGGAGGTGTCTTGCCCGGCAATCGGTTCGGACGTAGCGGTGACGGGCCACTATGACTCACCAGCACCCTGGGCTAGTTCGTACCACTCTCGCATCGGTTCAAACTAAGGTAGCTTGCTTAGCTATGGTTAAATTTCTTTGCCATAAGAATGGTTAATATCACACCTTTCTCAGAAAGGGGGATCCAACTGCCCCACTACGTTAGGTTTCACTCTTGCAACAAGGGTTTGGTCCGCTGCACCTGACCGATGGGCTGGGGAAAATCTGTTCTATTTCTAGGATTCTAGAGGCTTAGGAATTAATAAAATATGAGCGTCGCTGAACAGGTCAACCAATGAGAATCTTCCATCTCAAAGGGTCACATGATTTCTTGCTAGAGTCATGTGCAAGAATCTAAGGGTCGTGTGTAAAAAGGTAAATACAGAATAAGCTTAATAAGAGACCCTGGGATTTATGCAAGGAACGGGAACAAGTAAAACTAGGGGGTGCTACAATTCCAAGATTTGCAGGTGCGCAACAATATGTATATATATAGACCGATCCAGTGTCAAGAATAAGGAGTTATTACTGCGGTATCCCCATAGGCGTGAACAAAAGAGATGCATATTGAATGTTTCCAATGTGAGCACACTGGTAACCAATATCACTTGCTCGTCCAGTTTAGGGATGCATACCTGAGTGGCAGGAACACCGCAGTCATGGTGTCAGTGAATTGGTCTATATATACGAAGTAACAGTCTATATAAGAAGTTACAGAAAAAAAATTTTCATTGAATTTTATTCTGAAACACAAATATAATTATGTACAAAATAGAAGAAGCCGACTGGCAACAGCTGTCTGTAAACGAGACCCAATAGGACAAACTACGCATGCTGCAAGTAGCAAACAATCTGACAATTCCAACACAAGCTGATAATTCAGAAGAACAAATAAAGGGTGATCAAGAAATAAACTGTATAATGCAGGTAGCAATTGAAGGAAACTCCCAAAAACTTTTGGAGTAGGACAAAACATGTCAGTATCGTTATGGTGGGCTAAGAAAATGAGGAAGACTCATAGTTGCCGCTTCACGGAGTCGAGTGAGGGCACACTGCCAGTTGATCAAGAATTTAGCGAAGGGAGTAATGGATTAGGAATAATGCAATATGGGTCATTCCATGTCAGACCAACACACCTTTTGACCTTAAGTCTTCAGATTTTGATAAAAAGTTTTATTTTTTTAAGTATTTATTATTCATTGATGTCTACAAGCACGGGAGTTTTTATCAAAATACAAAGACCTAACATCAAACAGTGTGTTGGTCTGACATGGAATGACCCATTAGTAATCTGTGAAGGTTGTAGGCAGTAGACTGACAGATTTAAGGATGTGAAATTTCTTCAGAAAATCTACCTTGGGGAAACAAGCATTCAAGTGAGCGAATGAATAAAAACCCCAAACTGTGACTTGATACAGACTTATTTCTACTCCACAGCTGGTCTGAATGTCTCCATCACCATCATCGTTGCAGTTATTGTCCTCGTTATCATCGTTTTATTTGTCTATAAGTTTTGGGCATAACTCTAGTATTGTCCACCACTGCAATTGCTTTGGTTTGGACAAATGCTTCTATTTACTACATTAATTTGCTTTTCTTTTTTTTTTTTCAGACACAAATCTGCAATTTTTTGTTAATTCTTTCATGAATATGTGTGGTCAGAGTTTATAGGTGTAATTATTTGAAATTATCAAATGTATTATTTACAAAATATTTATTTCCTGTAGAGTGGAGGATCTGCAAAGTTTACCTACATTCTTAAGCTTTATGAAGTCGCACTTCATATAAATATAAACATTTCCAAGAAAACCAGTAATAATTCTCTTTGAAAAGATGGAATAATATGCATGGGTACCGGCACTACATCACTGTTTTATGGGTGATTCATTTGTTTGAAAGGAAAAGGAGGATTCCTTTAAATTCTTCTAAGAATAGACAGCAAGCCGTGAGAAACTTGTGAAAAAAAATATTGTGAAGGAATGTTTCTATGTAGACTTGGCAGTAATCCAAAGTGGCACTCTATGCAAAGTTACCGAATGTCTCTATAAAACTGCTCAGCTGAATTTAAAAAATAAAAAGTAAAAAATAAATTTGAAAGAGCACTCGTTGTTGCCAAACCTTACCAAGTTTTTAGATGTTTGGCTTTGTTACTGATGTACAAGTGCTATGTGGCAACTCCTCTCAAGCAGAATGTGAAGCTACATGTAGGGAACAGAAGAAAAGGCACAAAAATACCACCATACAATTAACCTGATCTCCTTACAGACATTATTTCATTCACATCTGAACACAATACCTATTTTAGACTCCTTCAGATTTTGAGCTGCTTTATTTATTTTTTTTTCTGTTTGTTTTCTTCTTTTTTTTACTTTTGCATTTTGTTTTGGGGTGATAATTGGTTTTTTGATTTTGGATTCAACACCATCCTTATGTGATGCATAATTGTGAAGGTTTCTTCTGTCAGCTCATACCAAACATGTTGAAAGATGTGAGTATTAATATGCATGTCTATTAAGCTTGCATGGTAGAAAATGATGTTCCAGTATCAAACATGCAGACTGAAACTATTTCATCATTTTGCATTAAATAATTGTCTACTAATAGAAATGCTTCCATATCCCTTGTGACCCCAATTTGCTCTAGAATGAATGGGGTTTTATAGGTTGAAGGTGGGATTCTTTGGAAGAATCTTTGGATTCTTTGGAAAATACTGAAGTTGAATATTACAATTAAATGAAAAAAACATACATGCTGTAATTCTGGTGGGATTGAAAGTGTACAACAAACATGAAGCATGAAAATATAAAATAACCTACCTCGGCCTTGAACTGTGGGAATATGATTAAGTGTTAATTTTAAATGTATTTGCACCTCTTAGTTTTGTATAACACTAATTTTCAGTACAGTCCCTTATACAGTTTATGTCAGAGGAAGCAGTGTGTAAATCCATGCATGTTTAATAGCCCAGAAATACAGGTAAAATAAATTTCAGTCGTCTGTATAAAGCATAGTCTTTGTTATAGGCTGTACAGTCTTTAGTTAAGATGGCATTTTCTATAACTATAAGCACCATCACTGTAACCATCATCATGGCATGCAAGCAAGGAATAAATCTAAACTTCATGTCTCAAAACAATAGCAGTGGGGACATTGAAAGGGGAGAGCAACATTTGTTTGAGGACACTTGGGCACAAACATTATTAATTTGTATATCTTGTGGTTGAATTCATCACCAGATCCACGCAAATGTCCTCATTGTGAGCCTGATGTGTGTCCAGTGTGTGGGTCTGATGGCAAGACCTACCAATCTGCATGTGAATTGAAGCGTGTTGCCTGTCTACGAGGATCCATTACCCTTGTAGCTGAGTATTCAGGGGACTGCATACCAGGACTGCTGGACCTTGGTAAGTTAATTTGAGAATCCAGTGAAATGTAACAGGGCTGGCTAAAATTCTATCCACTTGTGACATATACTCAGTCACACTGTGCATGTGTACACATTCTTGATCATCAATAGTGTGCCCCCATTCACTCGCCCCCGGAAAGGCATCGGTCATGTTCGTCCTCTTTTTCGATGCGCGAAGTGCGCCGAGGCCGTGTGGGGAGGAGGGAGGGAGATTGGTTGTCTGGTAGATATGCAGCAGTAGACTCACCCCACTCTAGGTGGGGGGGATAGTCTACTGCCTGCAACCTATGCAGATTACCAATACATATGCAGAGTAGCAACAAACCATTGGACGGTGGGAAGGCGAGGACGCACTACTAACATCCAGCCACCTTATAGTGACTGCTTGAGTGCCTCCTCCTGCAAAGGTAGAGGATGTCTGCAAATGAGCAACTGCAATGCCGTCCAGCATACAGTCAGTCCATGTGTATGGCACCCCTGCAAACATCATTGAGGTAACAGAAGGTGAATGTGGTATGGGTGTCCGAACAAGGCTCTCAACAAATACAGGAAACTCTTTGAAATAGGCTCCTACTGATGAAATGGCCTGGACACTAAAGGCACAAATGTGTCAACTACATCGGTCATTTGGGCCAGAAGGCCAGTCAACATACCGAACTTAATAGCGTGTAGGGCCATGAAAGGAGGACATCCAAAGATCCGGAGTACTGCTGAAGTTAGACTAAGTGCTTGTTCTTGTGGTCTCGGCGAAGAGGGTATTATTGACACGTCTCGGCAAAACTCATGGCGGCCTGTGCTAGTGGTAACCTGAGGTAAATGGTTGTAGCATTATCTAACATATAGCCGTGTAGATAACTGCCAACATCCCGGAAGATACACCTAGCATCATGGATCATGATAGTGTGGTGAGGTTTGACGTCTGTGAAAATGAGCCATTTGGAACAGATGCTTATAGCTGAGGAAATCCAAATAGTGAAGGCGAAAGTCTCACCTTAAATGTAATGAAAGAAGAAGCACAATACCTCTCAGCTTTTATTCCTGGCCCACTTTTAGGATGGAGAGAATGAACAGGGCCTTAAATTGTAGCCTACGATGAAGGTGAAAGGAGCACAGTGGGACTATCACCCAAGAAGAATATGCGTAGAGGATATCATCAACAGACCACTATCAAGGAATAAAGTAGCTGTTGGGAGCAACAAAGGGCGGCTGTACTGAAATGTTTGCTAGGAAGAGGATACCTGCCATCAATGTTGTCTAAGGGATAGATGTTAATTTTGGAAGCACATGGGTAGCTGAGACAAACAGTAGCTACATATAAATTGGTGACTGCAGTACTCAGTTGCATAGCAGAGAATAGGTTACTGCACATATTGGAGTTCACACTGTTTGTCATGTACCCTAGCTACCCTACCCTGTACGCTACCCTAGGAATCTGGGTAAATTAATTCTCAGGGTTAGGAAAGTCAAACGGTCTGAATAGGAGACATTTTCTCTGGAAAATTCTGACAAAATCACTGGGAGTCTGGTGCAGAATAACAGCAACTAGATGCTCCTGTCAAGGCTGAATCGGCAATATGCAGATGGTCAGGTACCAAGGGACTGGCTCAGTCACATTCTGATATAATGTCTGTTCTGTTGCGTGAATCCTTCCGTTGGAGCATATGTCTGTAAAGGAGTTTTTGGCTTCAAGACGTGAATTACCTTCAGGTTAATCCCAAAGCCAAGGGCTCATCAGGACATCCAACTTTCAGGAGGATGGGGCGTAGTAAGGGTGTACCTCCGTAATGATTTATCTGATGAAGTGATGATGTGCTAACCCACGTACTCCGGTGACTGAAATTTGAAAGTTTGGGAACAGGTGTGCCCCATGCAGATCAGGAAGTGCCAGTAGAGACCAGTAGTTGAGGGCCCATTGTCAGTTTCAACTGCCAACAACGTGTGTCTTGACAGGGAGAGGTATCAGGTTTGGAGGATATGTCCTCGGGCCGAAGAATTACACGTGGGATAAAAAAGCCCAGGTGAGAGGATTGGAGTGGGCAGTAAAACAACATCCCAACAAAGTCTGGATTGAATCTAACAAGGGTCAAGTTGCTGTAACAGGAACCCATGCACATGAAACAATTACCTGTATCAACAAAGGTAGGAATTCAGTAAAGACCCCAGCCAAATGAAGGGCAGCCATGACTGCGAGAGGGTAGCTGAACGAGCAGACGAAGGTATTCATCTGACTGAGTGAATGTCTGCTGGAACCTTGCTACTGTAATTAGTGCCTAGAAATTTGGGCATTGAGGGCACCTGCAAAGCAATGTAACCATTAGCCTCAGACCGAAGGGGATGGGGGCAGTGTCAAAGTCCCCTCTGGTCTATGTCGCAAGCCCTGCTTGTGAAGATTGAAAAGGCAGAGCAAGACTTGACCAGTGCGTAAAAAATCAGAGAGGGAAGGAGGACCAGAACTGTTCCATTGTCTCTTCTCCAAATCCTTCATGACCACCGGTAAGTTAGCAACAGGTTTCTCAGCAACAGGTGGAATTAAGTCAACCCTTTCACATGGGAAGTCCACCACACCCGTCCTGAGCAAAGTCTTATGTAGAGGTGTGGATAGACAAGAAAATTTCATGAACTATCTAGAAAGAGGTGAAAACATTTTGTTTGTTTGTTTGTTTGTTGGGTTGTTGGGGTGTTTGTTGGGGTGTTTGTTTGTTTGTTTGTTTGTTTGTTTGTTTGTTTGTTTGTTTGTTTGTTTGTTTGTTTGTTGGGGTGTTGGGGGTGTTTGGGTGTTTGTTTTGACTGCAGTGAGGGTTGGACAACAGGAGAAATGCTGTCAAGCCGTACAGGAAGGTACTCCAATAAGCTATGAACAGTGAAAAGGTCAGAGACTGGAGAAAACTTCATGTGGCCCAGATATACGAAGGTTTGACTATCTGTATCGAGCACGGAGTCATTGCCGGAAGACAAGTTATGTCTGGTGAAAGTTGCGCCTAGTGACAATGAACAGCTGCAGTGCATGCGAATGTCGGTGTAGCATTTCTGGAGAATGGAAAATTGAGTCTTGTCTCATACATAGAATAGCGTAGACGTTCCCTTATTGAAAAATTCCAGCTGTTTTACGTGTGCATGGGGAGTTAAAGTCTCAGTGCATACATCTGGCCAAAGAGAGAAAAAAACTTTATCTCAACAGGAGCATCCATGAGAAAAAAAAAGTATTGGTCACCAATGCTGACTCTGCCTGACAGGGGCAAATTTAACCCCAATTTTTCCGAGATCAGCACTAGAAGAACAGCGGACATGAAAACCCACTCCAATATTCAAAACACTGAGTGTACGTGACTTGATGTTGTATTCACCGGAGGCCATCCCAGAAGACAATATAGGGTTGCCCGGTAGAGAGTACTGCCTACTGCACACCTAAACGCACGCAAAGAGTGGTTGGCTGAGGCACAGAGGTAAACAGTGTACAAAGGCCTCAACAGCAAAGCGGGCCAACTATCTGCATTGTAGTCTGGATCTTGCCTGCGTTACCCATATTATGTCCACCAAGGCCACATTGGCTATGGCAGGGGGTGGCCAGGTAGAATGTACATGTACATTGTAGCGTCTACCCATGCCAGAATGCCCCTTAAATAAAGAATGACTGAGGGCAGAGGTTGAAGGCATAGAGCGCTCAGTAAGCCTCTTGGTTGGAAGAAAGAGTCAGAGAGTTGTCCCACTGAGCAGGAGCCGGAGAATGACAAGCGGGTACAGTGATTCCTGGAAGGAGATCAGCAATAGAGGGAGGCCGAAAGCCCCGAAGTCAGAGTAGGCCTAAGGGCTCGGCGTCCCCACATGAAGAATGGGCCAGATAGGTCAGAGTGGGCCTGATCCCAGACACCGACGAATCTCAACTGGAATGAACCTGAGCCAAGGTTTCTTTTTTTTGTTTTGTTTGATTTTTGTCATAGTGGTTGGGTTAAAAGTCATTGCCAGAAAACAACCAACCACAAAGGGTAAGGAAACACTTGCCAACAAGCAACCCACACGGTCGAGCAGGCCATGCCCAGTCAAACCTGACCTCAAGGAGTTTAAAATTCTAAGGCTCCTGCAAGCATTGGGACCTGGCTGCAATAGGGGGAGGCCCAAGGGCTCAGTGTCCCCATGTAAAAAACGGGCCAGAGAGGCCGGAGCTGGGCCTGGTCCCGGATGCTAACAGATCTCAATCGGAACAGGAATGGGCCGGAGCTGCCTTCTTTTTAGTCACAGTGGTTGGGAGAGGAGCCATTGCCAAAGCCAACCAACCTCATACGATAAGGGAACACTAGGCGAGAAGCAACCCACCAAGTCAAACGGGCCACGCCTCAAACGCACTCCCACTGTAGGGGCGCGTGAGACGTGCTCACCAGAAAACCCCTGCAAGTAACGGCAAACCAATACCGGGGAGCCGAGCTGACTGCAGGGTGCAGAGTCATGCCCCGAGCTGCCTGCGTAACAAGCATACTCGCACGCGCTCCATTCGTGGAGTACTGGAGGCAGGCCGGACACGTTGCTCGATGCTACGTGCTGCCGAGGTCTGTTACGGTGTGCCAAGCTTCGAACTGCCCAAGCAGCAAATGGCAAACTTAGCTACGCTCCCGAAGGGAGTAATGGAGCATAGGGGCTAGTGATGCTTGAAGCTCGATGAAGGCCCACAGGGAGAGCTATGCTCCATGTAACGCTTGTTGGCACACCGAGGTCTGTTATGGTGTGCCGAGTTTTGACTTGCCTGAGTGGCCCCTTGAGTGGCAGACTCAACTTCACTCCCGAAGGCATAGTGGAGCGGGATCGAACCAGAGATGCCGGATCTCAGGGCCCACGGGCGCGCGGTGTAAGTACCAGATACCACACCAGTACTGCCGCTACAAGTTCACAAATATCGCTCGATACTTGAAGAGCGAACTCATGCACTTGACAGTACAGTACTGGAGCCAATAAGGGTATCGCATGGCTGTACCCCAGACAGGCGAATAGGACGAAATAGTTAACCACACACTGTTCTATTCCCTAGCTTAGCAAGGACCGAAACCAACGCACCACTGTCCTTACTAATTAAGCGATCCCTAGCCCGCAAGCGGGCGAATATCTCGAAGCGGGATAAAGACTAACTCAAACTTCTATCAGGTTTTTCATCTAATACACAGAATACACAGAGAGAAATCGGAAAAATCAGAAATGCCGAAATGTCCGGCAATTACGAAAAATCAAAAATCAAATATTAGAAATATCTTGAAACCAGAAACACTGAAATACCTGGCGATATGAAAAATCAGCAAGCAAATATCCTTAGAAATAACGAAACAACTGCTGTCGAAAAACTAATCAAATTGTAAACAAGAATGCCACAACTGGGGCGAATCAAAGAATATAAAAAAGCCAGGAGAATAAATAAACACACGTACTGAATATTTATTCTGAAGCAACACAAATATATTTATCCAAAAGCAATAGCACCACCTGGCGAACTCTGAAAATAGGTCAGTACAAGGTCAGTCTTCCACCTGTGAAAGACTAAAATGAAAACGGTAAAACATCCAGAAATAAATGACAAAGGAACAATCTTACCGTTCGCAAGAGTCAGAACAAATAAGGTGAATGAGGAATACATAACGTAACGTAATGGCACTAAACACAAAAACTAAATGGTTTCCTGATGGACTATTTCCACGATATAAATTTCAGCACTGGTGGGGGGGGTGGCCTCTCATATTCTCAACTTGGGGGACTGGGCCCCCTGCTCCTGGCATATCCTATAATGGGATGAGACTTAAAATTGATCAGTCTATTGTTTAATTGGTAATACCTGATGGTCTCGTAACTGCCCCTCTCCACTGGGGATAGGGGAAGAGCAGTACATTGGCCTAGGCTATTTGACTCCTGATCTACCTGCCATTATTACCAGTGTTATACTTACCCTTGATGATGTTCATGTTATGTTCAAGCATTAGGTACAGCTCCAGTGGAGATTGGAACGTGCATGATATTGAAAATCTGTCATTTCTGTTCTTTTAAAAGTGTATTACTTCAGTTGTATTTGCAACTTACAGGGTCCTTTGGTCTTCTCTTTTCCAGTGAATGGGAAGACTTCTTGTGGTCACTTTGTGTGCCCATCCATCTATAATCCTATTTGTGGCAGTGGTCATATGACGTTTAACAATGACTGTTCCCTTATCAGGGCACAGCTGTGCATAGATGGTATGAAGGACCTGGTCAAGGTGCATCATGGAGAATGTGAGGACTTTCTTGATATAAAGGCTGACAAAGCAAATAATTTCTATTTGTAATGAAGGCGGGAGTAACAGCTTTTGAGCACACAATATGAATTGTTATGCCACTGAAAGTCCAAACGTGTGTTGAAGATGGAGCAATAACAGTAACTTAACATTGTAAACAATAACCGAGAATCTGCTTCAAGGGGCACATTTTAGAAATAGACTATTCAATTTTAAAGATAAGAAAATAAATGCAGGAAGGTGTGAATCTGCCATTGGCATTATTATAATTGTTATTATTGTTAGTATTATGTATTTCTAGTAATAAAACAAAGGTTTCTTCAAAAGTACCCTTAGCATTGTAGCTTATCAGCCTGAAAAAAAACTGTAGAAAGGGAGACAACTTGATCATCCTGAGACATAAATTAAATGATCCCAAATTCCATCTTTCTGCCAAAATCTGTGTTGCTGAAATAATTTATCACAAAATGCTGCATATTTATGTTACAGACATGTTATGAAGGTCTTTTATATTACAGTTCACACTATTCTCATTGTGCAAATGCAAAATTTGTTATTTCATGCTAACAAACTTGAAGTATACAGTGAATGTAATGAAGCCACAGTTTGCCTGTGATGTAGAGCATTTAACAAAGAATGAACTACTTTATACCAAGACATTGTTTACGTAAAAGAAGTACTGAGGGGTGCAGTGACCTACTTCAAGTGAAAACTTTTGCTGAACTCATCAGCATGAAAAGTCCCCCCCCCATTTCTTTTTTTAAACAGAAATTGTTTGACCAAAACAAAAAAATACCTGGGCCAGGATCAACTCCTTGGGTTTGGGGGCTGCCATCTTAGGGCAGTGTTAATAAAATAACAGATGGAACACGGTCCTCAGTGGCAAAGAAAGTAGAGGGAAGCCATTTGAAAAATGGCTTGGGAACTAAAGTATATGTATCACTTTTCGAGGGGTGAGTTTGTTTTGTGTACACAATTAGACATTTAATTGGCTACCCCCCATGAAAAAGAAACAGAAAAACAATGGTCAAGACAATAATTCAATTTTTGTTTGAGAAACTCCAGGAATATCAGCTTGCATGGTATTGAGGCCTGAACTGTTTGTTTTTACACTGTTCAATGGCACTTGAATTCACTCACTGTATCCCAAGTATGAATTGCCCCCAACATTAAAACAAGTCATTTTAAAAGTGATAATATTTTGAGCCTCAAACAGAAGTTGAGATCTTCAGAGTAACGAAAAAACTCTGTTTATGATAGCGTGTGGAAACCCAGTTTTCCATCCTTTTTGGTTACATTTTCCTCTGTCTCAAAAGTAACAGATGAAGATGTAGCTTCTTCATGTAAATGTGTAAACTTCTTTTAGTGTATAAAGGAAAACTTACATGTATTTTATATTGTAGCCAATATTTTGTAGAAGAAATGTGGGTGGTAGGTCAGAGTGAATGCTTGAAATTTGTTGTAGGACTTAGAGTTTTACTCTTTCAAGTCTATTTTATATTGATATCTGAATGAAATAAATTACAACTATGCAAGTGTGTCTTTTACATGAGATACTGTGATAAAAGGTATTTGATAAGATCTACTTTTATGTGAAAAATTCATTGCTGATTAGTTAGAAATCAGCTAAGGATTTGGCTTAACAATGCTTGCTTGACTCACTGACCTTAAATTACTTAATGACAATTAAGTTACTTTTAAGGTGGGTAAAGGAACTTGGTGTTGGATATTAATAAGGTCGACTTCAATATTTTGAAATGTTTGTATGACTCAAAGTTAAGTATTGGTTTTAGAAATGCCAGAGTAGTTTAGTAATGTTAAATGCATAGAATAGAGTTTTGTAGATGTGGCTTTGGAAGTGACCATTTTTGAATCTGTGCCGATTATTAAAACATTACTGCAATAAATATATCTTTCAAGTGTAAATTAAACAGCTGACTGCAAGAATTGTTTAAGACAGAATAATGGCATTTTAATCAGTAAATGCCATTTTGGACATTTTGGTATAGTGATGCGTGATCTCATGTCATTCAGTCTTAATAAATGAATGGAGAGATATAATGTTGAAATAAAATTACAAGATAATCGAATTAACCACTTTGTGCCAGGGTGCCCCGTACCTGAGACATTACCTTTATATGCAAAGCTGGGGTGCCTGAAATCAGACAAAGGAGCTTCACTCGGAACAAAAGACCGGGCTGCTAGGAATGGCCAACATTTTTCAGCTGTCAATAGTAAATCCATCATTGTTTTGAATGATTATACCACTGTTTGTGGCATTCAGTGCGAGTGGATTACCAGCAGGGACAAAAGCACTCCAGGGATGAGTGACACACGCTAATCTGGTCTGCATTTGAAAAGACGCCAGCAGCACACTGGGCCAGTTTCGGGAACTAAAGAAAATTAAGTAACACTGCACAATCTGAGCTCTTACAAGGCGGCAGGCCTGGCTGAAATACTCTGGCATAAATAGATATTGTCTGTCAGATTAGAGTAGCCACCAGACAGTCATTTGTGTGGGTGTAAATGTCCAGTAAATGAAGTTATGAATTTTTGAGGAATTTTGAAAACGGAAAATCTTGAAAATCCCCCAGATTGCAACTTCAAATTAAACCCAGCAGCATCATGGTTAATGGTTCTTAATTCCTCTAACAGGTTAAGTATTGAGGACTGTTAAAGTTAAAAGGGAAAGTCTTAAGTTGACAAAATACATGTGCCATCTGCATGAATACTGTCACAGTCATATCACATTGTCAAATTCTTTCTTCCACCTCCAACGACACATGTCCCTGTGGGTCTTCAGACAACCACACATATCCTTTTGAGTGTCCAATTTACAGCCCTCAAATGGTCCTGCTGGCCTTATCAACCTTGACACTAGTGGCTGAGAATTGGTGTTCCTGTGTGATACACAATCACCAATAACAATCTCAAAGTGGATTCATACATTTACATGTATCCCAAGTTTCAATTTAACACATCAGGTCATAGCTTACCAGTGTGATGTGGGAAAACCATTTCTACTATTTAAACCACGACCTTGACCATTGAAGTAAAAACTAATAGTTTTCTGGATGACACCAAGATCAACCCAAACACCAACTTTAAGGTTGCTATGAGAAATCCTCAAGTTATGCTGGGGAAACTATTCCTATTGTTTAACAATAATGAACTTGACCTATGTGGTCTAAAGTTAAGGATTACATCGAGATCTCCATCAAGATCCAACAGGGGCCATGCTCCTTTCAAAAAAGGCACAAATGTTTCGAAACATGTTCAGAGAATGGGGATTTTCTTCTCTTCTTTCCAAATTTAGCCTCATCCCTCAAAAAAGCCATAAAACGTTAACTAAAAAAAAAATCTACATCTTCCCTCCCCCCAAAGAAAATGATACAATTACAGTTCACCCAAAATGTTGGTTTGGGATCAATGTACATACCAAGTTTGAAGTTGATACACACATTCAAAGTCCTCAAATTATAGTGGGAAATTTGATTGCATAGTTGCACACAAGTGGCCATACTTGTTTTCAAGTTGTAAGGACTATATATGCACATCTATATGTGTCACAGTATAGACATCATGGGAACCAAAAACATCAGGGGCCACATTTTTGTTCCAATAGTTTTGTATGGAATTGGAAACAAAAGATGTCCACACTATGCAAGAAGGTCAGACTTTCTCTGGACTTACCCATGTCCACAGGCTGTATCATTCTCTCTGGAAAAGACGTTTAGGGGCATTTTCAATCATCATAAAAGAAGAGGAACACTAGGGGAAACATTTTACAAAAATCAAACTGAAAAATCGTGTTCCCTGTTAAAAAAAAATGAGTATTTTTACCAAGGTTTCCTAATTGCACAAACAAAAGAATCTCCACACTTGGTATGTCATGTAAGTATGGATGAGTGTATAAACGCCTCCAATCGTGGACCTATAACAATAGGGGACAATAGGGTCCACGGTTGCCGAAGAGTCCACGGTTGGAAAACGTGTACAAAACATATGGGAGGTCTTCCAAAAAAGAAAAGTTAAAGTATGAACAAAAGAGGAACAATAGGGAGTCCACGATTGAAGGCGTTTAGTGTTGGGGGAGGTCTTCATCAAAGCCGCTGCTCAATGTTGCTCTCACAATCACATCATACAAACATATGTCCGTTTATGTAAATACATGTATACACACTGATAAAATGGATGGATTTTATTGCTTCTTACAAGTACCCAGGTGCAGAGAAAACATGTATGTATCCAGTACACAAAACTGACTAAAATGACGAAAATCAATCCAAATCAGAGCAGAGTTTTTGTGCTTTTCAGCAATCCACAATTACTCCAAGAACCACAAAAGGCTACAAAATAGATCAGCTGCTTTTTCTGTTAGACTATCCACTAGTAAACACACTGGACAGTCTTGTGTACCTAAGAATGTCATTTTGATGTCTGTTACATGTCTGTATGTATGACACAACTTATCTACAGCATTGGGAATATGTTACTTTTAGTCTTTAGAGTTTCAATGCTTTCCAAAAAGTGCGCTCATAATATGAAACCACAGCAATGAAATTAACCATCCGATTTTATCGCCAAAATCGGGAAGGAAAACAATGTGATGTATCACCAAATAGACCTATGTATTGATAGATGTCACACTTTGTTTACATGTGCATTACTTTCCCGTGGAGCCAGTGGAGGGCCCAGGGTCCACTGAGCACCATGGGAAAAGCAAACACGTACAAACGTGTGGCGTCATCAGCACAGGGGTTTATTTTTTGTGATAATTAGGAGATTTTCTTGAGGCCACCTTTTAAAAATATAACTTTTGAGTCACTCATCAAGCAGGAATGTAAACTTCAAAATCATTGAAAATTATATCCTTGACTTATAAGAGATTTTTTCCTTTCCCCAAGAATGAAATATACCTTATTTAAACCAACAAATTTCTATTAAAAAATCAAGGCACTTATTCAGTTCTCTCAAAAATAGATTTCACATAAATATACACTGTACAAATTATAGGAGCTGTGTCATTCAACATTACGTGCATCACAAACTTGACAGTGTTCACACAACAGTCAGGATCCATGCATAAATATACACAAGACTTGGACAAGAGAATTAAAATTTACAATAAATTACTTCATAAAGATCAATAAATATCAATTGATTCAATCTTCCAATATACTGTATTTATACAGATATATATGAAGTATTAATTTCACACCTATTGTTTCTGCAAAGACACCTGTGCACAAGATAATTACTCATGTCTTACAGCATATAACGATACTTAATTATATTAACTTCCCAATCCTGAGAAATATTGTTGTTCATTTAGTGCATCATGTTTGAGTTGGAAAACATTCATTACAAGATTCATTACAAATCAAGTAACATTAATGGACGGGCAGTTAACATACATGTATAAATGTACATGTGCATGTACACATAGTCATAGAAACGACTCTTAAAACAGCAGCACATAGTAACTATACAAATGTGATTGTGAATGAAAGGTGTCTCACCAGAAATCATAATGACATGCAAGTTTTACTGAGATTTCATCTCCCAGGAAATAGGTTCTGTAACCTTAGACACATATTCACATTTGCACTGACCTTCATTCATTTACTTTTCTACAAACTGAAGTGCCAATGTACCTGTAAGGAAAATAACAATGCAGTGCAAGTCTTTCAGAGCATCTGAATTTCACACAATGGAAATAATGCTTGTGGGGAACAAACAAAACCAACAGCCAAGAGCTGTGTCTGTTAACTGGAAAGAACACAGGACTTTCCTGCATTTGCATTTTCTATGGCTTTAGATTTTGTTTTAGCAATATGCTGTTAAGTAATGACAAACACAGAAAATACACGTGTTGTAGTTCTGTTATACAGGACTTTGGAACATGTTCCCAGAATGTATCAGGACACCAATGTCATTTAGACATCATCATGCTTACCTTTAACACTTTCCCAAGAAAACAATGTTTCAACCCAATGACAGTAATATCCTTCAATAGAGATATGTAACACAAGCACCTTCAAGATGACATCCAATAAACCATGATTGTTTCATTGATCATACCACATAAATTTTTGCCAATAAAATACCAGTTTTTATGTACATGCCAAATCAATAAAAAGAGCACCCAATTTACATTTTGCTCACTAAGAACAACATCTACACACTAGGTTTAACGACCATCGATTTTACCCTTACGTGTGATATAAAAAAAATCACATTTTTGATGACATTATCACAAGGTTACACTCTTATCACAGTTCAGTGCAACATGAAACCAAACAACCTTTTGCAAATAGAATTTCAATTTGGCATGTAGCCAATGAAATGTGGCCTAAGGGATCAAAAGCAAGAATACATAATCAAATGATACAATAACCATTTCACCTATAACACATCTCTATATACATACATGTACATAGCAAGTATGAGCCATTAAGATGGAACCAACAGTTTTTTGGAATACAAAACTGTGTGCAAAGTACACTGCATACGTGTATATAACTGGGTCATTCCAGAAATTCAGGAGGCCAAAAGTGTGAATTTTTGTGTCCCCTGTTACACCTGAACTGTGTAATTCAACATGAATATATCATCGAAACTGATTTCATACTATTTCTAGTTGTTTGACAGGTAATTTTCATTAATTCATCATTCTTGGAAATTACAGAATGTGTTCTGAACTTAAAAAATCATGTCAGATGTGACAGAAACATGAAAAAATTGGATCCACATTTATAGAATTACATAACTATACTTTCTTGAGCATATGAAAGCTATATCCCTTACTAACTCTCCACGTCACATGTCAGCCATTTAAGCCATGTTGTAACAAACAGTTTGAACAATATATACACATAAAAAAATAGTATTCTATAATGTGGGACACTGGAATCACAGTTAAGAAGTTTGAGAAACTGTTAGCAGCTTTTAATTGCATTCAAAATGCTTCTACCCAACATTTAAAAATACAAACGATTATCTCACTGCACATGTTTTGATTCCATTTCATAACTAGTTAGACTTGCATACCCTGTGGGTTTTTAGGGAGTTCACATCTAAAAACATTTAAAACTGTCTCACAACCAAACATTTACTTTTATTTTACTGTCACAATATTATTTGCCAAACCAATGATAAGGTCATAAGCTAATGTTTTTCATAATAAAGTGCAATGCTAAATTAACATTAACATTTCTAAAATGTAAACACAAAGTAAAAGAGGATTTTTCCCCAAGAAAAAAACACACAAGAAAAGAACAAATCTGCCCCAACCAAGAACACACAAACCAAATCAAACTAAACCAAACAAAACAAGAAGTAAATTCAAATTATTCCATCCTTCTCTGATCAACAAGATCAAGTGACATACTAGTGAAAATAATACCCTAACAATTGCTGGTAATTTTCATGTAGACCGATTATGGAGGATCAATATTGCTTGTGACTGGTTTTCCTCTTTGACATAGGTTGTACATACATGTTACTTTTTAACAGTGGTTCCAATTTCTCCTCCATTTTGAGACAAATGCCATAGCAAGGCTAGAACCCAAGGCTGAACCCAATTATTTACTAATACTTTTTCAAAATAAAAAGATGTCTACGTTCAAGCTATCTTGTAACAAACATACTGACATGTTAGGACACGACAACAGTTGGACAGCTATTAAAGTATACAGCAATGGCACAGTAAACTAACTTATATAAATATTATTTGCGTTGTGTCTGCTGATAAAAGTTAAACCAGTTTCAAACCATTCACATTTGTACAGAAAAAGCTACAGAAGTTTCATGATGTTATCAACTCCTATTCTAATATAAGCAAATTGATATCACAGCTTATTCCATAAATAACTTTGAAAGCTGTCACTTGTTCTTACATATTTTGTAAACATCAACATTTCTTGGAAAGATTGCTCTGCAATACAAACTGTACGATGAGCATAAAGTTTCAACATCTGAAAATAGCTCCATCAATTTGTGACCATGCTTATCATTATCCAACCATGCATATGGTATTTATCTTACTACCCAAGTTGTCCAGTGAGGATTCTGTTGCTGGTACCTCAATTTTCCTGACACAAAAAAATTACATATCAATGAAAATCAATGCAAATTTGATATTGAAAGAGAATTCAGAAAAGAGAAGAAAGGTCAACACATTAGAAAGACTGAAGGAGGTGGAAATGTCATGTCCCAGAGATGAGCAAATATCTTGCTAAAACAAAATCCATGAAATCCAATAAAATGAGTGATACTTATTTGTATAATATATTTACAATATTTAAAAACCAAATCCATGTTATATATGAAAATTAACGTTAGTCGGATTCACACACTGGGGTATTACGTAAGGGGGATAGAGTAGGTGTACCTGAATCAGTCGTCCAGCTGACACAGCATGGCTACACCTCGATTGACCCAATGATTAGTTGGACAGTCAGATGCTAACTCAACAAACAACACAAAGTTGGTGGAATGACCGGTGGTGGACAGAGTACCACGTCTAGCACTGGTCTTATAAACTAGATGAAAGAAAACCAGAATCAATATTTCAAGTTGACTAGGACTACTTTGAGCTGGAACTGAGCACCTCACTTGGATTATTGCTAAATGTGCACTAAAGTATGAGCTCACTTGTATGCTCTCATTTAACTGTTCCTATTTTCACTGTTCATATTTTCATATTTTAACTGTTCATATCTCGTTTATAACTGTCCCTAGGACAATGAAACCAGGAAAAGAAATTGTCCGGATGCAGTTGCAATTTCATTAGATTGTTCTAATGACACATGAAGATGTTTCCATGCAATTATGAAAGTGAAAAACATGGCTCATGCTCAATAGGCTGACACTCCCGTGATCTTATCACTGAAGAAAAGCACAGTATGTGAGAAGGTGTTTTGCTATAGGGCATATTCCTGGCCTGGTTTAAATTCAAGTCTGTTTTAAAAGGATGGTCAAGCATGTCCCTAAACCATCATCAAGCAAGCAGGTAAACTGTCATAACATATCCAATAAGATTTTCAGGTCATGCACAGCCAAAAATCTTACTCGTGTCGATTTTGTCTAGGTACACAGTGAACACCCCACAATTAAACTGTGTTTACATTGTTGTGCAACACACTAAGTTTGTAATGATGACTAAGTATAAAGTGGGTCTTGGATGCAAGACACATGCCATACCCAACAATGTGTGAGGCAAACCTGCCTGCGTTCAGCACTCTGTTTAGCCTATAAATCAAACAGGGAAGACCTCGAGTGACAACTTCTACACTTACTCCTGACTGAATGCTCAGCCTTGGAAGGGTTGCTTACCTGGGCATGAGTAGGTGCTCTTCTGTTCAAACGATGATCTCTCACCAGGTTTGATCCAGATCTAATGGTAGAAGTCAAGGAACCAAAACTTCATCAAATAAAACCTCTGAATCATGTAACGCTGCTTCCAAGGGTCAGATATTCTTGGTTTCCAGGCCCCCATGTGTTATTTACTGCTATCCCTCCCTGCCAAACTCCCTTATCCCACACCTGTAGACAGAAGCACACGTACCTTCCAACAGAGCACAGTTCTCATAAAGTATCATTGTAAAGGCTCCAGCACAGCATTACTTTTTTTAATATTTCTATCATTCAAGCAACTCCAGCACACTGAACGTACAACAAAAGGTTGAAAATATTAAATCTTTTCAAATTCTGTTCATTTGCTTGATATAATACTTTCCAAAAAAGGTTAAACAGTGATGGCACTTTTTGGGGCTGCCACTTCTTAATTTTTTCATCGTTATTCGTATTTTTACATCGTAATTTTTCTCCATTTTTCTTAGCCATCAATATTTACATTGTATTTGCTGTAATTGGTAAGACATTTGAATTTTTTCTGTTGTAGTTTTAATCTTTTATTAGTAGCTGTTATTAGATTCCCAACTATTACTTTGGGTCCAGCATTGCCCCTCCGGTTGTGTGTATGTATTAACATATATGTACAAGTACCACAACCACCATGATTCTGTATCACCTGTATTCATCACAAGTTGCAACTGATTGGATTCTTTAGCAATACCGAGACTATCAGAGACAGTAGTTATGTAAGACTACATTTTGGAATATTCCATGCCCCCCCTTACAGTTCATTCAGGGCTCCATTTAGTGTAGAAGTTACCCTGTACCTGATTTGATTCATCTAAGATGCCATTACTTAAATGGTCTAAATATGGGCAAACTAGTCTGGTTATACCTGGTCACGACCCTCGGCAGAACATTACTATAGTTATGGATGCTCCGTTCAATCCAGTTCCAACAAGTATATTGCGCACAGGCAACAGTCTTAAAAGTTGTAGTTCTGCGAAATATTGCTTGCTAGTGAATGGAATCAAAACCTATACCTGCAGTCAATTGTTCAGACATCAAACAACTTGTAATTGCCCTTTTACAACTGAATGGTTTCAAACCCTGAAAGCAAATGTGATTCTTTGGTTCAGGGGAAGGTGATCAGGTCGATGCAGGACTGGTACACATGTAAAATTCCAGTTCCTTTTAGCTATACACCAAATCATGTTCATGACTGCGATCACGAAAACAGTGCCTCTGTCTTCACTCCTATAATGGTACAACCTACAGAGGTCTCTGAAAATCTTCTAAAAACTTTGTATCTTGACTGCTGGATCTCTAAAAACATACAGACTGATTTTGTTGCACGTGCTATTAACGGCAAAGCTGATCTGTTTGCTGTCACTGACACATGGCTTACAGACGTGGATGTAGCCCATAAGGTTGAAGTTATACTCCTCCTGGTTTTAGATTATTGGATCATCCTCAGAAGACTCCAATTGGGGTAGGAACTGCTGAAGTTTTCAGAGAACAACTTCATGTTTAAGAAAATTGTTGGAGGGGGAGTGGGGTCATTGGAGTATTCAGAATAGTTTGTTGCAACTAATTCCAACAAACTAAGATTAGTTATTATCTATAGACCACCTTACTCTGTAAACCATCCTTTTACAATCGACCAATTTGTCAGTGAGTTTGCCGACTATTTGGAAAGGATTGTCTTATCTCGTGAATAATTGGCGATTTCAATATTCATGTTGACATTCCTGATGACTCCAACACTAATCAATTTTTTTGTGCTTCTTGAATCTAAGGGCCTACAGCAACACATCAAGAAGCCTATGCACGAGATGGATCACATTTTAGATGTTATTACCCAACAATCAGAAACTGTTTTGGGAAATTGTATTCGGGGCATCAGAAAATGGATGCTGCATGGTAGGCTATTGATCAATGATGCTAAGTGTGAATTCTTCATTATTGGAAAAAGGCGACAGTTGCAGAAAATAAACATTTCTGTAATCCTTCCATCCAGGTACGTCAGGAATTTGGGATAATGGTTCAATTTGGAAATGATAATGGACCCCACATCACCAAGGCTTGTTCTGCAACATTTTTCCGCCTTCACAATGATAAGCGCATCAGAAAATTCCTCTCTCACGATTCTCTTTCAGTATTAATTCATGTATTTGTGACCAGCCGTTTACACACTACTTTAACGGTCTTTTGTCCGGTTTGCCAACAGTACAGATAATGAGATTACAGCGAGTCCAAAATGCTACAGCTAGACTTCTTATGAATACATCCAAATTTCAACAAATAACACCAATATTGCGTCACCGCCACTGGTTATGTGTTTTGTAGAGAATTAACTTTAAAATAATTTTGTTAGCATACAAAGCCATACATGGTCTTGCTCCTAGCTATTGACAGGATATCGTCATTATGAAAATGGAGTCTAGATATCAACTCAGGTCCGCAAACAACAGCCCTTTGTTAAGTTATCCTTGTGGTAAAATGTTACCTACACTTCATGACAGAGCATTTACAATGGCTGCTCCTTTGTTGTGGAATGCCTTGACATGGCACATTCAGAGTGAACAGAGTCTTGTCGTTTCCAAATGTAAAGTTAAAACTTGTCTTCTTAATGACGCATTTGCACGACGATGTAGCACTGCAAGATATTTGATTTTTATCAGTTTTATCTAGTAGGTTTATTATTTTTAGTTTTAATGTAGGTTCACCTATGATTAAATAATTTTAGTGTCACAATGTCTGGTAGTTAGCTCACTTATAGCCTAGGTAGGGTTAGAGGTGTTTGTACCCAGGAAAGATTGAGACATCACCGATGCCAACAGGGGTAGGTCTAGGTAAAATATTTCACCCTGTTGGCAGGACTGACGTCTCCACATACTGCGGTTTAGGTACTAGTGAGTTGACATTCATTTATTACTTAAATATCCATTTAATTCCTTAAGTTGTACCTGTACTGCGCCATTGATCATTTTTATGGAAACAGCGCATTATAAATTTGCAATTGTTATTAATTATTATTATCCACTCGTAACTTCTAGCTATGAAGCATGTACAATTTGGTGATGGCCAAAGTAAACAGTCCAAGATTCAGACATGCATCTTTGTACAACCAGTTTGAACTTCATATTTTGAGATTTATGCCATTGAAATTACAGTAGATTTGGGGGCTTCAATCTGCTCAGTGAGATCCTTATCTGTTTACTTTCTTCTATAATGATAAAATCCAGATGGAAATTCTGATATTTTGATGTTTTTTTATAGCAGTCCTCTAAATCTAACTCAGAGAGAATTTTCATATACATGTATTTGCAAAGCTACATCCTAAACAACTGCACATGTTCCCGTTAGTAAACATTTTCTTCATATCTCGCTATTGGATTAACCCCTCCCACAAAAAAACAAACCTTTAAAGTGGCCATACTGCATAAGGATTATTCTGATCAGTACCAAAGGATACAACAGGCAGCATATCATACAGGATTTTGGGTAAGGACTCGGCAAGAAGTTTCCTGGACCGATCCCATCTGGCTCCCTCAATGAATAAACCTTTAATATAAACTCCATCCACCTGAAGAAGACAAGGTAAGAAAATTCATGTCAAGTATCACAGTCTCTATTTTGTATGAGATCTGTCTACAATAATAACACTGTTTATACTTGAACTCCAGTCTGTGACATTTTCTGTGACAAATAATTGCCAAATACCAATTGATTGAGTAAGCTGGTATCAAAAACATGCACTAACATGTCAATGAATTAATTACACAATTCACGGACACTTGTTTCCAGCGCAGATGCACACAACTTTGTCACCAAAGCCAACCATGAATAGGCTTCAACAGGCCCCGGCTAATCAGGCCAGAACTAGCTTACATATGTCAACATCTGCTGGGGATAGTGATTATTTTGCTATCCATCCTGTGACGTATATCAGAGGAAATGGTGACCCCTTTACAATGACCACTAGGTATATGTACTGCATTACAAACACACAATGGATATTATCAGTTACCCATCTCAGTAACAGTGTTTTAAGTAGTAATTACCATATAACCACATACTTGTTAGACTAATAACACATTGTATATATCAAACAATGAAAGATATTAGGAGTTGGCTGCTTTCTTGTTTAAATGCCACTTAAAAAAAACCTGCAATAGAAGCACTAGAATCTGGGGCAGTGTTGGGTATGATCTAGCTTACTTAAAATGCTGTACAGGATACAACACCTGTACATCTCAACCTAAAACAACACAGGGTTCCAAAGCTTTGTTTTAATTGGTCACAAACAATTAGCGCTATAATTCTTCTGACAGATTCCAATGAGCACAACTTAAGTGTTCAAATAGAGCTTTTACACATCAAATTATTGTGTCTTAAAAAAAGGCGTGCAGAGTAGTATCAATTTTGAAATAAAACAGCCCAATCCAACCACTTCATGTACTCGTGCTCAGATTAATGAACCCAAGGACTTGATGTAAAGTAGTTGTAACTATTTTAAGCTGAAAGCATTAATGAAACACTTACTGGTCTGCTGGGCATGGATGTTTCCAGATCCATTACTTCAAACTGGAAGCCCAACTGGTCGATAGGGATCTTATATTTCCTGGCATAGTTCTGCATGCTTCCTGTCAAGAAAGACTGGGTGAAGTAGAATCCTGACATCCAGAAGACAGATGGCATACCTGACTGGATCCAGTCCTGTATGAAAACACAATTGTGGAAGACGATGACTTGATAATTGATGAAAAATAATTAAAGTGGATTGGTTAACAACATATAATAACAGCATTTGTAAGTGTTCTGGGAAAAGCTATCAAAACTAAGATATATGGCTTACTGTACTCAAGATTGACTGACCAACACAGTGACAGATGACTGGCTTGAGTGGAGTTTCTGAATTATTGAGTCAGTGAAAGATACAGGGTATGCTCAGACATTGGAAAAGTTGATCTGAATTACATTGCCCTTGAGCTGAATTTAGATAGAAGTCCTTAATTTGAAATATGCTTATGTTCAGACCAGAAAATTACGCCAGCACTGCCCACTCTACCAGATGAAAATGTGGCTCAAGTTACCCACGAAACCAACTGTAGTTACCTCCAGCTTCCTGGGGTTCAGGTTATGAAAGCATGCTTGCAAAAAAACACGGCGTTCCAGCAAGGCCGCTGCATGCATGTCATTGATTGTATGTGTGCATACTTTACAGTCATTTGCAAAAGTTTAGGACCACCCATACAAACTGCATTAGCCTGAAGAAAAACAAACTTAAACCAATCAATCATGGCAACTAATGTTTATTTTCAATGTGTAACCTTAGTATCTTGTTTAACAGCTATTTGACTACAGTTCCACGATTTGAAATGTTAGCAGTCTAATATTTAGTATGCCCACTTTATTTTTGATTACTTAGACTGGTTTTTTACCCATGCTGCCTTACAGACAAAAATGTCATACAAGACCTGCCTTTGCAAAAATTTCATTCAAATGGGTATATAGCACTACACTGATGTTATTAATCACTGTAAAAACATGTGAATTAATTAATGAGACAATGTAATGCAGTCTAAGTGACAGAAAGACCAATAAAATTCCAGGTGATCTTAAACTTTTGCAAATGACTGTACAACACATCATCGTTTGACAAATAATAATCACCGTTCCTCCAGAGTAAGTTTGATAGGTAAAAATGGTTTATTTGTGAGTGCTACCAGTGTTTGTTGAAATTATGTAAAAACAAATGGGTAATAAGCACGTAAGAGTGGCTGAATAATAAAGCAACAATGTTGAGCGTAAAGCTGTGTGAATGCAATTATGCTTGTCTACCCTTTTACATTGTTTCTAGGTCTGAAGAAGTGTTTACCATCATAGCTATCCATACATATTGCTATCCATGCCCTTGTGTCTTGAAAAAAGCCTATGCAAAAATATAGGCGTGTGTAGTATTCCTGTCCAAACAGTAGTTTGGACAGTGTAATTTGGAGACAAGATGTTTCCAGAATCATGACAGTACATGTAGACTGACTTTGTCGATTTGAGCTGCATGGATTTTAGATTCACTTTTTCAGAAGCAATGATTTCAGGTGAAAATGGTAGGTATGTTCATACTTTCAGTTATGTGTTTTGCATACAAATCATGTAGGCATAAGTACAGGTAAAATGATGTCCGTGATCGCCAGCCATGAACACTGCGTGCAGGACTTACTTACGTAATGATCAATGTGAATAAATTACTCCAGGAAGTCACGTCAAATGTTACTTTGCATTCAAATGTTACTTCAGGGCTCGTTCAAGCAGGGGAGATTATCATAGGCTCAACTTACACTAATTCACCATTTTTGAGATTCCAAGTAGGCACAACCTTGGTGCTATTACTTACCCAAAACAGATATGTTTAAATTAACCACTATTTGGCACCTTGCCTAAATGTAACCAAGGTGGAGATAAACAGTTCTCTTTTTAGAATTCTTTTCAAAATGTTTTGAACAGAATACAACTTTCATGCACGAAAAACATTTAACTTGTATGCAGCAAAAGAAAAAAGTAAAGGGCTAATCCAATAAGATTAAGGTAAGAATATCTTGGCAGGATTATGTTCACTAACAATGAAGTCCAATACAACTAATCTACATTACAAAATATGTGTACCTTGAAAAACTGCAATCTAGCCATCAGATCTGTGATGTAGCTTCCTAGAGGTTTCAATGATGGATAAGACTTAGCTGCCCATATGGCTGGAACCTAATGACAGAAACCATGAGCTTGGTTAGAAGTTTGGTCTAACAAGAATATTAACTATTATGGCAAAAAGTTGACATTTTCAATCATACTCAAAAGGACCATCAGGTCCTAAGTAACCTACTGAATTCATGCAAGATTAACTGTATTCAAAATAACTAAATAAGTAAAACATACTAAGTATTAAGAACATGAATGTCTTTTTAATGCAACTGGGCTATTGTGTAAGATAATTACATGTAGTACATTAATTACAGCTTCATAAATTAAAAAAAAAATTGCATCATTTTGTTCAGAAATCTAATCAAGAATTTTTCAGTCTTAAATTTTGACTCCAATAATATTTAGTGTTGCAAGAAGAAGCTACAGAAGAAAGAACGGTCGGTAGATCCAATAAAATCATGCCCCCCAAATCAGAACAAATAATCGAAAAGTCTTTTAAACAGTGGGCCATAATATATTTTCTGCAGCAGCTCAAAATTAGTACACATTGTTCTCTACCCTCATAGGTATATGTTTATAATCCTGGCTGGGGCACTAGGAGAGAAGCAATGACAGTAAAGTGTCTTAGCCAAGTAACACAAGCATGATGGTATCTATGGGCATGAACCTATACACATGAGCCAAACTCAAAACCTCTGTCTACTCAGTCAATTATCATACCTTGCCCACCATCATGCTACTGAAGACATCTTCCAGGTCAGCTGACATGACCACCAGTCCCTTCAATGCCCTCCTGATGTCCAGCAAACTGCTACGGATGACGGTGATCAGCCGATCAAACCGTATCAGCTCCTGAACCAGCACAGTGTTCATTGATTCCTCATAGCGGACAGGAAACTTGGTCTACAAATATAAACCAGCACAAGACCGCAAGACAGTCCGGTCAATTTGTTTGTTTATTCTTGTGTATTTCTTTTGTGCTTCTGTATACATTATTTCAAAAAAATATATAAAACCGAAGGAAAATGTTCTGGAGAGAGTCAATGAGATTCTGGCTGCAATGAATTCAGCTGGAGAAAAATGCTTTTTGAATTTCTCACCTTTTCCGGATGAATGGCTTATTTCCAAGTCATCATTCACATGACACAGTAAATGGAAGATGCTGATATGAACACAACAATCACTCAGGAATTCTGAAGTTCACTGGCCATGATGAGAGGTATCTTACCTTGACTTCTTCCACATTAAAGTTGGGAGGGATTTTGGAGAGGATATCAGTTGCCAAGTCTTCAATGATCTGTTGAGCAGTTCTACCTACTCCAGATGCCTGTTATAATCAACAAATATATGATCAACAAACATGAATTTCCTGGAGCACTAGGAAAAAGGTCTGTTCTTAATGTTTCACACTCTGACAAGAGCTTTAAGGTTTTACTTTTTGAGAATACAAAGCAAACATAAAGATAGTTAATTTAATTTTAATCAAATGACACCGACTTGAGAATAAATACAAATAAAAAGCAGGCTAAAAGAAATCAACATACATGGCTGTCCACACTAATTATTTTCCAAGAAAAAGAAAATACATAATTTAGAAAGTTTAGGAAAAAATTTTAATGGTAAAAAGTGGCATTAAAAGGAAATAAGTTTAAGAGAAGTGATATAAAACAAAAAAAGTTGTCACTTGCTTACATTACCAAATATGAAACTACCTAATAAGGAGTAAGCACCAAAAAACTGACTAATCAAACTATACTTCCACAAATAAGCATCAACATCAAGGCGTGCAAGAGCATGGGGCAATCCAATAATACATTCTTGTATTTCATCAGTATTTCAATCAGTAACCCAAGAACATATTCCTTTTGTCTAACAGTTACTGTTATCTCTGATAAACAGGAATATTCTGTTGGTTAGCCACTGTCTACCTGATCCTTGCGTTGACTTCTTAGTACACGTTCAACACGACTTGAGCCATCGCGTGGTGTCTGTGCGAGCACAGCACAAATAGCAACACACGCACACAGAAATGGTGAGACAGAGACAGCAAACACAGCATGTGAAGCAAAAAAAGAACACAAAAATAGTTAGAGGGAAAGTTTGGCAATGATTAGTTACGGTGACTGACTGTCAGAATAAGCTCATAACAGTCGCAAAAACGTGTGCCACAGCCTGCTTCATGTACAGAACACTGTTAATGCCAATTAATGTTACATCTGAGACATCTTTGAGAAAGCAGCAGAGACATTAGGCTTGGTCATCAGAAATTTGCCAAAGTTTTTGAACAGAAGCAGGTTGAACTTTGCATGTGACAGTTCAAGTAACTTTGATACAGCAAATCAAACATTGACAGTGTCTGAGCACATCTGTTTTATAGTTTCACCTGAAGCATATTCTACTAAGTGAGTTTCAGAGAACAGCATCTTCGTAAGAATCTACACAGGGTAATGAAAATGCGGACGTGTAGACTAGGACCCTCTTTGTAATACTTTTTACTCTTTGCATTGATTGTATCAAACAGTTAAAAACCTCCAGAACAATATCAAATAAAACGATTCAACTTAAGTGAAAGTTCGAACTCTTTGCAAAATTAACCTACTTCACTTGGGCAATATCTCCAAAACTATCGATAAAAATGGAAGCTTTATATCTTTACTTTGAGTTTCCTTTGTTTTTATGCTAAACTGAGGCAATTTTGCATCAATGCTGTTTCTTGGAAACCGGACAAAGAGAGCACAATCTATTGGTTTCCATATCAACAGGCCTCTTGAAATGTCACTTTTTTCAACAGTGATGAGGCATACTATTGCTTTCTGTTGAACAATTTGAATGGGACAAAATTCAAATGATGACAGAATTTGATAACATTTCACTACAAAGTGCCACAGATTTTGCCATTGTTCTTGCACAGATACTTGCAAAGATATAAATGATTATTCAGAATTCAAGTAAGTCTAAAAATTAACAGCCAAAGCAGCAAAATGAAAAAGGCATTTAGACTTATTTTTCCTGGCATTCACACGACAAACTTTAGTGAAAAACACCATAAAACTAAAAAAACAGATACAGTAAAAAAATAAAAATATAATCAACAAAAACAAGTAAAATAACACAACAAACAATTTTATCACAGCAAACAGGAAAATATACTGAATGTGCTACCTCAGCAGTCTGTACGGCATAAGTTTCCATAGCAACAGGTTGCAGTATAACAATGACCATCACAAGTTGACATGAGCATTATGGTGGAAAAGGAGAGAAGAATGGTTCAAACACAAAAATGCCTCACAGAGATTTCGACCATTTAGGAACTTTCAAAAAAAAAGGTAGCTCCCACTGAGAAGAACAGACAATTCCACAATTAACGTAGATACAGCCATTCAATTTTCTTCAAAAAAAATCACATCTTGTAACGTCCAAACAGAAATTCTGCTAATCAAGAAAATACTATTATATTATTGACAAATGGTTGAGGTTATTTCATGTGACCAAATTTTACAAAGTATTCAAAGTCTTCACAACGGCTTAAAGCTTTACACCCAGTTTGATGATTTAGAATAAAAGGCAATTGTGAAAAGGCATTCACTCCAAAATATTCTCCTCTGGGAAAAGAAATTGAAAGTCAAGTGATATGTTAAAAAAACATATTCAGACTAACACTGGAGACTAGCATCTAATCACAGATAACAACTAAAGTGATTGAAGTCTGTTCTTTAACTTTTAGTCATATATTACCCTTTAAATCTCATTAAGATTAGCTCAAACCAACTGAATCAATCAATGAACCAATCACATTAAAAGACCACTGTGGAAAGATATGTGTGCTATGTCATCAAAAATGTGGAATTGTCTGGGAACAAACTCAACAAAAATGTGCAATGTTCGACTAATCTGCAAACTATATGTACCAACAAGACAAAGCGCACCTTGCACTTACCACTATCTCTATATAGCATGATGTAAAATGTTGTGTGCACTTCAGTAGCCCATTTCACAAAATCTCACAAAATGTAACTTTGCAGCACAATACTTTGTTGCTTAAAACACAGGGACCATGTCATGAAGACTATGCAATGTACATCACGAGCACTCCAGCAACAGATTATGGGACTACCTTTTTGATGATTTTGTAGCAAAATTTGGATCCAATTCTTTAAACTATGGGTAATAACCTTTTATTAAAAGGTTTACACAGTTGCATGCAGGATAGCCACCAAAGGCATTTGTACAGCAGCATACAGATATATGATGAACAATGTCCCAGAATGCAATGCAAAATCCAATTATTAATTCAAATTCAAAACTGACTTAAATGTATGCACAGAGTTTGCATAATTTTTTGTGCACAAGCTTGTGGCATTTGAATGTTTGGGTAACTGCACATGGGTATTTGAAGCTACACATGATGGGGTGGAAGACAATGAAGGTTTGTATATACACTATTGAAAGCTTGGAAATTATGTTTTAGGTTTGATTTGAAACTAAAACATGCTGATGAACTGTAGCCAATGTCACGAAACTTTATGCAATGGTGTAATTCCACTTACACCACGTTTTATTGCATAAGTTGCGCCAAAAATTAAGACAGATTTCACAAAACTTACCCACTGTGTGAGTGCACACGTGACTTACGCAACGAATTATGGCATAATTACACAGTCATTTTGGGTGATAAAAGTTGTGCCAAACAAAGCGAAAATGAACGGTTTGACTAGCTTATTGTGTTTGGTTAAGGCTTGTCAATGCTGAACTTAACTAGGCTTACAGGAGAAACAAACAGCTTTGTTATAGAAGGTAATAAGAAAACTGCAAGATTTTTTTGTCCAGTTCCAACGAAGAAAAGACAAAAACTTGTTTAAAATGGCAGGCTGAAGTGATTCAATGACTGTTTGGTGACTGCTGTTACATTGGAAAGGAACAGCCATTGTAAAATCCGTTTTGTCTTCATCCAAGAAATTTTACATCATTAAAATGTGGTGCAGCTACGTAACTTTTTATGAAATTGATCGTAAGTATATAGAGCAGCTACGGCATAAATTTGTGGCACATGGCTTACGCAGGGTTCAAAGTTATGCCATGTTTCGTGAAATCAGCAACAGGTTTTGAACCTGCAGTGGACTCTAGGAGCAGTATCTGACATATCTGCTAGCAGACTATACGTGTGAGCTTAGTTTTATGATTTTCATATACAATGTGTGCTCATTTTGTTATACTGAATGAAAGTTATATAATTCAAAGATCCTAACTTGTCTTGATAAATTATTGTTTAGTTCTTGCATTTTGATAATGAATGGTGTGCGTTTTCCATATTGCACTTGTACATATAGCCTTAAGTCTTAATCAGCCTTAATTGATTATACATTATGAGAAAGACAATCAAACATAACAATCAAACATCTGCTCTTTTATTAGATTATGAAGACAGTGGTATTTTCGGGTGTATATATCCTTACGATTCGTTCTAAACACCATAAATGGCAACTTGGCCTAGATTGAGGCAATCCCTTGACCATCTATGCAGTGTGAGGCAGACAGGCCTGTGACAGGTTAACAACCCAATATGAACAGTGCTGAGTGATAGGTCCACAGATTGCCATGCATACCGACTCAGAGGTGGTGTGCAAGGACAACCTGAACAGTCAAGAGACCACCCAGGTACCCAAACAAAAAGCAAGACTGATTTAACACATGAAATGGTGGGCCCATTTACACATATTTTGGGGGAACAGCTTAGATCATGATTTATTTATTGTACAACTGCTTAAAAAATAACTATAATGTTGATTCATTAATCTTCCTTTAATAGATAAGGATGAGTTTGTTGTACTATCGATAAAGGATACCTATATTATTATTTTGTATTATTTCATAAAGTTCCTTAGGTAGGAATAAATCTTCAATTTGATTATTTGGATTACTTTACTGAGATGACTGGATTAGTGGCTCGGTTGGACTTTCAACACACATTATATAGACTATAACAGATCACATTAATAATCAGTCTGTGGAACTTAACCCACTCCAAATTGATCCATCTAAATATTTCTCATGTTCAAGACAAAAAAATATTCAAGACAAAAGTGTATGTATTAAATAGCTTTGCACAAATAACTCCAAAAAGATTCTGGACATTACTTCTTAAAGTGTACACGAAGTTGTCAGTGGAAAAACCAATCCCTAAATTTGCTTTGTTTCAAGAGGCAGTTTTGACACCAGTGATCTGATTTGGATATTTCTGGAGATAATGATCTTACCTGTCTCGGCAGTGTCAGTAGAATGCCTTCAAATAGCTGTTGTGTCTCGGTCTGGTCTTTAGTGATATCTGCATTCTCATGCAGACCAAATACCTACATATCGCACACACATATAACAGAAAACACTAGTTTGGATCATTTTTGTTTAAATCACCAATGTCAAAACCAGATGTTGCTATAACCAACTTGGATTTCTTTTCCCAATTTTCAATGACATTGTACTCCCGTGGTGTACACATGAGCATAGTGCTTGATGCAAAAATACTGCAAGCTGACATTTTTCCCCTTATATTACGGTAAAATTTAAAAATTTATCTATCTCAAAAATCATTAACCACTTGCCTCCGGGGTTCCTGGTACTGGGTACCTTGGGTTTGTATGCATAGCCGGGTGCCCAAAATCAGAAAAAGGAGCTGGGCCTTGTAACAAAAGACTACACTCGGAAAAAAAGACCCGCTACTGGGAATTGCCATCATTTTTAGCTGGCACTGGCGGAGGTAATCCGTCATTGTTTTGAAACACTCTACCACTCTTTGTGGCATTCAGCACCCGCAGATTATCAGCAGGGAAAAAAGTGCTCCTGCACTCCAACAATACAGAACCGCTGCACCCTAATCCGGCCACATTTGAAAAGGCATCATTGCTATTCAGCAACGCACTGGGCCAATTTCAGGAACAAAGGAAATTACGGAACACCGCACAATCTGGGCTCTCTATACTGGATGGCAGGTATGGCTGCAATACTACGGCATCAATGGAGACTGCCTGTCAGGTTACAGTAGCCACCAGTCAGTCATTCGTGTAGGTGTAAACATCCAGTAAATGAAGTTATGAATTTTTGAAGAATTTTGAAAAACGGAAAATCTTGAAAATCACCCTGGAACTCATCCCATACATGCACATTCCACCCGGCAGGAAAGTTCTGGTATCCAACCTGGTATCCGGCTCTATGTTACATTATGGGCCTCTTTCAGTACAGATGTAAAAGATTTGGATGGGGCAGTTGACGTTATTCATGATGCATATAAGCCTGCCAATTAATACTTTAAAAAAATTGATGACAGTGCAGAAATAAAAAAGAAATAATAAAGTTCCCAGTCAAAATGAAAAATGTTCTGCATGCAAGGACAGCCTGTGTAATCACAGCTAGGCCAACATTCTGAATTTAGGAAATTCAGGAAACATTTCTTAAAAATGACAATCTCCTGATTACGCCATACTGGCCCAACAGACTATTTTCTCTTATGATTAAAATCTATTTTCTTTCTAACCTCGGGATGAGGGGTCAAAGGTAAACTCCTGATGTACTTAATGTAGCTCTGGTATGGCCCAGACACTGGACACTTGTAGTTGCCACTCTCTGAGAAGCTGTAATTCTCTGTCTTTAGGATGTCTTGATTATAGAAGTTGCTCAGAAGGCTCATGATTAGCCGGCGGTCTCGTTCATCGGTGACACGCCCACCATAGTTACATTGTCCTGTTAGGTAAGAGATAGCTTCCATGGGTACATCATCATAGTCATTCAGGAACATCTACAAAGGAAAACATATAAGAGAAATGAACATTTTATGCAGCTACAGAGCACTTCACTATTGCCCATGTACTCATTTCACACCTCTCTAAGGCACATAATTTTTATATTCACTTAGATGGAATAAGACGGCGTGAATGGCCGATATCGATTTTCAATTTGATGACATCACTTAAAACTGCAGTACAGTGCAATTGAAAATTAACCTCAAAAGTGGGAAAATTTTTCACACTTTCTCCCATCCGAGAAAATAAATATTCGTTTTACAAACTGTGAAAAATCTTCCCCTCAGTGGGAAATATTTTCACACCTTCTTTTCACAAGTGGGAAAAATTTTCACACCAGTTTTTCACAAGTGCAAAAACTTTTCACAAGTGGGCAAATTTTTCACAAGTGCGAAAAATTTCACACATTTTTCACAAATGGGAAAATGTTAACACCTTTTACCCAATTGAGAAGGAAATTAACACCAGACCAAACAAAATCAATTTCAAAGTATAAAATTCACAAGTACATTAGCTAAACAGTTGCCAAAAACATCCCCAACCACACTTTATTTGTGTTTGACTGTACAGTTTTTTAGTGAGAATTCAGAGGAACACAGTGAGAAGAGCCACCACATATCACAACACTTGTTTTATCTATCTTGGAAAAACGCCAATAAAAACAGTGGTTACCATAGACAAAATCTTATAAGGAAGTCCGTATCCACCCGTGTATGGCGGCACGTGTGAGGCTACCAGGGCAGACGCCATGATGACCGGGCGCCATGCATGCACACCCACCCGGCCACAGCCACCACCATTTGGAAAATCATAGTGAACTTCATCGGTCGGCTGTCAAATGCGCCCATATTAACAATCTAAAGCTCGGTGTTCCAACCCATTCTTTTAAAAAATAATACCTAGTTTCTTGTAGATGTACCAGAAAGCCTCTAAGATTCCACTTAAAAAATGCCCATTTTAGTGGATCAAACGTCCAAAAATCTTGACCCTGTTTGCAGAATGTTTGATGAGGGTTCGGGCAACTCAAACCCTATCCATTCGTACAAAAATTGATGAAAATAGGGTGGTCCTGGGTCTAGAAATCAATTTACTGCATTGTGTGTATGGGGGGGTCAGGCCACCACGTGTTTGTACACAAAAGTGATCCATGCGCACAACAAGTGCTCAGTGACCAATTTTAGTCCCCACACACAGGCTCAGTACACAACCACAACTCAAATCCGTTGAGAGTGTGTTTGCTTTGAGCCTCTGACTTCGACATTGTCCATTATCTATCCGGCCTAGACGAGCAGATTTTTGCACCAACATTTTCACACCTTTTCACAATGTTTTCGCACTGTTTTTGCACAGCTTTTGCATTATTATCATACAGTGTTTGCATTATATTTTCAGATTTTTTGCATGCCATTTGCAAATTTTTTGCATCATTTTCGTACCAGATTCACTGCGCATTTGCAGAGGGGAAAAAGTAGCAGTCAAAATGTGAAATCTGCAAATGCTAATGTAAATTCTTTTCCCTTTTTTTCTGCAGTTGTTTTCATAGAGTTAACTTTTAATTGCATTGTACTATAGTTGGTCACCAGGCTGTGCCCAATCACCTAAAGGGGTAAACAATAACTAAGCAAGGCACAGAGCTTTGGACTTTCAGTCACAATTAACTTACAGAAAGTGAAGCAGTGATAAAAATCGTCATGCAGACATAAGTACCCACTTACCTTTGGATGTTGAAATTATTACATCTTGGCAGATTTGGCATACATTAAAGATCAGTCAGACATAGTAATGGCTGAGGTCTGAACTGAAAATAAATCGCAGTCACCATGTTGTGTGTATGGAATACCAAAGGTGAATGGTAGATTTCCTCAACAATTTGATGCTGACACTTTCTATTTTCCATCATAAAACACCAATTTGAAAGCAGAACAACGGCTAAGTTATCTGTGCCAAAAACAATACAATGAGAAGTTTCACATGATCAAAGCCTCCATCTTAAACTATTTATGCTTTTATTTTTCTGTTCCTTAAATACTTTAATTTTAAAGATTCTACTAGCTTTGAAAACACAGTTTTTCACAGATGGTTCCCAACCTGTTGCTGGCGGACACTTATCCGAAGGTCTGACTCATTGAATTCATAAGGAATGTTCCATCCCAGTGCACCAAACTGCCTCCTCTCCTGAACCAATGCATGGAAGAAACACAGGCTGAACAAGAGTTTTCTCCACAGCTGTGAAATAGAAATGAATAGAAGTAACTGCAAATCCCATGCGAGCACATGGTCTATCTTTCTTGCAAGTAGTCAAAGACCTGAAGAGTCAATTTTAATCACTGATAGGATAATGTAGCCAAAAAGTCTTAGTCAATGAAGTATAACTCCATGCAAAGTATTCAAAAAAGCCCAGTTTTCAAACCCACAATATTAAACAGAAACTAAGACAGGTAGGATTTGAACTGGGTTACTCGGAGAATTTAAGGAAAACACTTTTATGCTAATGTGCTTTTATGCTAGCATAAACAGAGTAAGGAAAACAAACAAGGTCATGGAAGCAATGAGTGCACAACAGAAAATTTATGTCACAGCTGTTAAAAATGAATACATAATGAAGGACATGTAATGTCAAATTTGCCTCAGATGAAGCAACTTCTTGATCTCCTTTGAAACTCACCTCTGGTTTGTTGCACCCATCAAAAAAGGCTGGATCTGAAATGGGATCATTGAGGTAAGATCTGAGCAGGTTGGCCCTTAACCCCTTGGGTGGTTCATTAGTCATCTTAATCCCATTCTGTAGCATAGATACTGGGAAGGAGGGTGATGGGTAACTGGTGAGCCACAGACGGAATGATGGCTTGGTTTGGTCCACATCTGTTATGACTTCCTCACAGATCTTTTCTAGAGTAGGCAGCCAGGAGGTTGCTAGATGGCAGTTCTGAAGAACCACCCAGGTTCCATTTTTCACAGCCTGAAAAAAAGAAAACAAAAAGGAGATTTGTAGTAATTTAACCATGGAGGAAGGACACAGATGAAGTTACAACTCCGGCACTTCAAAGTACTTGATGATCGTCGCCGTCCAATCAGACAAATAAATCGAACAAGTTCCAAACATGCACAATTACTGCCTGTACCTTAGCCGTATAAGTAGGGCCACTAAAATTCTAGCGATGTTTTGTTGTGTTTTGCTTACAATCAACTACAACTTAACGCTGTGACCAAGATATAGTGAAAAAAAATCCTTAACGATAGACCTACTTTGCCATTGTTCCATTATGCATGCAATGTTTATAATTTCTATCCCTCCAAAACATCAGTTTTGGTACAAATTTGGCTAAGACTGGCCAACAACACGTTGACCACCAATGGAAGGCTAAGCTCATAGCGAACCAAATGTGCTTTTTTGTGATCATATCTTGTACAATACATTTTTGCATAAATGATGTAATAAAAATGATTCAAATAAAACACAAAATCTTACAAACAACTTGACTATTTATTCCCAAAATAACTCCCAAAGAAGTGTTCAAGAGGGGCACTAACTGCACATGAACATTTACAGCACAGGACCTAACACAAGCAACTGTGTAAACATTAAATTTGATGTTATTATGAGATCATACCAAGCAGCAACTACAGCATGAAAATTCAATTTCCTATACTTCAGAACACAAAGGGGTCTCATGGTTGTGAAACAGATGATGCATAGCAAATGCTCACTGCCCTCAGGCTACAGGCATATCAGGCATACCAGAAAGCAGTAATTGGCCAGATGTTATAGCCTACACAGTTCAAACTCCTTCTGTGTCCTTCTTTCATGCTTCAACTGAATACCAACATTCACATGTTTGGTAATGGGGTTCTTATAGGACTCAACAATCACTATTTCAAGTATGATGTGAACGTGAATTTTATAAAAATGCTCAATAACTTCTAATATTATTATCCTAGTTACTATATATTTAAACATGGACAGTAGAAATCACTTGATGAAGTTTAAACAGGTAAATTTTTGCACAATTGGAAAACTCCCTAAAATGCTTAAAACACTTTAAAACATCTATAGGTAACAAAACAAACTACAGAGAACGGCAAAACTCTGAACTGCATCAGAAAAAGGTTTAAGTGGAAGTGCATGACTAGAACTGTTATAGGGAAAAACTTCTACAGACTTCAACTTGAATGCAATTGTTGGATTCTGACCTCATCAATCATCTTGGCAGCGATTGGTCCTTGACCTTGTCCAAGTGAGATTGTCTGAAGTCCTGAGCCACCCATTCCTAGAGTGTAACATGCAACAGAAATTATTACAGCTGTACACACAAAAAAGGAAATTCCTCCCATGTAAGTGATAATAAAAAGGCTGCATGCATAAAATAAGTGTAAACCACTTATTTCCATCAACAACCAAGGGAGGTTTCATTATCGCCCAATTAGTAATCAACCCCAGCATTCGCCAACAATGGTGGCAAGCTGAAACCTCTGCAATAAGCTGCCATTCCTACTTTTCTATCAATTCATAGAACAAACAATATTAAGTAACAATTTTCTTGACATTTTAGCCCACATAAGAAATTAGCAATTAGGGTGATGAAAGTAATCATAAAGAACTTCTTAAGCACATGCTGCCGGGGGGACCCGGTTTCGGGCACATAGGTTGAATACACGAAGCTGGGGAGCCCGAAACCAGACAGAAGAGCTGGGCCTTGTAACAAAAGACCATACTCGGCACAAAAGACTGAGCTGCTGGGAATTGCCATCATTTTTTCAGTTGTCAATATCTGAGGAAATCCGTCCTTGTTTTGAAAGATTATATTTTGGCATTCAGCGCAACCGGATTACCACCGGGGACAAAAGTGCTCCAGCAATGAGCGATACAGTACCGCTGCATGCTAATCTGGCCCCTACTGAAAAGAGGCAAGCATTACGCTGTGCCGGTTTCAGGAACAAAAGAAACACTTGCATAACACCACACAATCTGGGCTCTTTTTACAAGGCTACAGGCCTGGCTGAAATACTCGGGCATCAATACATTTTGTCAGTCAGATTAGAGTAGCTACAAGACAGTCCTTTGTGTGGGAGTAAATGTCCAGCAAATGAAGTTATGATTTTTTGAAGAATTTTTAAAATAGAAAATCTTAAAAATCCCCAGAGTATACGTCATCCAACTTCAAATTCCGGCCAGCAGCATGCAGTTAGTAAAGGTAAGTGGAACAAAGCACGCAAAGCACACACTGAGTGGAATGTGTTAGAGGCTTGTGCTGAAAGCAAACATGCAAATTCTGTGTTGTTAAAGTCTACAAAGTAAACACTGGCTACAAAAGGAGAAATGTTAAAAGCTTCAACACAATAAAGAGGTAAGCAAGAACAAAGCATGATAAGTTCTGTGGAAACAAAGTGAAAGTAAAACACTGAACATAAAAATGGGAGAATGTAACATCACAACATTCCATACTCAAATTAAAATGTTTCACAAGGGAAAAAAATGTGCTTGGCTGCAGACTAATGCTCTCACCTGTGGCATAAACATTTGTCAGATACATTCTACGGAACTGGTCTTAAAAGTTAAACGGCCAGGCACATATTTATTCCCATTCATATTACTTTTTGAGTCAGGAAATCAGAAAAAGCTTAAAAATTACAAATTTTCAACAAATTAACATTAATTTTTAACCACTTCATGCCGGGGCATTTTTTAATGTTGATGATGCTGGGCCGGCATGACTGTCATTTTTTTCGTTTTCAAAACCCTTCAAAAATTCATCATTTCATTTCACAGTCGTTTATAGCCGCACCAAGTAATCTTTAGGCACTACTCTAAGTTGACAGGTGGCCTTCATTGATGTCAGAATATTTCAGCCAGGCCAGCAGCCTTGTAAACAGAGCCCAGATTGTGCGGTGTTATATAACTGTCTTTTGTTCACAAACCTGGCTTAGTGCACTGCTGACCTCTTTTCAATAGGGGCCAGATTAGCGTGCGGCGGTGCTGTGTGGCTCATCGCTGCGGTGGTGGGCGCTTTTCTTCCCGGTAGTAATCTGCTCACTCTAAATGCCCCAAACCGTGGTATACAGTTTCAAAACAAGGCTGGATTATCACCACTTTTGAGAGTGAAAAATGTCAGTAATGCCCAGCAGCCTGGTCTTTTGTTGGGAGTATGGTCTTTTGCTACAGGGCCGTGTTTCCTTTGTCCGAGTTTGGAGACCCCGGCCACCCATATAAACCATACGTTTTCGATCCCGGAGTCCCCGGCAGGAAGTGGTTAAAACACCCCTCTGGCCACTTTATGGTATGTTCCTCTTGTGGGCAGTCAGAAACAATATCCTTATGTGAAGATGGGTGCCAGCATGGCACATACTGTGTGAGGTGGCGCATGGCCAGCAGGTGCTTTATCAACTGTTTATGACTGGCCATGTGACCGGTACTCAACCAGTAGGAATGGCTGAACTGTCTCAGGTATTTATGAATAAACCATAAACACTGCAAATTACATTTACAAATTTTTATTTGATATTTTAATGAATTCAATATTTTTGTCAATGTGAATTATGTGATTGTTGTCAGTTGCTTTAATCAGTGCAGATCCAATGAACAATTCATATTGATTTCCTTGATCCAAGATCAGTTAGTTTGGACTTAAAAGAAAGCCTTTGACACTGTTCATCACGGACGTTTCATTGGAAAACTTAGCAAAATAGGGGTGCGTGGCCTTGAGCTGGACTGGTTTTCTTACTTGTATGGACGACAGCATATTACTGAAATTGGTGACAAATTTTTCTGCCTATCTGCTGTAATTTATGGGGTGCCTCAGGGTTCAATGTTGGGTCCACTTTTGTTTACCTTGTACATTAATGACCTTATAAATGTTGTTTCTCCTGACTCCAGAATGTTTTTATATGGTGATGATATGCATACGAATAGTACAACGGTTGTTTCTTATGATGACCTTGTTGTTGTTTAGTAAAATTTAGTAAAACTTAATCTGATGAATGTAAATTTGTGGTTAGTGGAGCCCAGGCATTTAATGCTCTCCCAACACTATTGAAGTGTCCCCTTCCTGCATCAGTAGTGAGTTTTAAAAACTCATTTTGGAACATACATCTATATTAATTCTTAAACCTTGTTTTGCTGTTTTAAGTTTAGTCTTGATGTTTTGTTTTTTCCTGTGCTAACTTCTCATTATCTTCTTTGTTGTTTTTAATTTTATACATGTATTTGCCTCATATGTTTGTATTTTGTTTCAGTGTGGTGTATTATTGGACTTTTAATTTTTGGCAAGTAATTTTGAACTAATATTATTGAACTTTTATAGATTGTTATTGCTGGGCACCTATGGAAAACAGTGCTTTGACACTGATAGGTCTCCCCAGGGTAAAAAAAAATAAATAAAAATACATAAAGAAATTTAAACTGCACTTCATTTGCCAGAGCAAGGATAAAATGACATACAAGTCATGGCTACAACTTCAAAGTGTAGACTTTGGTGTACAGCCACTTTCTAATGTAACAGGTGCAGCCTACATCTGACACAATACCATCTTTGCCTCTGCTAGATTTGCAATTTCGGAAATGCCCTGATCCTAATATCATGTACTCATGCTTCTTTTTGATTTACAAAATAGAATATCAATTAAAGATTTCATAACAGTAAAACATAATCAGTCAAAACCATTTAGATGATTAGTGACCAATTCCTTTTGACAAGTTCACTATTAGTGTTGACTCAGTATTTGGTTAATATGCCTCATAACTGTTTCTACATCTTAGCTTACCTGTACCAGGTTAAAATGCACAGTTTTATGTTATAGGAGAAAGCCATCCTACCACATAAAATACAAACCACATGAAACTCCGAGCAAACTTTACTCAAATATTCATGGTAAATGTAAAAAATAAATGGAGATAACTCAAATGGTCAATACATGTAAACAAACAGTGTTGCTAAACATGGGGCGTGTGATTGATGAAGCATAAGCTTGACTCCAGTGTTAAAGACAAAGTGCCCACAAGTAACAAGCAGCTTGCAAGTAAACAGAGACACATACGACTGATTCGACTGATGGTCCTTGCCAGGCGTGGCCGGTATATTGATGGTTTCATCTCCTTCGCATCTTCCTTCGAATTGGCTTCTGCTTTCTGCGATTGGATGCTGTGTACATCAGACTGACCAGCCTTGTCCAGGCTTAAAGACTGGGATGATACATCTTTGAGAATGGGATGCAAGAACTGCCGGGATTGCATGGGCTCATGGGAAGGATCAGGGGAATCAACAGTACCTTGAGTTGGTTCTTCAAAATGGACGCTACTTCGAGGTCTGTTGTCTCCACCAGCAATTGGTTTTACAATAGTATCCAAATAATCCATACCTGCTTGTTTTGTTACTTCATCGTTCTCTGACTCTGCCATGGATTTGACAGCTTCACTATCCACACTCCTATCTTTGATGCTGTCTTTCATCTGTAGCAAATTTCTTTCAATAATCAAGTCAGCTTCACCATCATTAACTGCTTGAGCAGTATGGGTCATCTCATCAACCTCTGGAGTACTGGTTCTCATCAAATCCGGTGAGGATGACACTGGTGGGTCAATTCTCAGTAAACTATTTCTGCTACCTTTGCGACTGAACCCAGGATTTATGGAGCCAAGAGAACCCTGCCTAGTTTGCTTGAGAAAACCTGGTGCAGAGTGAGGTAAATTATACAGCAGGGGGGTATCACACACATAGAAAGATCAATATGGATGGAAAGAAGAACATAAATTTGTACATTATTGAAAAGATTTACAAAGAAAATTTCATGCACTGCAGGAGAGGGAGAAAATCATGCCATTAGTAATAGGAAGTAACTTCAAAAATTTCATGGACATTTCATGCAGAGATTTAATCAACAATAGAGAGCAATGGAGGCAATATATTGGAAAGATTGCTGATTTCCATTCACACTCAGGGAAGTATTTTAATGGCAGATGTTCTTACATGAAATGTAATGCTGGATTTAATCACATAGTGGAAAAGCTCCAAGAGTGGCATATATTTGTTTTGAAAATCATCTGCGATGTGCAATATTGCAGTCACAAAACAATTTCTTGTGAAATGTGATGTGCAATGGCTAAAGAAATATTTTGATCATTCTCAACATACCCTTTTCAACAGCAAATTTCATCAGGCCAGCCATAGGATCAGCACCAGGGGATAGGACAAAGATAAGTGGTGTGGAATGGCTGGAATCCTGATATGACCTAGTCAAATCAAAGGTTGGAGGGTCAATGTAGGCTTTACCCATCCAATTTACGATGAAGTTGCTGACTGCTGGCACAACCTAGGAGGGGAGATACATAAATGCCATTTCAGCTCAATCTCAATCACCTTCCTCAATCAATAATGAGAAACTGTTTCAGAAAGGTAGCACATCTACCTTTTCAAATGTTTTCTGAAGACAAACATACAATAGTCACACACAACAATATGACAAAGACAGTCAGTGCATAGCACGACAAAGATGCGCAGTGATTCTATGCAATCTATGCAATATTATTTATAAATGGTGTTTGACAAGGGAATAAAAAAGGTGTTATGGTGATGAATTTTCCAGAGTTTTAAATTGATTAGTTGAAATCCCTCAATCTTTACCTTATCTGGTCGAATGATTCTCAACACAATCAGTTTCTGGATGCTGTTTAGTGTCAGTTCCCAAGGTTCAGGAATCTTGTCAGTATGGGGAGTGTGTGAATCATACAGTTTCTTCCAGTCATCCAACTGCAAAATAGTCAAAACTTCTTTGGTGAATTGGACACCTGAAATTGAAATTCCAAAGCTTGGTGTCTATGGCAAACAGTAACATCTATATATTTTGCAAAGCTACGGTTTAAAAGAACATGAAGATCTTAAGTGTCTATGATTTCCCTTGATGATTTTCAAATTCTTAAACTTGTCCTTCGTTACTTCCCCCTCCACCTCAATAATAATACAGATGTCTTTCATGCTCATACCAAGTCCAAATGCTCCAAACTTTAGCCTCAAAGGACAATTCCGTCCAAATGGTCTAATACTGAATGGGAGCAAAGCTCAATGAAAGCATTCATTAGCAGCAAGCTGATAAACCATTAACAGTGACAGGGTTTAATTCAAATGTAGTTTCAGGCAAACTAGTGAGTTAAATTTCATCCCCTTTCCTCCCTTCTTTCTCTTCCTTCTCTTTTTTCTTTTCCTTTTTTACAGGGGAGAATACAACATTCCCCTTGCCCCTTTCCCTCTCCAGTAATAGCACTGGAAAGATATTACATATGTAACAAGACTAAACTATCAAAAGGGTCCAATCATCCAATAACATTTCTGAAACACAGATAATTGAGTATACAATAACTCAGTGAAATTCCTGATTATGTGGGATCATAGTTTTTGTGCTCTTCAGTTTGCTGCCAATCTATTGTTTGCAGTGTTTGGTGGAAACAATGATGATGACTGCTCAAACACAAAGAATATGAGCCTCAGATTCCAACACTGCAAGTGTCATTAAAACGTTTCCTTGGAATTTCATTGAAACATATCCCTCAACATTTTTAGCACCTGTCCAATTTTAATTCTTTCATGAATGATGGCAATGTAAAGTTATATCTGAACTCAACCGTAACTCTAATGTAGAAACAAAGTAGTTTAGCTAGTGTGTAAAGAAATCAAGCTTACACATCTTAGACCTGAATTTTATCAACACATGGCACTGTCAGACCTTTTACCAACAATAAGGTATCATACTGTACTTAGGGGATTTGCATTACTTACAATTTCGGAAAAACCCCCATCAATTTTAAGTTAATAACGCTTCTGAACCAAAGCTTGCCTGTAGATAATTTTGTATATATTTTTGTTTCAAAAGCTCTGCAAACACACCCAGCTTTCTGCCTTACATTATTTCTGAAGTTCAACATGAAATCATCAAACGCTGGGAGACTGGACACACGGACAATCTCTGCCCAGGATTTATCAGGCAGCCAATCAGGGGCTGGGTTTGGGAAAGGATTTTCCAAGGCCACACCCCCTGTCAGTAGGAATCTCCATTCCCTGTCATCAATTTCGCCCCTGCAGACCAATAATACAAAACAAACACATGTATTTATCTAGTACAGCATATATTTGAAATGTAACTACTCTAGAAAGGTGACTATGCATCAGGCCAGTCAAATTGTTTCTGATTATTCCACAATGCCTGAAAAATCATGCAGAACCTGTATTTTTTTTAATTCTAAAAATTAATAAAGTAAATTTATGGTGTTAACCCCAAAGCCTAATGTTTGCATGCATTATCCTATAAAGGTGACTGCTCTTGTGTATTTTGTGTAAATATTTATTTTCCAAAGATATTCTCTCACAACTCCCGGGACTCCACTGGTAAATATGTAGCACTGATATGAAATATTAACATATAATATTGAACCTAACACTGTCACTTGAAAACTGTTAAAATAATAGGCAACAACTATACAACTGTTTGTCTTACTTAACTGGTCTCATGAACACTAAACTGGAAAATGGTTAAGGGCACTTTAGTGTTTGAAAGTTAGGGTTGGTTGACAAGGAAGTGCCCTGACCTTTAATCACTGGAAGTCTTTCACAAACTGTTACAGCACTTGATCACTTATGTAAGGGAAGGGTAAGGGAATGGATGATTTGTACAATCTGTTTTTCCCAATCAACAAAATTAGCAGGCCCAACGTTTCAATCAAAGCAGAATCTTTCTCAAGAGTAAATTGACAAGTAGACAAGCAGGTTGGTAGATGCTAGTACATCTACTCACATTCAATTAATGTTCTTTTGTTTTGGACCACACGAAACTTGTGTGGATATATATGACAAATGCTATCCAATCATAAGCAAACGAAAACAATAGTACCAGTCAGTAGTGTACCAATCCAATTAAATGTTAGTGCTTGACTCCATTCTGCATATATACATGTGCGGTTTGATCATATTTCCCTTCGATCATGTGTAGTGGCGAGAAGACATATTGAGAGCTGTGTCAAAGGTTTCTTCAAAAGGAATTTGGAGCCACGCAAATGTCATGGTACACTTCCATCAAACGTATTTAGTTAAAGAGAGTATATACATGGCAGTAGCAGATTCAGGTTTTGGGTCTCGCGTCAATTTCCCCCAATCATTTGTCAGTTTCACGTACAATAGGGATTTTGTGCAAGCTGAAATACATAATGCCAACAAATGTACTACTTTCTATTTATAATACCCTAGTTTTGCCCCATCCTCAATATGGATTGTTAGTTTGGGGAAACTCCCAGATATACTCTTTGAATAAATTATTAATATTACAAAAAATCGCTACCGGTTATTACAAACTCTGGTTTGAGACACCATGCCAAACCTCTATTCTGGGAACTGAACACCCTATCAATTTTTTACTTATCCAAATACTCTCTGGGTATCCTAATGTTTAAATTTGAAAACAATCTTCTGCCCCCTGAAATCAAATCATTATTTCTGAGGAATACTCTAGTCCACTTATATAATACTAGGTCAGCAGCCAAGCTTCCCATTGTGAAGGCAAGCACACATTTTCCAAATTTGAAAACTGGAAATGCACATTGCATGTCCAGGCGTTTGGAATGCCTGGTGTGCTCACTGGGCAGCCGTAAAAAGTCCCCGTCTTTGTTTGTTTCTGTAGATTTTTAACATGAGGATCGATCTTGTCAAAGATCCAAATCGGACCCTCTTCACACAATTCATACACTGGTCTTGCACTGACAACTTGATGAGTCTATGTCCAAAATTGTTTGAAATCTCCGGAAAAAAATGCACATAGAACATGAAAAAGCCATTCAATAATGTGTGACACAATTTTTTTGCCCCGCACAAATTGCCACAAAGCCCTCTATCGGTGAAAGCGGAAATTTACTAACCTTGTTTTAAGCCACAAATTTACAGTAGCCATGAAATGTGCACCGCCCAAAATACTGGAGACTGTTTGTCACTTCTTCCACTGACACACAAGTGGCTTTAAAGAGTCCCACTAATGCAAACTGATTATTGATATTTCATGGGTGGCCAATCACAACATAATGATCAGGTGGTTGCCGGATGCTGTTTGCACATGAGGTTTGTACACGTACGTACATACCCTGTACGCACGTACATGTACATTGTACTTATACATGTGCATATGTATATGTACATTTGCAGCTGTTTTTTTTCTAGTATAATGTACACGTGTAACCGTTGAACTTCGATTTTTTTTTTCAGGTGTGTGAAAATGGCCAAAACCTGTATTTTATGGAGGAGGAAACATATCATTTTTGTAGAGTTTTCAATAGGAAATACGGCTAAATTGTACTAGTTGGCGGGACTGGTAAATGGCCTGAAATTCTGTGACCAAAAATACAAACATTGCACTGTCCAACATTGATTTGCCATGCCACATGCTTTCACCGTGCTACTTAAATATCCCGCTTAACTTAGCACCATGTAATTGTATGCTTCATGCCCTTATTGAAGCCACGTCTGGATCAATTTTGGCCATTTGTCTTGCGACTTGATATTGCACAAGACTGTGTGTACTAACCGAGGCTCAACTGCCACAAACTCTTGCATAATTTCAGACTGGGCTCAGAACTTGCTGAGTTCTATGACAGCTTAATGAAATATTCAACAGCTCACTTGTGAATGTATAAACCTGGTCAGCCGTAACACACATACGTGATTGGACACATTTTGAATAGGTGCTTTGTATTGTCTGCTGTGAATTCTGATTGGATAGTGATCGTCAAAAGTCTGACACATTTGGCCTGCTGTATAAAAACGAAAGACCACTATCAGGACAAGACTGTGGTTCTGGTTACATAGGCATATTTCATCCATATTTTAGAACCCTTGAGCTTTTTTTTTTTTAGAAACAAAACACCCACCTGCCCTTGGCAAGTCCAATACACAGCAAGAAGGAAAAGAGGAGCTTGTCTTTTTCAAACAGTGATCGACAGACATTTTGATAGATGCTGTAGGTAAAGTGATCATTCAGACTACTGATTCGCTCATGTAGATCGCTGGATGCCGGACTGGAATTGATGGACTAGGGAAAGACAAAAACAAGACAACACAAAGTTTATTATCAGTTCCTTGGAAAACCAGAACAAAGAATAGAGAGTAATATAATGACAAATCCTTGGAAAATAATGTAATAGGGTAATGAAAGGTGAGATAACTCAAAGATATAAACTTCTACCACAATACCAAATGCACACAGTAAGTAAAGCTCAGTGTTAAGTCAAGGTTGATGTGCAACTGAATGAAGTACGCTGCATGGGGCAGTTTAAAATGAAACAAAGAATAATCTCTTTGTATTCATTGTACCAGTAACTGATGAAACATCTAAAGCTAATTGCAGGTTTCAACAAAATCAGACACAAGAGAACATATATATGTGCTGCAATGTGCAAGAAAACTTTCCATCTATCCAGGGGGAGGGAGGTTCTTGCACATGCTGTCAGTAATATCATTACATACTGGTATCTCTGCCAATACACCAATTTACGCTGACGTCACAGCACGGAAGTAAACACGATGCACGTGCAACGGGTAGGCACAGTTGATCGAATGCTTCCCGCCATGCCTTCAGCTGCGTGAAACTTTACCAGCAGTATTCAGTAGATAGGGACAGTTTAAGCTACGTAATATACTAACAAACTGTTGTGTACCAGGGTGCACAAATAGGCGAAGCCGGCATCCATCTGTCGGATTTATCGCATACCGGTAGATGTGTCGCAACAACAATTGTGGTTCAAAAAATTGAAAGAAGCAATTGGAACCCCTGGCTACCTCCAGGACCTCAACCATACGTAAGGGCTGAGTTCCTAGCTCTATGCCTCGACATACACAACAAAATTTCCCTGATGCGCTTCGAATTCTGTGAACAGGTTTTATAAAAAGTTCCATAGGCTTACTTGTCGTCGTTTTGTTTTCTAAAGAGGGATAAAATTAAGGGGCCTAAAAAGAAAAACGCCATTTAGAAAAGTGTTTAAATATAAAATACACATTGATTCAAAAGAGGTTTCTTATTTGGCATGTTAATTTTACCACTTATCTGGGTAAACCTTCCTGAGTACATTCCATCCATCTTTGGAAAGAATGGGAATGAAGAAAAACAGAGAAAGGATGGTGAGAATGCCAAAGAACGATACATGTACTTTTGAGCTGTCAATTGGCAACTGTCAAGGAGGAGCACCATGTGCATTCCTTCCTCCCTTGGAAGACCAGTAGAAGTGGTACCAGAAGACAACATACAAGCAGATTCAAAACACTCTCTCAAAACACTGACTTACAAACCTGGTAAGAGCTTCAGAAAAATCTGGGGAATTTTTTTTTGAAGTGAGAATTGAATGGAAGGTAGTTTTGAGTAACTTTTGCAATAATGGAAAAAGAACTGTTGAGTAATGAAAAGGGGAGAATTTTTCAAAGCCCTTTTAATTCAAGGTCAGGACAATAATTAAGTATATTTAGGCATGAACAGCACCTGAATGTGTCGTATAAATGCAGATTCAGATTACAGTCACCCCGATTCTCCAGCCCCAGTAGAAATTTCAACTGTATGCTCTCCGAGTTGGAACATGAGCAGGCATGATTTTAATTGAAATGGTGGTCCTGTGTGCCCTCAACTATGGCAGTGCACTGGTTGAATGTAAGGTCTTTGCATTTGCAGAAGGCACATGCAATGTCTTTAAGTTAAAAATGAGCCTGGCCTCTCTCTCTCCAATGTTGTGGAGGGTACTTCTGCCCAGGGCAGATAACACAGAGCTGATTTTTTGCCTTTGTATTTTTCTGTCTCTGTCTTTATACCAACACATGCATAGTGAAAGTGAGGTTTCACTGTGGTGATGAAAAGCTGCAAAGTTGTACCTCCGAGTCTTCTTGTTTTGGCTAAGTATCATTTAAGAGTTTGCACTGGGCACCATGGTTTGTGATCGTGAGTCCCAGTGTGTTTGGTAATGTCTGGTACAAAAATGGCAGGAGGATGGAGGGAAACTGACTGGTTCTTGGCGAGAAACCCAAGCATTGGGATGAGACATTACCATGGGGTTCTTGTTGAATGTGGCCATCTTTGATGGACAATGCTTTCAGTTCACTGCCGCATCTTGAGGTAGTAACTGCTTGTTGGAATGCCAGTTTCACTGATAGGTTGATCAACGATGCGTCGCTGAGAGGCTCAAAGGGGGACCAGCAAGCAGTTAGAGAACAGCTGACAAGTCCCATGAAGGGATTAGTCTCTTAGTTGAGGGACACTAAAGGAACATTCCCTGGAGTAGATGTTGAAAAGTAGTATTGTCAGACATGGTCAAGCCATCTGGGAAGCCATTGTGTATATTCGCAATGGCTGACCGGTAGTTACGGATAGTTCAAACCTGGAGATCTGATTTGAACAGGTGCATGAAGAAGTCAGTTATAGAAGTCACAGAAACTTCAGTCACAACAAAACCTTATTCTGAACATCATGAAGTAAAATGTCATAATCTGGCGCCGCAGATGCTGCATGTAGACTGGCGTAGACTCTTCGAGGCCATTTTAGCAGCTTCATCAAAAAGTCCTAAAGGACTGTTTGACAATAGCCAACAGGTCAGGTGTAGTGACGTCGGATGAGGGTGAAGCATGCCTGACTTTGATTGATGTAGAGTAGTAGATTCCGTCTGTCGGGAAGGATCACCGGTACCCAGACAAGAAGTCTGGTTAGATGCGGGAACTGTGGCTAGCGTGGCCAGAAGGGGGCGATGAAAAGGACACGACAGCATTCCCGTTCGATCTTGGAGAGAACTGCCTGTATTAGGGCTATTGGAGGGAAAGCATAGGCCAACATCCCTTCCAAGTTGATCTGAAAAGCGTTCATTGCCCAGGCTTGCGGGTGGTAAAATCTGGTGCAGAACACTGGCAGTTGGGTGGTCTCTGCTGAGGTGAAAAGATCGATGTTCGGTTGCTCTACTTCAGCGAAGATCTGTTCGACTATACTAGTGTGTAGAGTCCACTCCGTGGGACGGACCTTTCCCCAAGAGAGAGCATCTGCTATGGAGTTGTCGACACCAGGAATGTGGGTCACCTGGAAGTCAATGCCATAATCCTGGGCCCACAGGAATATCTGTCTCGTCAAGAGGCATAGGCGGGGAGAATGCATGCCTCCCTGTGGAGTTGTCCGAGGAGATGAGGACTCATTTGCCAATGATACTCGGGTGGAATGCTTTCAGTGCTTCGAATATAGCCTGAAGTTTCAGGATATTGATGTGACTCCCTTGGAGCTGGAGGTCCAATGTTCCTAATGCTTGAAGCGGCAGAAGGGAGGCTCCCCATCCAAAATGAGAAGCGTCCAAAGTAATAGTTATTTTCAGGTTCACCTTGGGAAGGGAACTCCGAGAGAGAGGTGTCTCTTCACTAACCCCCACTGGAGACAGGGGTGGATGAAGTCTGATATGGGGACCTGGAGATTGATTGAGATCCATTTTGGCCTGTTGAGAGCTAAAAGATGAAGTTGTAGTGGACGCATGTACAGCCTGCAGAGGGGGATGAGGTCAACCATGCTGGCCATCAAGCTGACAAGACGGAGCCAGGCATGGGCCGGAGCAGATTGCTCGGTAGAAAAGAATTTCACGAAGTCGAGAGGGTTGTTGATGCGTTCCATCGTTGGTGAGATTATGCCTCATTGAAGGTCAATAGATGCCTCTAGATACGTGGGGTATTGAATTGGGGTGAGATTCAACTTCCCGTAATTGATGATGAAGCCCATGTCACAAGTAAGGCGGGAAGAAGCCTCTGCTTTGCTGAACAATCTGCCGACGATCAGCCAGTCGTCCCTTGTTTGCTTGAGATTCAGGCACCAGGTGGATAGCATGTTTCCAAAGGAGAGAGTCTCAGACTCCAGTGCCTGTTGTTTGTTTGCTCCGTTGTCCCGGGAACGGGTGGTGGTGAGCCCGCATGGCCCGGTATTGTTTCTGCAGGGACCGCTCTGGAGAGCAGTGTGTGTTGTCCCGTGAAGAGTCAGCATCTTTGTCACAGCTGGGTGCCCTGGTTAATTAAGGGCAGCCAGTGTAGATAGCACTGGGAGTGATGGGGCCACTCCGACCCGTAGTCTTGTGAGCCATGCCAATGTCAGGTGTTGCCAACAGTAGGTGTTGACAAGAGCTTGTTGTTGGCAGGCGTCGCCCATTCGGAATGCTTGGGAACTGGGATGCAGAAGTGTTGCACCCATATCAAGCTAGTGGGGGAAAATTTCGACCCCGAGTGCAGTGCCACTCTGTACTGTCATTGACTGTGATGCTTTGGTGTTAGGTTAGGGAACTGAGCCTTTGGATGATATTGCACGCACTGCAGCTCAGACCTTTGAAGTGTGGCATGGGCTAACCCTGAACTGAGCCAAAGATGGTTTTGCCAGCCGGGATTAGCCACAGCATCACAAGTTTAGCAATATCCACTCAATCCTCCACAGACCGACTCCTGTCGGTGTATAGGGGATTGCGGGGTCCCAGAATTTGGAATGCTTGCACTTCCTCGCGAACCCCAACAAACCTAGGGTCGCCTCGTTGCCCCTATATATATACCAAGGAAAGAGGAGGGGCCGCAGTATTATCGCTCGCACTACCTCACGGAACCTCCAACAATCCCAGGGTTGCCCTGTTGACCCCGTGTATTGCTTGGTAGTATAATAGCATAGAGTCAACCATCTATAAAATGCACACACATGAGAAAAATACCACCAAAACAAGAAAATACACATATCAACTCAGAAATATAGAATTTAAGTTTATTACATTACATTACAGTTTGGTCAGAATATCACAAAGGTGTGGAAGCAAAACAGAAACTCAATGAAACTCCAAGATGTCAACAAGACACGTCCGTTTAGAATCATGCTAAAGAAAAGAGGGACAAACATGGGGCCATTCCGCTACGTATCATGGGGCTAGAGGGCGCACACTACGGTTGATCAGAAGTTTTAGTGAATTGAATCAGACGCAAAGGAATTCGCATATTAAGCGACAGTTTGGGGTAGGTTGAAAGCAGAAGACTTTAAAAGTCGTTGGCAGTTGTTCTGTATGCTTTAATCTTAGTCTTTTTGTCTTCTCACTACATGTAGTTGTAGTTGTTTTTGTCCTCATATTTGCTACACTGCTTTCCGTATCTTATAGTTTTTGAGTGCAATGTACATGTATATGTGTTTTATCAATGTATTTTTACTAGATTTTAAGGTACAGCACATTTGAACAGCTTTTTATGAAATTTGCACTTTGTATGAATAAATTGTTGTTATCATTATAGAGCCGTAGCTATTTTTGCTGTTTATCAGGTGCAAACATGAGGATCCATGTCAAGTCAAATATGCGCTAGTACACTTGAAACAATACCGCTATGTTTCCAATAAGATTCTGACCTCAAATTCACATGAATGCATTTTGTGGTGCAGTCTTCTGGTGCATAATCATCTTCATGCCACATGGGTGCACGGCCAAACCAGCAGAACTGGCAGACTTGGTGCAACGTGTCACTGCGCTGTATGTGAGGCTTGCCTGTGCTGCGGTTGACTTTGATTTACAATGTATGAGTATTTCGTTCTGCAGCCTAACTGTAGATGATTGTCTGAATGCTGCAGGCACATGCGGGTCAGTGTGTGGCAGCCAGCCAACCTAGCCTGGCATAATGTGCAGCAACCTCGCCAGCCCATGTGTAGATGGACTTAGGCACTGTCCCAAATGGGCCTCCAGAAATAAAATAGGTCTGTTGTCCCCTAGTTTCTGATCACGTATGCATGCACTCAGCAGACTCACATACATATGCACAACTAATTTTTTGTGACATGATGGGTTCGTCAACTTTGTAGTACATAAAATATAGTTGGTAAGCTCGTACTGTGCAGTTGAAAAAGTCAAGATTTAAACAAAACATGTTCTCTTTTTTAATTCACTGGAATTCTTTTGTATGAATGAATTTTCTCTCAGAAATGTTTTGTCCGAAAATTTGCCTGTTCCATCCTGTAATAGGATATTTTGTCTAAGAAATTTGGGGAGTGATTTCTGGGTTATAAAATATTGGAAAGTATCTCAGCTTGGGTGTGTCATCATAGGGTAGAATCATATAAGAGCCCAACAGTAATGCAATGTTATTTTTTAGAACATCCAAAATTCACAGACCTCACATAGAGCTTCTAAATGAACAAATGTGTGAAAGGAACAGCAACATGAGCAATGTCAATCAATGTTGACTCATATTCAAAAATTGAGAATTTTTTAGAATTCTTCTTCAAATTCAAAAAAGTGTTCTCTATAAGTGCTAGATATGTGGAGACAACACAACACTGAATCACCAATGACTTTAGACCCACAGCATCACAGACAACTGCTTCATCATAAACTTCCTTTTAGAGAAAAATCAGTTGAGAACCTATCAAATGAGAGTCTGTTTTGGCTATTAAAGAAAGTCTGCACTGAGCATAAATCTGGATGTGCCAGTGAGGGAGGCTCCATTGTTAAGCTCCTGGCCGACACCTGGGCAGCGTATGGTTCCATTGTGTGAAAAACCATGTAGGCTGTGGCTTTTTTGGAATGCTTGGGAAGGGTTTCTATTGTTAAGTGTAGAGTGTGAAAAACGTGACAAGGGTTTCTTGTGGGTTAGATTGTGCCAGTCAAACTACAAACAATAGACTCCAGGATGGACGAGTGTGATTGTGCCAGTCAAACTACAAACAATAGACTCCAGGATGGACGAGTGTTTGATCAACTGCCAGACCAGTCACCAAGTCTGGTAGCGGGTCCGGTATGAAAGGGGTTTTTGCCACCGGACTAGCTTACCGGGGGCCCTTCCTTTACTGGATCTAAATGGTCACCATACCTAACAAATGTAAACACCATTTAAGACATATAACAAGATACATTTCAATAATAGATGTCTTACCTGTAGGTAAAGGTTGATGAACCAAGTCAGTGAGTATTGGTACATGGGTTCGATGTTGGCTAGATCAGAAATGGTGAAGAACAGAATGGAGGAATGCTTGGCCACCTATCAAAAAAGAGAGCAAAAATCCAGCATGAGTTTCGGACAAGACTGGAAATGGCCAGTAATCTGTATTCTTTGTTTTAAAGAACTGTACAAAGTAACATTCCAAAAATTAAATCACATGAACAGGTTTCTTTAAAAACAGACAAATTGAGGTTGCTCTAAGGTTTCACACAGCTCATGCATAGGTAATCAAAGGGTCATTTGATTTTTGTTCGAACTCTGCCATACACAAAACACTGGTACACTTGTCACCCTAGGGAAACAGTTCTCTGATAATTAATGGACCTGCTCAAGTAATACAAGTTGACAGATAAGAAAGTTAGTTACTGGATCTGTAATTATTTTTCTACAGTCACTTTGTCATTATTTTCATGAGGGATGGGCAGGCCCAAAATAAAGTAAATTTCAAGATTCCAGTATGTTTACCAAGTAAATTTGAAAGTACAATCTCCAACTGCAAGTAATGAAAAAAGTTTGGAGAAACTGATATTCTTCAAGAGCGAGTCAGATTCTACTAGGACTAAAATACAGGTGCTAAGAATGTCCCAAAACAAAAGACAATATATGGACTGTAATTTGGATTAAGGATTGAACCAGCCTACCTTAACATTATTTTTTAGGGAGCAGTTAAGTCTGGCTGTCTGTACTTACGGGTTTGTATCCATCCCTTGTCTCATCGATATCCTTCTCAGTCCGACTAGCAACCTCCTGCTTCTCTGAAATCTCCTTGGATAGCACCTTGCTGGAGGACAAGATCTCAATAGCTGTCTCATCCTCCAGGATGTTCCCTTCAGAGGAAGACAACACCTCCAGGATCTTATCTTCAATTTCCTTAAGCTGCTTGCGGTTGTGAGCCCCTTCAATGATAAGCTGGTTCTTCTTTTCTTCTAGCTCAGGCTTCTCCCGTGCTGCTACCAGGCCCAAAAGCTGGTCCTCCAATCCCAAAGGGGTGATCATGAAGTTGAGCAGAGTCACCTACATGGAGTAAATACTAAAACTTAAATACAAGACAACACATTTAAACTGTTCCTGTTGCTACAGTAGTGTTTTCAGAATACTATACAACCACAGTAATGAACTAGAAAACTTGTGACCTTGAGCTAATCTAGAGTGTTTGCTCCTTACCAAAAAACCCCCCAAAACAAAGTTAACATGGTAATGGAAGCCAGCACAGGAAAAAAATGTCCTGGAAAGATCAAAAGGCTACTAATCCCTTCTGATGAATTAAACTAATTTAATAGGTATCAAAGAAGGATTCTTTCGGGACAACAGCGGTGTCATTTTAAAATTTTTGTCTTTTTAAAATCACAAACAGAACACTTTTTCAGTTTGGGGGGATAAGATGTTGCACATCAGAATGACAATCCAGCCTTACCTTAACAGACACTTTGGGCAGGTAGTGAGGGTTGCGAAGCCTAGTGGTGATGTAGAACTTGAAGTCTTTGCTGAATTCAATTACATTATCTCCAAGACGCAGGTAGTCAAGACCATTCTGACAAAGAACACAAACAATGCGTAACTGCAGCATAGAAACAACGCAAACCTTAGAAAATAAAAAAATGGACAAGATTGTTCTCTATGGGAGAGCTGAGCTCAAGACAGGACTGCTTAAATGGTTTCCTTGCCTGTTCATCTTTTTTTTTACTTTACTGAACATGGTTAAGTCCTACTAAAGAGTTTCTAGTTCTAGAAAACTGATAAAAGTATATAAGTGCCACCATGAGTCTAACTAGACCCAAGTCGGAGGGCATCGTACCTGCTTGAATGTTTGCTTGAGAAGCAGTGGTTCAAGAATGGGATCCAACTCCTCTCCTACATTCTCCAGAAGACATGGCTGGCCAAACTACGTGCAGGTAACATGAAATGTGGAAGTTACCACAAAAAGAAATGTTTTCCAGATATCAAATTAGAAATTTCTTCAGGCTTCCAATGAGTAACACTTAAAATACTTAAAACACATAAGCTTGAAGTGATTGTAATAATTTGGGAGAATTTTATGAGAGGAAAAGGACCTAGCACTGACAGTGGTTCTGCCTGTCAGAAGTTTCCTTGTTGAATGTTCCACATCTGACCAGGCTCACATAAGAATCAAAGCTTTCACAAATGACACATTATTTTAAGTAATTTCTAGTGCCAAGTAATTTGTCATGTCAGTGCTAAAAGGTCCTTCTTGAAAAACTGTACTAAAAGGTCCTTACTGAAAAATAAAGGAATAAATATATGCTTGGCAATCCTAAACATGCATTAGAGACCTGCTCAGGAGAATAGACATGACAAATATCCGAGCCGCAGGCACGGGCATTATCAGCATTCATTCTTCTAATTCTGTCTTAAAGAGCAACCCCAACGGCAGAGAAAAAATGGGGAATACAGTTTAATATACTCACATGGTATCTAAGTAACACGTTATACATGTAAAGTGGCACTGTGACTTCTGAATAAATAGGAAAAGTGTGATACAAAAAATGGACCAATTCTGCGGGTTTTTCAAAAACTGTCCCCATTTGTACCTTTGGTGGCGCCACGCAGAAATGCTTTTTTAATTACGCACCGCTGGGGAAATGAAAAACATCATGACCTTGCAGGACCTGGTTTCGTAAGTATGGTTTTGTACAAAGGCCTGCACGTCTGAGCTGCATGGCCTAGCTTGACACTTTTGCAATAAAATAACAACACAAAAACATTAAAAACATCTGTCCTTCACTCTGAACTTAGCAAGTCACATTTATCAACCAATCTTGGTCTCCTTCACTGCCTCGTTCACCAGCGGTGGCCCCATCGTCAGCCTGATCGGGATCACGTTGGAACTCCGGTAGCATGATGGGTTCAAAGCAGTAAGGCTCTGCGCCTCGGACTTCGTACTCTTCATCGTCCTCGGATTCTTCTTGTTCTGGTGATGAGTTCATCACTTCTTCATCAATACTATGCTCCTCCCAAGCGTTGTTGCTTTCGGCCATTTTTTGGGAGAATATCTCGAGCCTTCCAGCTACTATAGAACGAACTTCGGACAGTGAACTATAACTACACACGTGTTACTATACTACATGTACTTATGTGCATTGACGTGACCGCGCTGGCTCAGTGCGTACATGCACGGGCCAAAGAACCATATCCACAGTGCTAGGTGGACAAAAGCCTGGAAAAGCCATGTTCATGCGATGTAAATGAAGCGATGATGACATGCTCCTTTCACAAAAGGCGCTCGGCATAAACAGGTCTCAAAAGTGAGTTTTTAAACCAAAATATTGCTGAATCCAGGTTTACTTATTTTCTTCCAGTGTTGGGGTTGCTCTTTAGACGTCGGTTTAAGCCCAACCAAGCACACATTTATCCCCATTCGTAAAATTTCACATTTAGTCAGAGTCAAACAAAGTCAATATACAACAACTTTGCAAGGATTTTGTTCAAAATTTACTTTCATTTTCCCGAGCACCCCAGTCCATTTTATGGTATATTGCTTGTGTAAGTAGTCCAAAAGAACCTCCTTATATGGACTTGGTGCATGTGTGGCGATTTCTGCATGCCACAGCAAACAAAGACTCTCCACCAATAGGAATGGATTTACTCTCTTATATCCGGGTGTCAGTGCATTTTTAAGCAGGGGCATTATCGAATCACAGTAAGCATTATAAAATGGTAATACCTGTGCACGGCCATGTTATGGGCTCTAGGACACAAAAATTGTCTACGGTATTTATGAATATTGTTTTAAACATGAATTTGGGCAAGAAGATTCATTTAAATATTTAAAACCAACAACTAGTTTTACAAATAAAAAAGGAGTCTGTTTCAATAAAATATTTCTTTCGTGCTCAGGGTAAGGCCCAAAGAGTAGTTTCAGAGATTACATTTTTACTATAATGATCTTGTAGCACTGAGCCAATGAATTGTACTAGCTACCCGTATGCTGTAAACAGAAACTGGGAACAAACAACAGGAAATGAAATAAGCACGTGTATACAGTTCAATGCTACTTCACCAGTCAAATACAGGTTTACCTGTATACAGTTTTCCAGGGTACGGGTATAGTTGGGGTCCGAGAGTTTTATAACTTGTAACTTGTTTGGTTTCTCCATGTTCTTGACCCACTTGTTGGCCTGACCCTGGGGATCAATCATCAGGGGCCAACGGTTGGCATTGGTCACGATTAGGGCATTGTCTGTGGAAAAACTACAGAGAGCGAGGGGGTTGGGAGAAACAGAAGAGTTAGGATGTGACATTAGTTCTTGAATTCGTGTTGATTTATGGAGTATTACATTATATTGATCCAAAATATCAGCACCTGGTTTTTGGGAGTGGGCATTTGAAAGTATGACTGCCATACTCTTACCGTGGCATACTCCTGTCTTGCTGTACATTCTTCAGAATGAAAACTTTGTACTGTTGCTGCCATTTTTCTCCCATCAAGAAGCAATCGACCAATAAGAATGATTTACTACATTACCTAAAAGACTGACTAAAATGTTTGAAACAAACATCTAGAGGCTTTAAGAGAAAAAGTGAAGTTTGTAATTAAACAGTTATTAAAAAACTCAGATGCTTTCTTACTTGTCAACAGGAAGTCCAGCCAACTGCCAGTCCCTAATCTTGACAGGATCTCCAAGGGTTGCTGACAGTGAGAACACATCAGACACAGGGATTTCTTTTTCTTTACACAGTGCGTACCAATCTTTCAAGCATTCCTGCAGATAATTCAACATTAAAATCCACAGTGTTTTTTCATGCTCTTACAGAAAATTCCTTAAAGACACGTGACCATGGAAGATTTAGACTGTTAACAATTTGGACCTCTAATTTGATAATCCAACTATAAAACAATGTAAAGAAGGTATTTTTCTTCTCATAGTTTAATCTGACAATCGTACAATAAAATGTCCTTGAAAATGAGTCCTTTTTCCCCCCAAGGTTAAATGAAATATGAAATTGAACACAATTTATCATGACTGCAAAATCACACATCAAAAAATAAAACTGAAATTAAAAAACCCCTTCCTTTAATTATACTACCTCACTCAAGGTCTATAAAAGGAAGAATGTGTGAAAGTATATGACCACCAAACACTACAACGTCTGACCTGTCTGAATGACAGAGTAAAGATTCCAAGGTAGGCAACAACACCAGCCGATATAAGAACATCTCCAACGATATTAGTGAAGGTTTCACCCAACTCCTCGGCTTGCTAAGGAAAAACAATGAAACAAATAATGTTTCACACATTGAGGAATCTGTAATCGTGCCAAAAACAGAAATATCAATTGCTTAACAGCTCAAGTGTTTGGCATCCTTTTTTCTACTATGACAAGCTGGTAACCTTTTTTGAATTGGGGACATGTTCACACAGCCTTTCCAACATCTCCTTATGACTGATGTAGTTTTCAAACACCATTTTCATATCTTGCATTTCTTTGAAATTTTTATTGTTTTCCTTTCATTGTAAGGCATCAATTGTCACTGCATTTAAAATATTTTCATTCCACAGATGAACCAACTGTTTGAAAACAGAATTACAAATTAAGAAGTTTTTTCTAGGGGGGATGGGGTCATAAAGCTGTTGGTCAGACTTTACTTGGCAGGAGACTGTACCTGCATCCATCTATCTCTCTCTCCTCCAAGGCCTGAGATCAGTTTCTCAGCTCGGATCAGTTTCAGTCTTGTCAGCTCTATGTTGTCTTCAAGTTGCTGGAAAAGAGAAAACACAAAAGACACTGAATTAGGCATTGTACATCAAAGGACTCAATACAAATGAGTGAAAACAAAGTTCATCATGATTAATACAGAAACAAAGTAACCTGAAGTTAATAAGCAATGATGTATATGATATCCAACCTTCTTTTCGGTGTTTCTCTTGTCAAGTTTGTCATTTAAACCTTGCAGCTTGTCAGTAATTTCTTTTAGCACAGCTCGTTTCTCATTTAACATTCTCATCTGGTCACCTAGCTGGGATTCAGCATCATTCAGCCGTGCTCTTTTTGGAGCTACAATCTGTTCAAATTAAAAGATATGAGCACAATTTAGCAAGCAGTATGTAACTGCAAAAAGTTGACAAATTTTTGCAACAACAGAGTAAAATGTAGGACTTTTTAAACTAAAATATGATTCAAATATATTTAAGTGAAAAGAAGTAACACTCTGTAACTACATGCCCAGCAGTCAGAGATTTTTAAGTGATATAAATAATACAACATAGCATATAAACTTCCACAACTCTTCTCACATGCAATTACATCTATAGATTTTCAGCAAAAACAAAAAAGTGCCAGTTTGACTACTTAACATTTACAGCACTACAAAAAAAGAGACTGAAACTACCTATTATAGCTGTGGTCCTTAAGTGGGATTACAGAAATCCAGAAGTTCTCAGAGGAAAAAAAGACTTTTAAAATGTGTGCAAATTGTGAAGTACAGTAATATTGTACAGACCTTGGCCACCCTGTCATACACCTCAATGGCCCTAACCCAACTACATAGGCCTTCACAGGCAGAAGAAACTTTGCGAATGGTGGCTGGGTCAAAATCTGGGTTGGGGATATAGTTGTCTCGGATCTTCTTCATTATCGGAGATGGGATGTTGTCCTTGTCATAATCTTTGAGAGATTCCAGGAACTTCATGTCTCCCAACATCTAGGCAGAAATGGAGGTATAAGTACAATAAATACAATAAAAGATTTCCTCCTACAATCTTGCCTTAGGAAATCCTTCCCCACATTCAGTGTGGGTTGCGTCTACTAGGGAATACCGACCCAAACAGTCACTACATATGCAAATTTCCCATGTGTCTGTTATTACTTGCTGAAAAGATTAAAGATAAATAGCGACTACAAAATGTCAGAGCCAGAGTGGGGAGGATTGGCAGGAGAGGACTGTTTGGGTAGGTATTCTCCAGTAGACCTGACCCACACTTAATGTGGGGAAGGAGTCTACAGCACTCTACCTACCCAAACAGTCACTACATATGCAGAGTAGCACCAGTCCAGGTAGGGGATTGGCAATGACACGTAATGCCAAGAATACACATTCTCATATAAACAAGGAAGAGTGTATAAATTTAAGTAATAGTAAATGAACTTCATGATGACTCGTCATCCATCCTACAGGAGGTTCCTTTGACCTCTGCATTGCGGACAGTAGGATTTTCCCAATGCCATTTGCAGTGTTGCTCTGAAGGACGTCCCTAAAGTAGTCGGGGGTGAAGGTAGAGGGAGACTTCCAACATGCAGCTTTGCAGATGTCTGCAATGGAAACATCTCGAGAGTAAGTTCACGATGCAGATACTGCTCTCACGTCATGAACCTGACGTAGGGCTGACTACATTCATCAAACTTGACCACCAGACTGGATTAGCAAATCTAATGGACGAAGCTGTCCAGTGGGCAATAGTGACTGATGCCACTGGACAAAGTGGTCTTGTGATGGTGACAAGCGGCAGGGTTATTGTCCCTCTCATACTATCGTTTTAGTCAGGTACCCCTTCAGGACACAAACAGGGCACCAAAGTTTAGCCGCGTCGTCTCCAGGATGTAGTTGGGACAAACCTTGTAGTACCGACAGTAAACACCTCCAGGGTGCACCAACAAAAAAAGAAAAAAAGAACACGAAATGTACCCAAAAACCACTACCAAACAAAAGGTGAAAATTAAGGTAATACTTTATTCAGAAAGGAAGGATGGATGATCAAAATGACACAGAACCGTGTAGCAAAATGGAAACCCGATAAATCGAAGATGACTAAAAAAGACACGTCCATTACATTAGAGCGCTGAGAAAAGAAGGGCAAACATGGCGACAAGACCGCCTTGCTTTGTGGGAAGTCAGAGTGCACCACGGATGATCAAATCTTTTCAAAGAATAATAACAGGCACATGGGAAATTTGCAAATGTAGTGACTGTTTTGGTAGGTAGAGCGCCGTAGACTATAAGAACTAACAACTATGAAGGAAATATTCAGTGGTCAAGTGTAAGGAGAACCTAGGACAAATTATTCCCAGAACATAGTGGAATAAAGAAGGGGAAAATAATATATACAAATATGGGTAACATAAGATTAAATACATGGGTTTTCATCCAAATGCAAGCTCAATAATAACACTACAATGAATGACATAGTTACCAATTTGAAGGAATGTAATTTTGTCGTGTTTACAGTCATTACAAATCCAAACAACTTTTACGGCCAGAGAGATATAATTCTCACTTCATCCCTGTAGTTCTATGCATTAATCGGCACTGATTCTGTTCTATGAACTGACAACACAAACCTTTTTAGCTGCTGGCCAGTATTCCTCATAGATTTTACCCTGATCGTTTGTTTTCTTCTCTGGCTTGACATTCTACATACATTAAGGATGAATTTAATAGAAATTAATATATAATGATTTTTCAAAACAACAAATGATTGTGAAAAATATCAGTAAGCCAGGATAAAGTAAAGAAGAGAAATTTCTTAGGCTTTTTGCTCAACAAAAATAACACATTGCTAGCACAGGCTGCAGCTTGATTACTATTAACAAAACACCACAAGTTACAGATCACATCACTTAGTAACTTCATGATCAACATGTATACATGTTCAGTCGCAAACTACAAAGAGAAACCAAACAGCCTTTCAAAACAATATAACAAATCACAAGTAACCTTCATGATGCATATAGCCTCCATGACGAGTTTGATTCCCTGTGGAGGATTCTGCATGGCCTTAACAATGGTGATGTCTGGTTGTTTCAGGGTATCTAGTGCCTTGATTGCTGCATTCAAAGCTGGGATAGCTATCTCCAGATTCTTCTCACAGTCTGCCTACAATTCAACATATCAAAGAATAATACTTAGTACTCATTGACAATTTTCTATCATTATCCTGAAATATTGGCAAACTACTGTAGGCACTGCATTGTTGGAAAGTGCCCATTATTAAGCGTACACATGCATTTTTAAAAACCTTCATGTTTTTAAAAATAAAAAGGTTCAATATGAATATACACTGTTTAGACACATTATTGATAAAGAAACATTTTTCTCATCAATGATGATCTCGTGCACAAAATTATGTTGGTAAAAATGGATACTGCATTGGGAACAATGCGCCATAATGACAAAGGTTATTTAGTACATATACTGTACTGCTTGCGTATCGAGCACTGTGTACTCGCGCTCATAGACTCAGACCAGCCAACCTTTGAAATCACAAAACTGTATACTGAAATCCAGAAGTTGTATTTTTCATATTCCTCTGTGATTGGTTTGACCTACTCTGAATTGGGTCAACACTTCTTTATACATTAAAATAATTGCACAAGAAATCCATTATCGAGGTTTCTGGAGCATGTTGACCCTTATCCTATCTAACACGACCACGTTTTCAAAATTTGAATTCTTTGATACAAAGAATGCACTTCGCACATGTCCAGGCTGTCAGATTTTCTCTGCGCAGATTTAAAGTTGCCTGTCCGTCTATACCGTGTATTCCATCTACTTCAATTTCCATGGATTTGTAACTTGAGGATTAATCTCATCAAAGTTTGAATCCAATCAAAGCTTCTTTGGACAATTTATACACTTGTGTTGTAGAGACATTTTGCTCAGTTTACATGTATATCCAAAACTGTTTAAAATCTCCAAGAAATCTTGTACAAAACAGAGCATGTAAAAGCCGCTCAATAATGCACGACTGTACAACTTTGCCCCACACTAGTTGTCACAAAGCCTTCTATCAAAGAAAGTGAACATTTACTAACCGTATTTCAAGACGCAAATTTATGGTGAAATGCATGCTACCACACGTTATAATGGAGAGTGTTAGTCACCACTTCTGCTGACACAGAAACGGCTGACAAAAGTCTCAGTGACACATGAATATTGATATTTCATGAGCAGCCAATCACAGCACAATGATAGCATGGTTCAAGTATGCTATTTATACAGGAGGCCTTCACTTCGAGGTGCACCGAAAAATGCCCACACCCAATATCAACGCGGTGTGTATTCATACCAAGCCACACCACTGCGCTGGTACGCCTGAAAGTACATGTAGGCCTACATGCACAATGCATGCGAACCTTGTAGATTTACTCTCCATCAGAGCCAGCTCTCAGTGTGCGACTGATGATTACAAGTAATGCTTGCTTTTTCTTGATTTTTCACATTTTACATATAAATGAGAATGCTACTAAAAATCAACATTTTACAGAACCCAAGAAGTCATATGCGGCCTATGACCCCCTCCCCTCTTCATACACCTTGTACAAGCATGAAAATGTTGGAAACTTTGCACGGCCCCTTATTTCATACCTCTGAATTTTTCACATTACAGGGGAATAGATTTTGGCATAACTTTGCAGAAATTGTGGTGTGATTCACCTAAGGCAGAATGAAATGGGCAACTTGAAAACTATGGGATAGATTGAAGCCAAGGTGAGACTGACATGTGTGTCCTCAGGCATGGAACCATCACTCATGGCTTCTTTCCAGAGAAAACAGAACCGTGAGAAGCCACAGCTAATCAAGTTTGAACTCTACCTTTCCATCAAACAATAGCGACAGATAAGATACCACCACACATGGTTTTGTAAGCAAGATAGGAGAAACAACATTGCATTTTGATATATTCACAGCAACATTTTTATTACAAAAGTGCTGACACCTAGTTAGAGAAAAGAAAAGTAGCAGTAGTCGCAGAAGAGTGTGTACCTTGATTGATTTAGCTTCTTCTGCTGCAGCATTAGCAATAGCCTCATCAGCTGCCACTACCTTCCTCTTCTCATCTACCTCCTCTGTTTCTTTCTTGATGATCTCTATCAACTCCTGGGTCTCTTTACGATTCTGGATCAGCTGGGGCTGAAGTGCTGTCAGCTCTTCCTGCATCACAGAGATCTGAAGGAAGGGGACAGAAAGAATAGATAAAGTGCTCTGCAGATGAAACAGATTCTACAAAGTGAAGGGCATCAATTCCATAGGAGGGGAGATGGAGAGAACATATACCCCCTCCCAATTTTTAATGGGTGGACGGCCATTTGATCACCTCCTCCCTCCTCCCACATTTTGAGAGAAACAGAGAGTACAGATTTTAAGGTTATTTTTTTAACTTTCTAAAAGCCAAAATGAATTAAATAGCACTGAAGAACAAAATTTACAGAAAATTTAAATGTACCAGTTCTGTGGTTAAGGCATGTACAGGCATCAGTTTACATACATTTTACATAGATATCATATCAAGCCCCTCCCCCTTCACTTTCAATGGAATTTCAATGGCAAAGCAAATGGGGTTACACCCTGTCTCCCCCTCCTTTTCACTAGCTTGGAATTACACCTCTGAAGGGTTATCAGATCTTTCCTAATGTTTACATAAAAAAAATCAAGACCTTTCAACCTAGAAAACCTGCAAAAAATTCAGCAGTGTTTTGAACTTTGCAACAATGAGGTTTTCCCTAGAACGATTTACAGTTTTGCTCATGAATACTGACATTTGCGTTAGTATTAAACCAAAAGGCACCAAAATACATTTCAAACAGCAAATAAAAAAACTGTTAATAAGTTTTATTTTCAAAATGGGCGTGTTTTCTAATTCGAACAAAATGCTTTGCAAAACAACTGTTACTGTTACCTGCTTCTTCAACAGATCAGCAGCTTCAACAGATACATAATATATAATCTATCTACCTCTAAAAACACATATTCTGTAACTCACCTGCGAAGAGGCAAAGTCTAGCTTCTCAAGTCCCACCATGTATCGGTTTCTGAGTGTCATGATTTCCATTCGTTTTCTATTGAGCAGATTCTTGAAAGTCTTGATCAATTCCAAGTATGATGTGGGTGTAACATAATTCCGTCTTCTCAAAACGGAGAAAAACCTTGAAAGGAATAAGAAGACACAAGATGAATGAGGAGACAAAACTTTAGGTTTGCCTCCATATCTGATAATTAACAATTGTTGACTGCTGTGATGAGGGATATGATGTTTTGAACATTAAAGGGCCGCACAGCATCCCGAGGTGAAGCCAAGGGCGCTATGTGCGCCCGAAGGTGTTCAAAACATTATATCCCACATCACAGCAGTCAACAATTGTATTGTCATACCTGCATTAAGGAATTTATCCAAAGAAACAAGCTCTGAATTTTTGGAAGTCCAGAAGACGATAGGCCCGCTGTAAAACTGTATAATTAACATAACAGACGTACACGATATTGTCTACAAATGCACTGTTCCCTCACTTTCCAAATTGAAAGTAGTGCAGGTACCAGTTAGTATCAGATCACATGTCATGCAGTCTGGTCACTGCATTACCCTATATGCTGTGGGGACAAGAATCGAGTCTGTTATATGAGTGTGACCAATGATTGATTGCCCTTGTAACCTATGCACAAAACGTATCATGGGTACCACGCAAAACTGACTAAATGAGCGACGACAGTTGTTCTAGAACTTCCTGAAGCTCTTCTGTCTCGTGTGCGTGTATTTGCTACTAGCAAAATGAGATGTCCCACAGTGAGTGTGATATGCGGATATATCATCCTATCATGTGATCATTCTGGACCAATGAAGAGAGAGAGTCTGAGACAGAGGTATGATAACATCATATGATCATTCATTAAAGCTGCTGCATGTCTGGATATCTGTATTCCATTTGGGCCATTAGTATACCAAGGCTGCAAGCGGGGACTTGGCACGACCTCATTACTAAGGGTATACAATAACCTCAGCTCTTTATTGGTTATCACACAAGTGCAAGTGGAACACAGAATAATGTAGTGCTTCTGTGTCCTGTGTATACCACGAGGTTGTAGGCTGAGTGGTATACGGGACACAGATGCCCTGCATTATTCTGTGTTCCACAAGCACGAGCATGATAACGAATTTATCTTGAAGCAAACTTACTGCACAGTGAAGACGTTATAGGGGCCTATGCACACAATTCCACCACCTTAGAATTTAAAGTAATTTTTGCAGTTGAGCATTTTGCTTCTAGCGTAAAAATAGCTTAATGTGTTGACTTAGAACAGCACAATACACAGAGTTTGATATGAACCATGCAATACATATCACACTGTTTGTTGCCATAAGTCGACCAATCAGAATTGAGCATTCAAGTTTGCCTGAAGAGAATTAAAGATAAGCTTCTAAATCCGGTAAGATTCTATCAAATCTTAGGACCAGGCTATCTTTGCCTCAGCAAGGTTCTGAATCAGAATCAATTGATCATTTCATGCTGGATGACATGCAGAAATTTCCAGGGTTGAAACACAGAGGACACTAAAACATGCCAATTCTGCGACGGCTGGGCATTATAGTAAATAACACTCAGTGACATACCAGTAGTCTCAGAGTTTTCATATAGCAATGACGTAGTAAGAAATGTCACAAAATCTTAAACAACTGACCACCAAGGGTCAGCATTAGTAAAGGTCAACTTTGTAGTAGTTTGTCATTTCAAAAGTTTGTAATTTGGGTCCACATAAACTGCATCCAGGACAATTGTGACAGGACAGGGAGTAATGGCCAGTGGTTAATGGTCATACATCTGTAGTTATTAAACTGGGATTTATTTTACATTTTACTTGTGGCATATGATTCATTTCATTAATTTCAATCAAACTGCCACCAAACAAATTAAAGTCTGAATTCTACAGCCTGAAATCTCTAGAATACCATAATGCTGCTACACCTTTTAGGCTATATTCCCTGAATTTTTAAATGTACATATAAATATTTATTGTCTTGTATTTCAATTTCTAGTTTTTGTACCTTTCCTGTAAGTGGCAATTTTCTTGTTGTTGGAAACGGTTACTAAATAAATAAATAAACACCTTGTGGTTTAAAGGATTCTTTATCCACTGACTCCTCAAAATGTTTCAATATTTGCATGGGAATAGCCTCATGAAAAGCTGCTGAGCCTTGACGGAGGAACAGAGAAGAATATTAAGTAGGTACACTCACATGTCTGACATGGCTCTAACACTCTCATGAAAATGTTTACACATAACCACTGTCTCAGCTTGCACCTTGTCAGACATCTCAATATCGTCCAGGAATTTATGAGCAACCATCTCTAAGGCATCTTCTGGCCAGGCCTGCAGCAGCAAAACATTGGATATTTAGTCATTCCATGGCAAACCATACCAACTTATGACAAGTTAATATAGAACACACATAAAGGAAATCTAAGGCCACTTCTCAACCCTCATCTTTATCTCTGGTTTCAGCTTTGAGTTTCGCTCTAGTTTTCTGCCTTTATTAGAAATTCAAACAAGTAGGCCAAAATATCACTGCTCTTTCAATGCAGCCTTTATTACTCTCTTTTGAACAGGTTTGGATGCATGCCCTCTTGTCAATTGGTTCTTAAGCAGTTGATGGAATCCTTACAAGGTAATAATTAAATGCATCCAGTCAGGTCACAGGAGATGTTGGCACTTTTTTTCTTTCTGTGACAAGCTGTTGGTCTAATAATGAAAGCGCATATTTTGGTTTTTATATTAAAAAATACAGTGCTGCTGTAGCAGAAAATGGACTACATGTGAGTCTGAGTCAGGAGTTTTCAGTAAACTAACAGATGGCTCTCAGGTATGGCACCATCCTCTCACTAACCTGAAAAAAGGGAATTACACATACCAACTAGACCAAACACATAACATCACTGGCTACAGTGTTGGAATAATGGTAAATGTAAGAAAAAAATGTTAAGCTGCACAGGTACTGTCAGTGCAGGTGCTGACAACCTACTCATCAAATTGTACCTTAAACCAGTCGATGGTACAACAGTTAATAAGAGATGGGAACATGCGGATGCGATTTCTGAAAGCATCTCCAATGGGGCTGAAGGCCAGTACCACATGAAGGTTGCGCCTGATCCTCTCCACAAACTTATTGTACATGTTGAGTGGCGTGATCTCAATCTTTTCATTCTCAGCAATGGTAAGTTGCTGCATCTGAAAGACATACACGTGGGAAAGAGAACAAGTGATCCATTAACAATAGGAGCAGTATGTAATGGAGTATTTGAACCACCAATTCCCATGGACATGACACACAAACTGTCGTTATTGAGAGTTAATTAAAAATGCTCAAACAAATTTCAATTGTATAAGGCAAACTGAAGCAAGATTTGAAGCTGTGACTTTCACTGTACTTGGTGTAACAGGTCAGTTTCCCCTGATGGTTTTGAGTTGACAGCTGGATGACTATTGTTACCTTCTCAATTATCTCCAGCCTGTCTTCATTCTCAAAGAGGTTAGGAATGTCTCCAGTATTCAGGATCATGTTGATATCCTCAAGGAAAGACTCATCCTAGTAAGAGAAGAAGAATTACACTCAGCACAGAACTGCTTGCTCTTGATTTCTTGGCAGCGTTATGTAGAAAAATGGCAATAAACAGTGGTTTAATGATGTCAAATTCTGGCATCCCATATTTAAACAAAATTGGTCCCATGTGAAAACGTCTTCTGGGGCACCCTTGTGGGAAAGTCACTCCACCTCTGTAAAATCACACCTGATCCTTTTGAAAGGTGGCCTATGCATTTCCTGTCTTTAGGGTGGCTTTCTCCCTGAATCCAATAGGTTAATATAGATATCATGCTAAGTGGAATTGGAATGTTACTTGCACACCTTCCCTTAACATCAGATCTGTTTTGATTTCATCAAGTCACCTGCTGTGTGGTCAGCACACACACGATCGGCTCCACTTACAATGGTCTTCTCAACTGGTCAGATCAGGAAGGTGTGCAGTGGGCTTTAGAAGGGACAAGTCCTCACAAACAGACTATGCCAATACCTTGATCTGGTGATCTCCAAACAGGAAGACCATAGATGCTCCTTCATCCCCAGTCTTTCGCAGTAATCGCCTGAGGTCATCCTTCCAGTCAGCTATTGTGTAATTTTTGGTGATCTCAATGGAAAACAGATCATAGACAGCAATGAAGGCAGCTAGCCTTGCTGCACTCTGGCGGCCACTGCCTCCAATACCTACAAGAATAAATTACATGTTTTACCTATTCAGAGCAGTTCTTAACTCAGAAGTGACAAAATGGATCATAGTCCGTCATGAATACTGACTGTTTCAAAGTGGCTTCCATAACTTCCTCAAAAGGCTTGTTCTGACATACAAGCTTGTATACTTTTTGCACCTGAACTAACAATATCTCTCTAGGGAAAGTAGAAATCGTATCTTATACAAGAACACCAGCATTACCAAATCCCAGATTTTCTCAAACAAAAAAATTAAAGGGAAACTGACGGGGGGTGGAGGGAGGAGAATATCGGATTTGATATTTACCTACATCTGATAACTCACCTACTAGTAGAGCATGGCCATTGGGCTGTTTCAGGACCCTACTGATTCTAGATATATGCTCAATAGCGAACTGAAACATGACCAGATCCATGGGAGCTTTGCTCATCAAATTATATTCTTCAAGGTACTTCTCAATGGACTGTTGGCACAAAATATCAAAGAAAGCTTTAATCGAAGTTGTTATTATTGTAGTAAAAATGGAACCACGTAATATTGTCTAAATGACCATGAATCTAAACTCAGAGGGATTCATTAGTGTCTTGCAGCGTACCTCAATATCTGACACTGGGCTGACCTAGATCGATACTAGGATGAGGGCATGTTTTCTAAGATGTTTACAGGTCAGGTTGGGGCTGATTTGGGGGAGTTGACTTGGGTTGGGTAGCAAAAAGTTTGGATTGGGTCGGATTGGATTGTTACATTCAACAGATCACATAAAGTGTACTGCAGAAAAAATATTTTACAAACTTCTCTGAAGTTTGTATTTCATAAAATCACTAATCACGATCACAATATAGCCCATATGTCAAAATAGTTGGCACTGATGTTAAAGTTGTGTAACAGACAATTTCTCACATAGGAGACAACATGTATGTATAAAGTAAACACTGAACAATATGCGACCAATGATCAACTTAATGTCAAGTCTCTCAGCACACACTTGTTACACGTAATAAGTCATCATGAGAGTATGCTAAACGGTGGCATAAGCTAGCCTGTTAGACCTTGGATGGCAATTTCAAAATGTCTACCACAAGCTGGGTATATGTAAAGTAAGAAATTAATGGTCGTTGACACCAATGATGTGTTAAACTCCAGTGATTACAACATTTCAGGAATTTTATAAAAACTTAATTAATTACTGCCAATACTGACATAGCTGACAATGCTGAGCAAAAAGTTGTCTTTTAAGCACTGTGAGAGTGCCCATGGCAAATACAAAGTTCATGAGCAAAACGTTAATTTTGGTTTCTGAATACTAAAACATAGTTTCTAAAAGTTGACATTATTACTGTCACGTCTGAAACTAGTGGATCAGTCCAGGTCATGTTGATTATTGTGACAAAATGGCTTTCACAAGTTTAGGTTTCAGTTGAAGATGACATCATTCTTATCTTTGTATAGGCACAGAGAATGTGCGAGACCACTGTATTGGTACCTGCGTACATTAGCATTAATTTGTGCACAATTCCCCATGTAAATGTACATTTTTAAGGCAGCCTAGCACGGGACTGGTGCAAGTTTATGTTGTGTCTGAAAAATGCCATGCCGTATGCACTGTAGTCAGTCTAGATGACTAGTTTGGTGAGTGAACAGCGCTATGTGCTCCTTTTGTGTTCACTACCGCCGCGAGTCTGCGAGCAATTCAGGTACTGGTTCCGCCATCTACGCAGTTAGTTACTTAAGTAACCATAATGTAGCCGTAGCAGTTGACTTATTGTGTACTGTTCTTAGCATTGGTCAGAAAGGACCATGGCTAGAACAATACTGTGTGGGTGGAACTGTGGGCAGAGTTGTCAAGGGTCATCCGGAGGTCACTGTCTAGGGTGGCAGAGAAAGACTGGACAGCCGGAGTGTTGGCAGATGCCTCGGGTCACCCGTTAGTTTGGTTGAGTTAATTAGCACTAGCAATCTGCCACTATCTTAGGTGCAGTCACCCGAGTGAGGAGTGTGGATTGTGGATACAGGTAATAACTTGCAGAGTGCAGAATGCTCTTTATGCATTGCCTACAGTTACCTCTCTAAGTGCCTCTACATCAGTAATCTCATCATACAGCTTCTCATCCTCACTTGCTGACAGATAATCTCCAAAGAACAGGCTGGAATTTGACAGTGAATAAACAAAAGTAAATCCTATATATAAATGCAGCGCAGAAATGTCTTCTAATGTGAAAATATGCTAAAGAAATTAATGACGGTAAATTGAGGGCTGTGCAATTTTCAATATAAGTAGATTGTTCAAACAAGAGCACAGTAATGTATTCTGCATCATGATACTGCTGACTTTAAGATTTTCAAATATTTCTTTTTTTTAATATTATTTTATTCTGACTTTGACAACATCCTCACAAGATAATACAAACTGTTAAAAAAGATTTTTAAAGGGATACTTACCACAACGAAATACTGAATTCTTCCCCAAATAATTTGTTTTTTATTCAAAAAGCAGTACATCAAGTCCTTAACTTTACCAAGCACATGATTACATTACACCAGATAAAGCAATTGTTGACTACTGTTATGTTGGATAAGCTTTGTACCACTTCAGGGACACAAGGTCACATTTACTTTACCTTGGATGTCATGTTATTCCTTGCCTGTAAATGCCATGTTGCATGTCAAAGTGGTCAACAATTGTCAAATGTTCCACAGATGCATAGAATAATAGATATAACCATTTATAAGAGACCTACTATATTCTGAAATACCATCATGTTCAATAGGTTTACCTAACATTGACAGTGACAAAGACTGTTTTCAGCCTGCATTCATAGTGGTGTAATTCAACAGGAAAGAAATCTCCCATCAATGACCATTAAATGGTACCAGTTTCTCTAATATACCTGCCTGCATTTACCTGTTCTTGTGGAACTGTTAAATAACCAATAAAGGACAAAAAATACAAAAACAGGAGGATTATAATCACAAGCCATAAAATCTTTGCTGAATAAGGAAACTATTACAAGAAGAAGGTTAGTGGGCAATGTGCATAGATGAAAAGTGCATGTTAGTTTAATACTCAGGTTTATTTGAATATTAATATTCTCATTTAATTCTAACAGAATAAAAAAGCTATCAAATCAAAATAACATTGCCTCATTAAATGAGCTGAAACTAAAATACTGAACCTGGTCGACAAAAGAATTACAACAGTTCACGCCATATCTAGTCAATCGTACCAAAAATGTACAGATGCAGCCAGCAAACAAAAAAACAAAGAGTTGGACAAGGAAAACCACACAGCCATTCATGCATTCTGTTGTCTTGTTTGTTCAAACTATTCAAAGCCCCTATGACACAATCTGATGTACATGTACATACAATTAGGAACAGCTACTTGGGATTGGATTCTACACATTGTATTGAAAAAAAAGATCTCACAGCCTGCAGTATAATTGTGTGTAGAAGTGACACAATATCTGGCAACCTTAAAAGGTTTTACCAAAATCAGAAAGGTGTTAATAAGCACAGATTGGAACTTGTGCTATGAGTGCAACTGCAAACCACAAGCAGAAAGCGTTAGTGCAAGGCATTTTTAAGCTACCTTCTCATATCCTCCGAGCACACTTCTTTAGATTCACTGTGCAACAGAAAACAAAAAATTAAAAAAAAAGGAAGCGGTGAAAGGGTGAGAACATGGCATTTTGAGCTAAAGCTACCAATGACTGTGTGGATAAGAATGTTGTCAAATTGTGGAATTAGCATTATGATGTGAAACATTCAATGAATCAAGTACATGCATTTAGCATAAATACATTCTAATTAAAATCTACAAATGAAAATCACTTTAAAACCACATTTCATTTGTGATTTATTTGTTTACATTCAATGCATTTATGATTAGTGATTTACTGCTTGTCTCTATTCATTGTATTGGCATAGTGTTTATGATGCATTCTGTGTCAAAAATGCATGTATATGAAACAATGCATTACTTTTGCAACTGACAAACATATGACAAACCTGCAAAACTCTGACAGAAAAAACATGTAAAGTACAAATATACAACCTCTCCAAAGATGTTATTTAACCCTTAAACCCCTGTTGCGCCCGAAACTGCCCGGCCTGTTACTCACTGTTACACCCGAAACTGCCCCGAAATTGGTCCCCTTTTGTTGTTCCGTATTGTATTAACACACGCAAATAGCGACCTCTATAGTTATATTGGAGTGAAGCTCTCTCCTCTCATCCAACATGGACACTATGACAATCTTGTGTCCAACCTATCAGACACCCACTTCACAAGCATGAGTCAGACTTGTGAGAGAGACACATTTCATATAAACATTACCAAAGAAAGAATTTAGTAGCTTTTCATAATCTGCAAAACTAAATCACGAAAGCTTTTAACCACTTCCTGCAGGGGAGCCCAGTTTCGGACACATATTCATTATATGCATAGCCAGGGTCTCTGAAATCGGACAAAGGGAATTGGGCCTTGTAACAAAAGGCCATACTCATAACAAAAGACTGACTAAGCTGCTGGCAATAACCAACATTTTTTTCACTGTCAATAGTGGAGATAATCCAGCAATTTTTTGAAACAGTATACCACTGTTTGGGGAATTCAGTACAAGCGGATTACCATCATGGACAAAAGCACTCCACGACTGCAGCAATGAGCCACATAGTACCGCTGCATGCTAATCTGGCCCCTATTGAAAGGGGGTCAGCAGTGCGCTGTACCGGTTTCATGAACAAAAGAAAATTACGTAACACCGCACAATCTGGGCTCTTTTTGCAAGGCAGAAGGCCTGGCTGAAATACTCCAGCGTCAACAGATGTTGTCTGTCAGACTAGAGTGGAAACCAGACAGTCCTTTGTGTGGGTGTAAGTGTCCAGTAAATGAAGATATGAATTTGTAAAGAATTTTGAAAACAGAAAAAACTGAAAAATGTCTCGTCCCAGCAGAATCACCATTCATAAATGCCCCTGGTGCAATGTGGTTAACAGTGTCTGCAAATTGTGAACAGCGCCATATAGGAAAATGGTCCAGATTTCCTCTCCCACATTAAGTGTAAGTCCTGTCCCACAGTAAGTGTAAGTCAGTTCTACAAGCGAATACCTACCAAAACAGTCACTACATATGCAAATTTCAAATGTGCCTATTATATTTTGCTGAAAAGATTCGGTCACCCGTAATGCACTAACCCTGACCTCCAACAATGCAATGAAGTCTTGCCGCCATGATCATCCTTCTTTTGGAAAGTGGCTCAAAAGGTCAGAGCCAGAGTGGGGAGGATTGGTGGGAGAGGACTATTTGGGTAGGTATTCTCTAGTAGACTCGTCCTACACTCAATGTGGGGAAGGAGTCCACAGTGTTCTACCAACCCATATTGTCACTACAAGTGGCACCGATCTGGGAGGGGCTGGCTACGACATAAAGGTGTTAGCCATGAGCAAAAAGTATGCACTAGATATGGTACCAAATGTATGCATTAAGAGGTAATAAAAACCAAACCCACCAGAAAGGGTTCAAGCTGATTGTCCCTTCGTTTAGTCTATAGGTAGACCTTATGACCTTGCACTGCTGACAGTAGGATTGTCTTGCCATGTGCGGAGTTGTTGTTCAAGACATCTCTTAGGTAGCATGAAGTGACTGTGGAGGAAAACTTCCAGCATGCAGTCTTACAGATGCCTGCAATGGAAATCCAAGAAGTAAGACCAAGACGTAGATACAGCTCTTACTTCATATGTTGATGACACTGGTTATCAGGGCGAGATGGCCAGTCAGGCTGGCAAATTTAATACCTGTGACTATCCAGTTGGCTATGGTGTCTCTTGCTGCTGGGCGGTGTGGTTTCCTAGAAGTAATAAATAGTTGGGAAACTGTAGCTCTCAAGTTCTTGGTTTTGGCCACATACTACTTCAGCATGAGGACCAGGCACCAGAGTTTGTCCGCATCATCTCCCATATGCGAAGCAATCATTGGTATAAAAATGTCTGGTGGATCAAAAGATGGCGTCTGGATTTTGGTCAGAAAGCCAATGGGTGCACTGAGGTAGACACTGTCAGGCTCCCATCATAGATGTCCCTCAGTGATGGAGAGGGCTTAAAGTTCACAACCCTTTCTGGACATGACCATAGCCAGAAGGAAAGCCAGTTTAACACTGACATATATCACAGTTTTGCTACCGAGAGGTTCGAAGTGGGCAGTAGAGAGCATCTGTAGAACTTTGCTTAAGTCCCACGACATGACCAGACGCTTATACACAGGCGTTCAACAAACATACCACGCAGGAGATGTTGAAGGTTAGTGTTGTCGGAAATAGTGGACCCATCCCAGAAGCCGGAATTTATGACAGCCAGGGCTGATCTATAGTTGCGGATAGTGGAGACTTGCAGACCAGAACTGAAAAGGTACGTGAAAAATCTGCAACAGTTCCTGAATGAGCATCGGTTGGACCCACAGCATGTTCGTCGCACCACATAGTGAAATGCCGTACTCTGTTGTCGAACACCTTGTGGATCAAAGAGGGTCGTCCCAATGTAGCCATGGCCGCTGTGTCACCAGAAAGTCCTGCCAAGCAGAGGGATCGTCTTGGACAAAGTCCAGCACGTTTGATGAAGGTTTTCTGGTGCCAGATGGAGAATCCCTGACTTTGGTTGGTAGAGAATGTCCGGTCTTGTCGGAAGGACAAATGGCTGGTGCACCAGGAGCTGGTCAGCCTGGGGAACCATGGCTGAAATGGCCAGAAAGGAGCAATTAGCATAATCTGACAGTGTTCGCACTCTATCTTGGAGATGACCCGTGGTATCATAGCAATGGGGGAAAGGTGTACGCCAGCAGCCCAGTCTAATCAATCTGCAAGGTATCTGTAGCCCAGCCTAGTGGGTGAGGTGTCCTGGTGCAAAACGAATCATGTCAAATGAATAATGCCACGGAACAGGGCATCTTCAACTGTGTTGTCGGGCCCCACAATGTGGATTGCTTGCACATTGATCGAGTGATCGATTGACCAGTGGAGGGTCACCCAAGTCAGAATGCACAGCCAGGGGGAGAGTGTACCACCTTGATGATTGATGAATGCTACCACTGTGGACTTGTCCGAACAGACCAGGACATTTTTCCCTTTGATGTGCATGAGAAAGGGATTTGAAAACGGCCTGCAGTTCCAGGACATTGATGTGACTTCTTTGGAACTCAGTGTCCCAGTTCCCTGATGCTTGATGTGGATTAAGGGAGACCCCCATCCAAGGGATAAGACATTGGTTGATATAACTACCTCAGGTTCGGCTCATGTGGCGTCTGCACCATGGCACAAGGTCCACCAGCCAAGGAGATGGATTCAAGCAAGGGTGGGAGGAGATGGTGATAGAGAAATGCAGTTTTGAGGATTGACGATTCGGACGGTCGTCAGAGTAATCATGCCCTTCATGCAGAGATCAAGAATTGCCCCCAGATAGGTCAGAAGCTTGGATGGTCTCAGGTTCGGCTTCTCTAGATTGATGAGAAAGCCGAGATGATAAGTGAGGTCCCAGGTGAGGTGAGGTGTGACTATGGCCTCGTCTCTCGTTTGGCCCACACATCCAGATACTGGAAAATCACAACGTCCAGCTGGTGTAGATAAGCCGCTACAGTCTTGGCAATACGCGTGAAGACTCTGGGCGAAGTTGACAGGCAAATGCAAGGGCCTGGAACTCGTATGCTCTCCCTTCGTACATGCAGTGGAGGAACTTGTGGTCCCATTCGTGAGTGGGAACATGAAGGTAAGCATAGTGAAGATCATTTGATGAGGCCCAGGATGGAACAAAAGGTATTGTGTAACCATCAAAATGGTTTCCATATGAAACTTCTTGGGGTGGATGAACATGTTCAATGGTTGAAGTTGGTGATGGGATGCCATTTGCCTGGTTCCTTCTTGGCAAGAGGAAGAACGCTGATATGAACCTGGTTCTGATTTGGCTGGGTTGAACATGAAGAATGGTCTGTTTTAGAAGAAATGAGTCTCTCTCTGACTCCAGTGCTAGGTGTTGGTTCTTGTTGCAAGGAAAAGGATTCGGCTGCAGAATCAGCTCGGATGGCAGGGTGCTTGTCAACCTGAGGGAATATTCACTTAGCCTCGGTCTCCAGCATGTTGGCAAGTCTGCCGGCAAAAAGATCTTCCCAAAAAGCAGAAGCTGCTCAAGGCGAGACTTAATGTCTCATGAGGAATGTGCATAGTGGCCAAGGCACTGGATCTCCTAGTTGAGGTCGCCAGGCAGGATATTCAAATGTGTTCCAATGTACTGTTGAGTCTTCGTCAAGGCCAAGAAGAACTAGGGCCAAAAAGTCTGTGGAGACTGGGGAGTCTTCTCCACATGCATGAGCTATGTACTCTGATAGGAGTATCAAGGCAGTACACCAAAGCCCGAAGTGGGAGGCCTTGTCAAGTTTTGCAAACGTAGAGTCTAGTAGGGCCTTATCCTCATCCCGGAAAGCCGACCTGGAGGATGATTTTTGTTGTGGGCTGCATCAGGAATATCTGGGACTGGTAGGAAGTTCTTGAAATCTTCCTACAGGAAATGATAGAATGCCACCGCTCGGTTAGGAAGAGCACACCATTGCTTGGCTTTGGCAAGGCACATAAATATTTCCATGCAGGAGCTGTCGAGTGGGAGTTCTGGAAAAATTAACCCGGAAGATTCTAGACCTCTTGTATGTTGTTTAAATGAGCAATGACTGGTGTCTCTCTCCGGGAAGCAGCTGATGGAAGGCTGAACATTCGAATCATGTCCCGCTGAGGTAGACGGAGGTGACCTTCAGACGGGGTGCAGGCGCCGATGGAATCAGCCTCGTCAGCATCTGAGGACCATACCAGATGCCCAGTCGGAGACAGAGCTGTACCTTGTTGGGAGCTATGCCGAGTTCCACGGGGTGCTGCTCCGGCAAGGAAAGGCCTGGATGGTGTGATTCCAGTGGGGAACCCTGTCCGGTGTCATGAAAGTTCGCAGCGAAGGAAGGTAGAAGGGGCTGGTCCACCACGAACAGGTTGGGGGCAGTGGAGGCTGGTAGTGGTTTGTCAAGGCGACAAGCATTGGAGGTGAGGGCTTCACTGATGGAGTGAAAGGCAGACAACGAAGTCTCTGAAAGTTGGTCATGCTGATCAGAGCGATGCCTCTTCTTGGGTTTGGAGAATTCCATGAGGAAGAGAAGCGCGTATACTTTCTCTGCACAACCTGAGGAGGCTTTCGCGGATATGGTTGTGAAGTGGCTCGACGGCGTATCAGGTGGGGCAGGGCCAGGTGTTCTGGCGGAGCGTGCTCTGGAGGAGCTCAGTCCGGTGTCCTCCATATGCGGGCGAGTGGCCATACTCTTGGAGACGGCTGGAGAAATTGTCTTTTTGATTGGTGTTGAGCGGCGGGTAGAGCTCTTTGGAGTCGCCAGGGGAACACTGGCTGAAGTGCCACATAGATTCCTTTGGGCCAAGGCAATTAGAGGGCATGGTGAACTTGATGGCTGGACTGGCCCGGGGAAATGTCCGATGGGGCACTTACTCAGGGATTCAGGCTGGCACGGCAGGCTAGCACTAGATCAAGGAGACGGGGGGGATGAGGCCTTATCAAATCCTTGGGGTGCCCCTGCTCAAGCAGACTTCCTCAATTAACCACTCCAATTAACCACTCAATTAGTAACTCCATGGGGCCGAACAAACCAGGGGGCCTTGTCAGATCCTGGGGGATCCCCCGGCTGACGGCAAGGCCTTTTCTTCATTTGGTAACAGCTGAAGAAACAGGGGAGTTATGAAGGACGACAGCGACCCTCTGAATTCAGCTGGCTAAGGCCTGATATATATTTGTAAGGCTAGTCACGAGTGTGGCTGGAATGAACCTTGTAGTACTGACAGTACACACCGTCAAGGTGCACACACAAGAAAAACTGAAGAAAAGAACACAAATATACACAAAAATAACACTCTTACCAACAAATAGAGGAAACATTAAGGTAATACTTTATTCAGGAAGTAAGACTATGTGATCAAGAGAAAAAAAGGATGATTATGGCGGCAAGACCGTATTACATTGTGGGAGGTCAGGGTGCATCATGGGTGATTGAATCTTTTCAGAGTATAATAATAGGCACATGGGAAAATTGTGTATGCAGTGACAGTTTGGGTAGGCAGATGGGATGCTGTAGACTTCAGGAATGTTGTTAGCCATACATGTACCTTCTGATGTTTGCATCTGTAATATGCTTTCCACCCAGAAGATGGCTGAAGACTGAATTCATCTTTTCTTTGAACTGGCTTTGCACAACATTCTACAACCCAAGAAGAAAAAAAACAGGATGTGGTCGTAAAATATCTCAACATAAGAATAACATTTAGTGTTGCATTTAACAGAGATTGTAGGTCAATTCTCCCCCTGGCCGACTCGCCCCTTGCCAACTCACCCCCCTAAGTTTGCCAAGCCCATTCACCATTTAATAAAAAAAAACACAATTAGTCAGAGATGGAATCGGTGATTGCTGCCCGTAAAAAAAGATTCTGAGGTTTGTAGTGGGCACTCAAAGTTGAGAATAATGAAAGTTAAACTGTTTAAAGCTTGCTGGATGTTTACTTTCTGTGGAATTTGGGGTAAAAAAAATTTTTTTTTTTAGATATTGGTAAAACTAATTCAGTATTTTCGTGTGTATGGGCCATAGTTGTTGAACCTGCGGCCTAATCAGACAGTGGACGCGGGAAGCTCTAAGACATTTGAATAAATAATTGATTATTGGTAATGTCCAAATATCCATCACCGTCCGTGAGTCGTTCATGTCGCGTCGTTGGTTAGAACCATTCAGTTTTTTTTACACATTGGGCGGGCCATACTTGCTTGACATTCCTAGGGGCGAGTCGGTCAGGGGGCGAGTCGGT